AAAAAAATGAGAGGGACTTAGTTCACCTCACCCTTTTCCACGTCCGAAGTATTGTCTGAGTTTGACCATTTTCATGGCATGTGCGTAATGAATTAGAGAATTAACGAAATACCAACAACGTTGCATCAGAATTTTTATCAAACGATTCAATAGTTTTGAAGATATCTCACTATTCGATTTGCAGGTCAAAGTCTCACCAGATTGTCATGTTCTTCTATCAACATTCATTTGCGTTACTATTGTTTACACACACCCTCAATATTATAACGAGAAAAAGTCAAAAACGTTGCCTGGCATATCAGAAACCATATTGATCTCCATACGTCTTATAAAAATTGGAATGAATTTCGAGAGAGTTAAAACGTCTCTCACGTTTCATCAACAAACTATTTTACGTGAATGGAATATCATATAAGTTCTAGGTGTTTTACAGAATATTTCTTTATGTGCAAGGAGTTACACGATCTCCAATTGATAATCTCCGTTATAAAGTTCTTGGTGGTTTGTTTGATCGTCTTCGTGCTGAATATAATCGTCTTATATTTTCATATAGGTGAAAACAGAAGCAGCAAAAGACAGATGCACGCTGAATAGATGCTTAGCTGATAACAGCAACCACATTGTTATCTGCTATATACGTTCTCTTAGCAATATTTTTGCTGGAAAAATGATGGTCAGTTAATGATGTACTTATTATTGAATTGAATTTGATCCACCTATAACGTTAAACTCCGCTCTATGCGTTAAACGATCTTTCTACAAAACTATGGATTCTACAGCGGAATCAAGAAAATACAGAAAGATAAAAACAACTCCGTCAGCGTGTTTTTTGTCTTTTCTTTACAAACGCAAATATGATTCATGGGTTTTTACCCTTTTTGTAATCAACAAATGCGTACGTGTAACATGTAAAACACTGATACAAATGGTTTTATCCAGCTTCTCATCATTAGTTTCCTTCTTTCTCTGCCTATATATATATATACATGTATAGTCGAATTGATGAGCATCTTACTGTCGTAAGAAGTAGAATGATATTCTGATTGTCGACTAGATTCTATTCAAGGTAAGTTTGATTCAATCGCGAATGATTGGCATGGAAAAATTTAACATTTCCTCATATGATCCATCCCAAAGGAAGCATTCACTTTTTTTTCTGTTAAATATTTCAACCAGACGTATTTAGTTTATTAAAAATCACAGAATAAATACGACGCCCATGTTAAATCCTTTGTCCTCACTTTCAAAATCGATTTTTTCTTTATATTACATTTTAGATTGCATTGATTAAGGGTAACATTACACTTATCCACAGCGGTGTGACAAGATGAGTGATGATCAAGAGGATGATTTTTTCGAAAACCAATGGCAGGCTCAACAACAAAATGAGAATCACAAAAAACAACTTTTAGATCATTGTAGAACTCAGAATAAACAGCTTTCTGCCGAGAAAGTAGAGCTTAATAAAAAGAAAACGAATCTCGCTCATGAGAGCACTGTTACATCCAGTAACAATGAACCACTCTTTCAAAAATTCAAAGAGCAGGCCGAAGAACTCAAACAACTGGAAGAGGAAAGAATTCGAATCTGTCAGCAACAATATGAAACGACGGAGACCCTCATTCTCCATGGAAACAATCTGGAAAAATACGAAATGCAGATTGAAAATTATATGAGTGAACAAGAGGCCTATGTTGAACGGGAGAGTGAATTAAAACGCGAAGAGAAACAACTGGAAGATCAAATTACCGAAATGAAGGAACGCGAAAACGAAAATCTTCAGATGCAAAATGATTTACGATTATCGCTGAAAGAACTTGAAAGGCAGGTCGAAGAAATTAACGAACAGATCAAGGACAAGGAAATCTTAGTTGCCGATGAAAAAGCAAAACTTCAAGATTATGAATTAGAAGCAGAAAAATTGCAAGCACGCATCTATGAAATTATGAATAAAATCGAAGAATCAACCGTGAAACTCGATCGCCTGAAAGAGAATGAACAGACTCTTAAAAGTGAACACGAAGATTTAAAGAAACAAAAAGAGCAGCTAACGAGTGTGATTAACGAGCTAAAGCGTGCTGTCGATGAGAAAACAGCTGGCATCAATCGTCTGCAAGCAGAAGCTGCGATTTTCCAACGGAATATTGAGCGACTTGAAAAGGAGCTTACTGAGATACAGGAGGAGATTCACAAACTTGAAGAACGGTACCAAAAGTTGAAAGACGAATTAGTTCAAGCGGAAAAACAGCGAAGTGAACTTGAATCAAATCGAAAGCAAATAGAATCAGCGAAGCGTACATTAGATCGAGAGTTTATGGAAATGGAAGATCAACTCACCGAAGTGAACAATCAGCTGCAACGACTTCAAGAAAAACTGCGCACTGCAGAAGATTTCATCCGACAAGTTCAAGCGAAAGTAGCACAATGCGAACGCTTGCAACAGCAGCACACGAACGAAGTGAATATCTACCAAGCTGAGCAAAATAAACTGGAAGAAGAAATTGGCGTATTAGTTGCTGAATGTAATGATTTACAAGCACAACGAGACGAAGCACAGCAGAAACATCAGACTGCCATCAGTGAACACACTGAAGCCAATCAGCTATTGACTCAATTGAAGCAGCAAGAAAGGGAAGCTCAAACGAAATATGATCGCGCTTTGGCTGAAGAGCAAAGTGCCCAAGCAGAAATATATTCTGCCGAGTCCGAGTTACGCCAAGCTGAAGAACAATTGAGGGTTGCCGAAGATCGACGTGGAAACGCAGAAATTACGGGTCTTTTGGGAACAGTTGTCTCAATAGCCGCAACACTTATTACGAAATTACCTATTCTGCCTCTAGGTGGCAACCAAAGCTCTGCAGAAAATGATGTGCAACGAGCACGGGAAAAAGTTAGCCAAAAGGAAGCTGCATGCAATACTGCTCGTCAAAAACATAGTAAAGCTAAAACAGAGCTTCAGACATCGAAATCAGCGCATCGCACTCTGACTCAGGAACGAGCGGACCATGAGGATGTTGTTAGACAAAAGTCCACTGCTGTGTCGCAAAGTAAAAGTCATTACGAGTCAGTTAATAATGCTCTTCGTACTGCCAATCGTAAACATACTCAAGCTGAAAGCAAACTCAAGACTACACAAAATAAACTGAGCCGGGCTCAAACACAACTCGATCGTGCCACAAGTGATCTACAACGAAATCAAAGTGAACTTACGCAGTATCGACAACAAAGAGAAGAATTAACTGCTGAAATTGGAAGTGCAACTATGCAAGTTCAACGACAGGAGCGCAAGATGGAAGAGCAACGAACTAAACAACGAGAGAATCAGTCCGAGCTCGACACTGTCACGACAGAGCATCATAGACAAGTCAGTTTAGTTCAACGACTCAAGCAACAAAATGAAAATACCAAACAAAAACTTCTCGACAAGGTAAATGCTGAGAAAATGACACGAAGAGAGATGGGAAATCAACAAACATTGTTACAAGCAACTCAAAAGAACGAAGTACAACTGAAAGCAGAGTTGGAGAAACAATCGGAACTCCTCGGCACAGTAGAAGGTCAACTAAAAGACAAAACCGAGCAGCTCAGAGATGTATCGGTACAAATCAGACATGTCGTCAAGGAAATATCAACACTTGATCAACAGCGAATGCAAACTCAGCAAGAGCTGAACGAATGCCAATCTACTCAAAAGAATACTCATGCTGAAATACAGCGTCACTCTGCTAAAGTTCAAGAACTCATTCAAAAGCGCGATATGTATGAGGTTCAGGCTGACAGATTAAAGAAAGATGTTGGACAAGTAGAATCGAAACAAAAAGAAATACTCAAAACCCAGAATGACATGGAACAAGTGTCTAAAAATCTACAAGGAGTTATTAAGACCAAGGAAGAAAGTCGCGAAAAGATCCAGACATCAAAAGCTCGACTCGTCATACTGAATCAAAACGTTGAAGGCAATAGTCAACGCATTACAGAACGTGAAAAAGCACTACGGCAAGTCCGTAAAGAAATTGAAAACAACCAAGATAAATTCGCTGCTAATGAGCAACTTCGACAAGAAACATACAGGGACATGGACGAACTCGAGAAAACTCTTACTGCGCTCAACAAACACTATTGTGATGAGAAGACCAGACTTGATGCAAAATCGATAGAAATCATCAACCAAGAATTGAAAGATCGAAATATTCAACCGATTCCAATTCAAGACTTCGTACGAAAACAGCAAACCAACCAAACTGCAAATCCAAACGCCGACGTGAAGAGGGTGACAAAACCCAATTAAAATACAATCATTCGTGTTTTTTCATTTTTTCCCTCTATAATCAGGATATTCATTTTATTCGTATTGAATTTCGATTCAATTATTTTAGATTAATTATCTCTTGCTCGAAAATGACAAGTAAATATACGTTTACGAAATGCACATATTCAGACATGCCAGTTTCTGAAATGAAACGTCCCACTACTACACCGTAAGTTCTTCGAATAAATGAACTCTCCATCGAATTCAGGTTAATATTGCAGGAAACAGTCGAGTACAACACAACCAGAAGTGTTGGAAGATCTTAATATCACTATTCGAATAAAATTAAAATATCCAAAAGTGAACGAATTCGTTGATCAATTGAATCAGCCGAATGAGACTCTCACTATTCATGGAAAACCAATTTCAGTACTTCATCTCTATGCACTTCGATCGACTAGTAAACCAATCGACATGAGTAACCAAACTGAACGTCTGGTTTATCGACCAAATTTACTCATACGTAAAAATGATAAGTTTGGGCCTTGGAATTTCAATCGTCTACTCAACCTAATAGAATTAGATTATCGACCTGCTACAACAGGAAATCAATTTCCTAAACTATGGTATACAACAACAAGTACTTCTGTTTCGGTAACTATTATTCCTTACACCGAGCCAACGCATGATGGAACTGAAGTTGACACTTCGACCGATTCTTCCGAAGCGATGAATACTCTCAAAGATCTTCTCAAGTCTATCGGTCGCCAGAATAATTATGGTGACGAAGATGTAGAAAATTGGTTAAATGATCTAAAAGGTATTCGACTTTTTTCTCGTTCTCACGTATAGCATCATCATGTGATTATTCTCTATAGGTGAAAATATTACAAAAATTGAGCATCTTCAAAACGCCGTGATGAATGAAAGTCTTTGGGAGAAGCTCGACAAAGTGAGACCTGCAGTGAAACAACTGATTTATGATTATGTACAATTGAATATTACTGCAAGTGGTGTCGATCAAACCAATGATCCTTACAAAGATTCTCCAGCTACATTATTAGCTGATATTCACCGAGTGAAGCGTTATTTTTATGATGCCATTGGCAAAAGAGATCAATTGACGTATCTCGATCGAGATGCCGTTGATTTAGCTATTGACGAACTACGGAAATTTTACGATGACGATGGAAACATACTTAGCACCATTCATGAATATCTACGTACGTTTTGCGTTCAAACAACAGGGGCCACTGAACAAGAAATTGAAAAGAACCGAATTGTATGGAAAGATGATCTGAGACAACTTGAAGCAGAACGTGTCGCTCTGAGAGAAAAACATGATTCAGCAAAAGATGATCTCGCGCGCATGCGGAAAACTCTTGAAACTCAAGAAATGCGCTGGTCAAATATATGCGAACGGGAAAAAATAGTAGAAAAGAGAGCGACAGAACTTATCAATGCTGCCACAGGACAAGCATCGAATACGGGATCTACTACAAGTTGGAGAAGAAATATAGAAGAAGCTAGAGAACTACGAACGAAAATTGAGCAAGAGAAGAAAGATGCTGCAAACGAAGTTATCGAAGCACGCAGAAATTTTTCGAAATTAGAGAAAGAAACTGAAGAGTTGTCTCATAAATTTGAGAATAATTCGAAAGGGATTCAAGATCGACAAGCCAAACTAACACTTATCGATGCTAATGAACATCGTCAACTCAAAATCAAAATCGGCCGTGGTCTACTTCTCTATGGACCGCCAGGAACAGGTACGTCGAATGATTTCCCTCATTATTAACCAGCAATAAATCTCTAACTATGAAAACGTTTCCACTTCTCTACAGGAAAGTCGGAACTGCTGAAGAGAGCAGCTGTCTATGCAGGTATCACAATGACAACCGTACCATTAGCCGCCGGTGAACTCAACCGACCCTATGTAGGTGAAACAGAAAAGCTTCTCATCGACATTATGTATCGTGCCAATACCATCCCATATCTCATGTGCGCCATGACTATTGATGAAATCGATGGACTAGTACCAAAACGAGATAACAATGCACAACAATCGAAAGTCGATGGAATCAGTGTTCTTCTTTCGCATATCGAAGGAGTGAAAAATATTCCCAATTTAGTTGTATTTGGTGCAACCAATCGACGAAATATGATGGACGATGCTTTTCTACGACGTATGCAAGCGAAGTGTTTTGTCGGTCGACCATCACCTGCTATTCGTAAGAAAATGCTTCGACCACTGCTGACTAAAGATTTAAAAGATTTCACTAACGAACGACTGGACTTTCTCGTCAAAATTACAACAAACTTTAGCGGTGCAGCAGTAGGTGCGTTAAAATCCAGTATTGTCAGTTTCCTAGCAGATAACGCGACGACATTGTCCGACCATACACTACTTTCGCTTGCCAATAATACAGCTCGAGAGTTTAGCTGTTGGTTTGGAAGTAGCACTCTACCTGAAATTTGTCGTATTTATCCCAACATCTTCCAAACAAATGCAACCAATAATCCATCTCAACAGTTCTCATTGGTTCTTCAAAGAAACAAACCATCAGGACGAATTCTAATTGATCTACAAGAAAGAAAATGCTTCATCGAACTACTAAATGGGCCCACTTTGGAAAAAGAACTGTTGGATGATGAAACATCACTAGTGACTTTGTTCGCACGCATCATCAACGGTTGTTCTAGTCGAAATATCGATAGCATCCAAATCATCGATACAGATTTCTTGTCAAAAAACACGGCGTTCGATGAGAACAAGATCATTGAACTACTCGCAACAACATTCGCTGGTGAGATTCTTTCAACACCTCTCTCTCTCTCTCTCTCTCGTCATCTCACTTTTGTTTTGTATAGAATGTGATGAATACAATCGTTCAATGTTCGTTTTTGATATCGATTCACTTATTACACTAAGTATCAATGATTCGAACATGTCTCAATCAACATCCATCTCAAATATTCAACTCTATCGAAATATTCGTGAGAAATGTAAACAAGCATTTGTTGAGAACAAACCGGATAATTGTGATGTAAGTGTCTCTCCGATTGTTGCGATATAAAGTCGTGAGTACTATTTGATTTCGTATTAGAACAACTTTATTGCAAAAGAAAAATGGATTGTCATGGTTGTGAAACATCCATTTCTTCGTAGTCGACTCATCGAAGATATCGACTTCAAACAGAGTCAGGAACAAATCGACGAAGAAAAGGAACGAGAAAGAAAAGAACGAGATGACGAAACGGAAAAAATCTGTCCAAAATGTCGTCGTGGTTATATTTTATCGAAGACAAACTATGGGAATTGTCAATATCATGATGGATATATTTATGATCTTCAAACAAAGAAGCCAGTTAGTTATGATGAAGCAGAAGCCATGCTACAAGCAACGATATTAGTCCAAAAGAGTTCGTCGAATGTTTCAGTGCCGAAATTGGTATGGACGTGTTGTCTTCGTATAGTCGGAAGTGGCTCGCCTTGTCGAACTGGAATCTGTGGTCTACCAGAAGAATTACAAAGAAAGCCAATTAAAGCAGAAGATCAAATCAAAGAAGTTGAAAAATATTTCAAGGAGAAAACAAATGCAACTGAAAAATTGAGAGCATTAGAAAAAGCGTACAATGAGTTGCGAAGATCGTAATTTTCAACAACGTTTCACTCAAGTATTATGCTTCTATCCTTCACCACTGGATATTCTCCCAACAACAACTAATAATGAAAGATTTTTATCGTCATGAGTAATGAAGAAAATATAAACTTTACTTGTGAGTGAACTACGATATTCAAGAACACTTTTTGTTGTCAACGGGAATCAGAGAGCAGTGTCTTTTGCGCAGTGAAGTTGGATAGACTTCCATCATAATGAAATGCTTATTAGTTGAATAAATAGCTTAAACTTGACTGATTTTGTTTACTACATATAATAACATTATTTCTTTAACACTATATCATCGACTGTAAGACTATAAAATCTAATTATTAACGTAGTGTAATAAGCCGAAATGGATGACACCAAACTCGTTTGACTACAATACTTGATCTCATCTTTAACCTAAATAATTCAATCAGACGACTCATTCATGGCGAATATTATGCTGACTGTATGCACAGAAGACACGTTTTATTCATGATGATTGTCTTTTGATCGAATGCAAAACAATCGTATCATATTTCCAATCATCGGAGGATTATACATATCATAACTTTTTAATTTTTAAGAAATGGTTGAAAATGACGACTATATATTACGAGTAGTACAAATTGCTTCGACAAGACACTATCTCATTTGAATCGAATTCTGTTGATGGCGTTAAAACTAACATTCTGTTTTATTTTTGCTGTCTTGAGGTATTTAAAATTTTGTTTTTACGTTGAACTTTTCGATGACTAATTTGTATTTCATTTTAGCTTCACAGGTTTGTTTACTTTCTCACATTTTATGTTAATGTATATTCGTTAACCCTGTAATAGGTCCTGTGAACTCACAAATATGTCGCAATATGTCACCATACGGTCGATGCTCAAGCAATAGTGCTTGTGGATGCTTTCCAATGGCAGGCGCGAGTAACGTTGGTGTCTGTGCTTTTATGTGGACGTTTTGTGCTGAACTTCAACCATGCGGGCCTTCGCTGAATTGTCCAGATCGGTCCCATATATGCGTTCATCACAGTCGATGCGGAGATGGTCCAATCTGTTATCCAGTGTCCATGATTGACCGAAGTCTCTGTCCTTCAATGCAATCAAGTGAGTCCGAGAAATATCATCCGAGTAAAGCTTTTTATCGACGAGCATTTTCTGACAAACTCCAAAGAAGCTTCTCGTACTTTCCGCAAAATAGACATGTTTTATTCGCAAAAACATTCCATTAACGACAAAAATATGCAGGTGATGATATAAATGAGCCAGATTAAAACGAAATACATTCTTATAGTTTATGCATTTTTTATGCCCATACTTTGTTCGTAAATAGTGATGAATACTACAAAGACAACAACTGCAATCACTACACCTGTCACAGGTATAGATCCTATGACCACGATGAATACATATGATACCACTGCCCGGAATATGTACACAACGTCTACCACGATTGTAGATCTCTCGACCAGTGTGGGTAGACACGATACAACTGACGGGAACGTATACACAACAGGTAGCATGAATATAAACACGATGACTAGCATGGGTAGACAGGATACAACCGCAGGGAATATTTACACAGTATCGCCCACTACTATGCACCCGGTCACTAGCATGGGTAGACATGATACAACTGCCGGAAATTTATACACTACATCATCCACTACTATACAACCGGTCACTAGCATGGGTAGACATGATACAACTGCCGGACATATTTACACTGCATCGTCCACTACTATACACCCGGTCACTAGTATGGGTAGACGCGATACAACTGACGGGAACGTATACACAACAGGTAGCATGAACATAAACACGATGACTAGCATGGGAAGACATGATACAACTGCCAGAAATATTTACACTACATCATCCACTACTATACACCCGGTCACTAGTATGGGTAGACGCGATACAACTGACGGGAACGTATACACAACAGGTAGCATGAACATAAACACGATGACTAGCATGGGTAGACATGATACATCCGCGGGAAATATGTACACTAGAGATGTTACAACTACGGACAGCAGGGCTACGATGAATATGGGTGATACAACTATGGGTAGGCTCGCCAGTTTTTTCTAAGCAGAAAATCTTACAGCAAAAGTAAGGGCAAAGATGAATAGAGTCTTATGCGTTTTCATTTAGATTTCAGTCTAAAGGATTGAGAGGGAAAACGGTGGTATAGTCATTCGTTTGGTTGACATTGCGTGTCACTTATTTAGGACGGTCGAAAGAACGATATATATCTATTTTAATAGAGAAAAGTTACTTTTGCGCCTGATCCTCTACAAAAAGGTAGCGTTCGATTTATGAATGCTACTAGAGTCAATACAAGAGGCGATGTTGTTAAATTCTTCCATAATAAAGAATGGTAGACAATTGTCAATGAAGATAGTAGCCCTTATGATGCATTAGTAATCCATGAGAATAAAGCGATATAATTTTAGAAAAGCTTGATTACAATTTGCGAGATAGATACAATCAAAACTTTTCACTCTCCTTGGATGTTGGCAGAATAGGAGTGTTTTTTACCACTGTTAGATAGTACTTTTTTACGAGGATATCGATATACCGAGCATCTTATATTGTGTAAGTTTCTTTTGGATGGATGTTGAGATTGGTGAATGTTTGGAATTTCGAATTGTAAATGTGAAAGATGGTGACTCTTGTAAAGTACATTCCACTCTCAGTTGCAATTCTCATGGATTGAAAGAGCATTCTGACTATGATGTGTACAGGATGTTTGCAAATAGTTCTTTGCTTTTATTTACGCTATGTGTTGATTTTATAGTTTCACCATTCGCTTACCGTCATCCAGAGCTTGAGCGATATATTGCCGAGCACAAACATGAACGGTTCATGATGTTTCCATTCAATAACTTAACTGATCAAGATATGGAAATTGTTGCAAACCAAGCGATGCGAAATAACAAGGTAATAAGGGTGTGGGTGAGGGTGTACATGAGTGAATGAATAAATACCAAACACGAAACAACTAGTATAATACATACCCCGAGACTGACTGAACTATCGATTGAATTCAAAAGATCTTGAAATGGTCGATGAAGGTAACGAAAACGTCTCCAGTAAACGTCGTCTATGCGTCACCATATCAGCAGAAATGAAATTTTCCTCTATAGTCTCACCAAATTCTGTTTCGCTCCTATTCAAGATTAAAGACTATGAACTAATCTAGTACGCTAATGGGATAACGAATATTGCAGTGAAATTTATTGACCACATGAGATTCTCTAATCTCTGTATATAGGTACTCATGGCGCTGAGCATAAATTCTAATCAAATTGGTGATAAAGGTGCACAATACCTCGCTGAGGCTCTACAAAACAATCCTGTAAGTTCTAAGAACTTTGCGTAGTTTTCATGTTCGCTTGTTCGATTCACATAGACAGTCAAAACATTATCCTTACATATGAATAAAATCGGAGACTATGGTGCCCAGTATCTTGCTGATGCTTTACAAAATAATACAGTAATAATTATGTTTTTTCATGAGTATCTGTTGTTACTCTCCTATATAGATGCTCGAAAGACTATACCTTTCATTGAATAATATTGGAAACATTGGCGCACAATATTTATCGAATGCATTAAAAATCAACACAGTGAGTATCGTTATTACAATACCATTTTTTCATACTTTCATCTTATTCCTGGTGTATAGAGACTCATAGAACTTTATCTCTCCAGTAATAAAATTTTAGAACAAGGCGCGCAATCCTTTGCCGATGCTTTGCGGTATAATACAGTCAGTGCACATTTCGTTCTGTTTGTTTAAAAGTCATTGAGTATTCTTTGTACAGAAGCTGACAACATTAGATCTTGCACACAATAAAATTGGAGCTCTCGGAACTCGATATCTCGCCGACGCAATCCAACAGAACAATGTAACTATCTATTATTTTTTCATATTTTCTTTTCGGACTAGTTTACTTCGTACAGGTACTCAGAATTCTTAACTTAGCAGGTAATCAAATCGGAAATGATGGTGTAGAATGCCTTGTCGATATTCTACAAAATGGCACAGTAAGTGTTCTTTTTCTTTTCATCACTCTTCTATTCATTGTATAAAGACGTTAAATGTATTGGACATCTCTTGGAATGAAATTGGTGATCTAGGAGCACAATATCTTGCTGGTGCCCTAGAAAATAACGTGGTAATATTCGTGACTTGTTCATCTTTTGTTTGTTCGTATTTGTCTTCGAGTAGGAACTCCAAAGATTACATATTGGCTATAATAAAATCGGACCCAATGGTGCCGAATACCTTGCTCATGGTTTGCAAAATAATACGGTGATTGGAATTTCTTTTTCATCTGTAAAGTATCTATGTTCAATTTCTTTCTCAGATTCTAAGGTCATTAGCTCTCGAAAATAATAACATTACATCACTTGGAGCAAAGTATTTCGCTGACATTATACGACAAGACACGGTTGGTTTTCTTTGGGCTTATGTTTCTTCTCAACGTTTTGTTCTCCCAACAGATGCTCAATACGCTTGTATTGTCAAGTAATAACATCGGTGCAGAGGGCGCACAACATCTTGCTGATGCACTACAAAATAATACAGTAATAATCAAGCGTATTTTATTTATATTCTATGGTAGTCCTTTTCGTTCTTCATATAGATGATGCAAACACTATTACTCTCATTGAACAATATTGGGGACAGCGGCGCACAATATTTCGCTGATGCTTTAAAAATAAACGCAGTGAATATTATTGTTCTCCTCATTTTTCATATTTTTATCTCTTTCTTTATGCATAGGGGCTCACTCAGCTGTATCTTTCCAGAAATGGAATCACAGACAAAGGTGCACAACATCTTACTGATGCTTTACAACACAACAAAGTGAGCGTTATTCTTGTATCATCTTATTAATGATTCTGTCTTTCGCCTTCTATAGGTAATTCGCTTGTTGGATCTGATGTATAACCAAAACATTTCATCACCAGTTAAACAACAATTGAAAGAAAAGGATCAGCGACTTTCTTTTAATTGACATTGTTAGTGATCATTTCCTTGGAAACTTCAATAAAAGTGAGTGGAGCATTGAATCGACTTTGATTGATTCTAAAGTTAACATGAATCAGAGTGAAATCTCAAATGTCAAGTGGAAAAATGAAGATGATCTCTCATTCGATACGAAGAAAGATCAGAAACAAATGAATCTATACGTATCTGAGAAGAAATCGAATTTTCGAGATTAATTTCGCGAAAACTGATTCGATTTACAGAAAACGATCGTGTAGTGATAAAAAAAGATACTGAAGTGTATCAACATGTGTGTCAATAAGATGTTTGTACTGTATTTCAGTTGATGGAGATAACTACGATTTCAGCGGATCGGAAACTCGAATCAGAACGATAGTCGCTATTTCGAATTCATTTTCAACAGATCAAATTTATAGTCAAATTTGAATAGGAAATAACTACAAAATGATGATTTCTAAAATTCGCAACAACGAACAAATGAAGATAAAATGTTCGATCATTATTTCTTTGATCATTATCATCGAAAGCGAAATACATATAAGTTTATAGCACTAGGCTAGAAACATCAATACTTATAGTGCATAGATAAACTTTCAAGAGAGAACCTGCAGTACACTTTATACTGATATTTGTATAGCTCTTCAGTTCAGAACAAAGATAGCTAAGCATTAACCAGAAAAAAGCCCAAGCCACTGTATTACAATGGTAGTATCACGATTTATCAAATCGAAGATCGGGTTTCGATTCCTTGCAGTAGCACAATACCTTTTTTTATTTCATCAATCGCTAATTATTTGTAATGAAGTGATTCACTTTGTACAGATACTGTATCAGATTCAATGTACAGAACAGAAACATCGCTTTTCGTTCTATGAATATGACTTATGTCTCTTTCATATCTATCTCTGTAGTGCTACATTGTGCTCAGGATTTCACAGATATGTTCTATTGAAAAGATTTAGAGTATCATCTACAGTATCATGAACTTTATCGTGAATACTCATTTTCTCACTTAAAAATAAGCAAAAAAACAAGATTGTTCGGTATGAACGTTAAAATAGAAATATTTAATTGAGATAAGAAAGTGAAACATTGCTTAAATAGCCGCTGAGATCACTTGGATCTCCGATAATCGCAAAACAATTAGCGCAGTCGCCCATCAGCAACTGTATGTACGAAGTAACTGCGATACAAGTTTATCACTCCACTGAATATAACAAAATCTCTCTATGATCAAATATGGAGTGTAGCTTCTTAACAAAATGTTGATTAAATTCGGTTACAAAAAGAATTATTTTAAGGCCGACAGTAGTAAAATCGATTAGATTAAGAATTACAAATGCAATGCAATTAAAAGATTTAATCTAATTTTTAAAATGATCGTTTCTTGTCTATTTAAGTCCTGATAAATGCAACAGAATATAAATACGAAGAAATTTTTTAAACGCTCGTCGCTCGTTGATTGAAATACATTTGAAAGAAGAGAAATTCCTACTCGATTGATTTGTTCGCAGTCGAAGTGTATCCGTTGCATGGAAATATTCTCCACGTATTTTCTGATCTCTTTCTTCTTGAACTTCCCATTCCGGTCGTTTTAGTATTCCTAAAACAAAGATTTATTGAAAAGATCATCTCATAGATCAACTTTACCCATTATAGCATCGAAGAAATTTATTGATTGTATATACGAAAACTTCGGGATGATCTTTCATGACTTTTTCTCGTACGAGTCAAAAATTATCATTGACGATTGATAAAAACAGATTTAAGCAAAATGAAAACACCGATCAGAGTAAATAATGCTAAAGACAATGGACCAAGAAATGTTCCTGCTCGTGGTAATTCATTTGAATAACATTCGCGATATGTCGAGTAAAGTTGCATAGAATTGTATTTTGAAAAGGAATAGAAGATAAAATAAGCAAAGAAATGAAATGAATTCTTTTATTGATGAACGAAAGGTTTCGCTGAATAAAGACAAACGACGGTCAAATCGACATAAATAAAGAAACAACGAAATCCATAAAAATACGTCAGCAGATCATTGAGATAAACTGATTCTTCTAAATCAATATAAACATCACCTTGACTTTTACGAAATAATTTGTCGAGCTCTTTTGCAGTTTTATAACGAGTGAAATAAATTCCAACTGATGAAATCGAACGAATGATCAAACTCAATTCAATTATTGACCAAAACTCAACGAAATATTTCCATTTTAACTCGAGAACTGAATTGTAAATCATATAAAGAACTAAAAGTAAATAAATAATTGTACAAATCATTTGAGGATAATTGATGAGATCGTGAACCTTTTCCATTACACCTAACTAAACATCGAAAACCATTCGCATCCTCTCGAATATTTTTTTGCATCGAGAACAACTACAACTGGGTCAATAAGTGCAATTGTGACAGGTGAAGATTCATCTCCTGCCCTTGTTGTCCTAATTTAACTGCTCAACTGTAAATTGTTAGATACGACGATTACTTTGATCTACCACATATAAATCAAAATTTTCATCAACAAATACTCTACAAGGAGAAGAAAGTTGATTGGGAGCAGAACCATTAATGCCATTTCCAGCTACAACTCTTAGTGTCAAATTAACATCATTCAACCATCTCTTCACTACTATGTAACGAATTGTTTCGATCGACAAACAACCCAAAATATTGAGTATTGACACTTCATGACAGGGACGAAACTTGCATTTCGTTGAATCTATTGATCAACTTGACCATGAAACGATTTTTGTTGGGTTTGAACTTTGATTGGTCCAGAGTAAAACTTGTTTTGTATTCTGATTGACTGAATGGATCGTGTTGTTTGTGTCGATAAGGAGAGTACGAGGACTTTGTTCAATAATTTTTTCATTAACAGAAGTAATTGTAGATGTTTTCCAAGTTGCATTTGAACAAAATTTTGGTGGATTATATGAAAGAGTTGAAAATCTTCCGATAAAAATCCAAAGAAGAAAAAAAACGAGATATTCATTCTAATCGCGTAGATGACAATGTGAGTAAAGAGAAATTTCAACTGAATTAAATACAAATGAGAATGAACGTGAGGAAATTAAAAACAAAAAAGGGCATAATAATCAATAAATTCTTCTTTTTTATGGCGGGATTTAGATTTAATCACGTTTTAAATGCGTAGACTGATTATCAACAACATTTTTTGTTTCTGAAAAAGATCCAATTTTGTTCTTACATTAAACAGATGATGAGAAAGCGAAATCTCGTATTTGTCAATTCGATTCTTTTCTAACAAATTCATAGAAGCGATCGAAATCATTGCTTTTCTTATCTTCAGATCTTTTTTGGATCTAAATGAGAATATTTTATTTGAACAAGAGATTTTTTCGTGTCTATTTAATATCAAAAGTGTAATTAATATATTTTGTCATGATTTGGATTCTCAAATAAAGCAATGAGAGAATCTCTTTTCATCCGACTTCTATTCATTTAATTTTAAAGTAAAAAATTTTTCTTTCGAAAACATTCGCTTTGATTTTTAACTTCTTTACAAATTAGCCAGAAAATCATTCACGACTATGACTCTGGAAAATCAGCGAGTTCGATAGAAAATTCCATTTCTTCCCCGAATGTTCCATTGCTGATCACGTGTCGTTATAGACGGTTTCACAACTAAGAAACACAAAGATTTGTTTGTATTTCGTATTGATTTCTTTATTTGTTGATTGAATAGTTTTCTTCTGTCACCATTGTAGATAAAATAAAATCATATAGAAATCTCGAACAATGTCGAATTTCTGCGTGTCGTTTTCTCTAATGATGAAATATTCGAATACAAACATAAACTAAAGTTGGGCAAATGTCTATGAACTATAAACAATGGTGAACGTCAATGAAAATAATCTGAACACTTCATTGCTTTTAAGAGTATCGACTCACATTTAGAGAGGAAACTTCGAAATGTTTGTCTGATTTCTTCTATCTGCGATGCGAACAATTTGTTTTCGAATCAGATGACATTATGGACTTCATTGAGAAAAATATTAAAATAACAATCGACAGTTTTGATGGTACTAAGTAAGTAATTAGATAATGTTACTAATATTTTTCTTTCGCTATTCATTTCTTTATAAATACACATCATAATAAACTGTCCGATATCAGAGAACGTACCGATTCTTTCAGATCCGATCGCGCAAACAACAGTTTTCATTCATACTTTCTCATTTTCATCATCGAGTATTTTCCTCTCAAGTTTAATTGGTACACATACAAGCAAAACATGATAACAAAGTGACGACGACTCTGATGACAAGCATATTTTTCTTTGCCAATGATGCAGTTGTGAAAAGGGTATCTGTCAACGTCAAAATGCTGACTTTTTCCTTTTGGAATGAAATATTTTGATTAACATTCTTTTTCATTGAATCGAATAAATATAGGTGGCGCGCATAAACAAAATTGAAGATTGTCAGTGACAGCCATTGGTTGAAACTATTCATGACTCCTGTCTTGTGCGTCATGTAATTTCAACATTTTAGAGCAAGCAAAGCATGAAGTGTTGTGTTGTTATTTCGTCGAGAGAAAGAAAAACTGTAACATGTCGGATCCGACTTCCACGTTCAAAGTTGAATATGCAAAATCTGATCGATCCAAATGTAAAAGTTGTCAATCTACCATTGACAAGGATAGTTTTCGTTTTGCCATTATGGTGCAATCATCAAAATTCGATGGCAAAGTCTGTCGAGTAGAACAAACGAGAGAAATTGAAGTTTTGTTCTTACCTTAGGTTCCTAACTGGTATCATACCGAGTGTTTTTTCGAAAAAGTCAAATTAATTGATGTGAAAATCATCAAAGGTTTCGATGATTTACGTTGGGAAGATCAAAGTAAAATTCGTGATCTTATCCAAGAAAACTCGAAGAAATTGTCAGGTAAGCTGAATATGCCGATGGAATTTTCTCTTATGCTTCAGCTTTCGATTAGATGAAAATGATCCTGATGAAACATTTTCAGTCGAATATGCGAAATCTAGTCGAAGTCGATGTCACGGTTGTGATCTATCAATAGTAAAAGATCACTTACGTTTATCCAGAAAGAATTTCTCGAGCCGAAGAGCACGAAAATACGGACCGGTGGACGAATGGTATCATGTTGACTGTTTTAATCAAATAAAAAACGATCTGTTATTCTTTGGTACTGCCGAATCGTTCGTATTGATTGTTTTGAGCTGAGTGGGAATTCATTTTGTTCTTTGAAGATTTTCCGGTTTTACCAATTTGAATGATGACGGTCAGAAGAAGTTGAAAGAGAAGTTTGGGACATTAACAACAAGTTCAAAGCGGAAACGTCGAGGAGAACAGACGAATACTGAATCAGTTCGAGCAAAACAAGTGAAAATTGACGTCGCAGATTCCGATGAAGAGGAAGAGAAACGTCGGAAAAAAGAGCAATGTGAATTACTATGGAATTATAAAGACAATTTACGAAAAGACGTTCCACAGAATGTTCTAAAAGAATTATTAGAATTCAACGGACAAAAAGTCATTCCAGGAGAGGCGAATGTAATCTAAGTGAATTCTTTTCCAAAGGATTAATCATTCGATTTTAGTTAATCGATGCAGTCACTGATTGTATGGCATTCGGTGCACTTGAACCATGTCCGGACTGTTCCGGTCATCTTGTTTTCAAGTAACTTCTTCTTATCTATTGCGAACGGAGAGAGAGAATATCTGTCTCTTTTTAGTTATACAAACTATCGTTGCACAGGGGACCTTACGGAGTGGACAAAATGTTCATATATAACACAAACGCCAAAACGCAAACCATTTGCAATTCCTGATGATGTCAAAGAAACGTATTCCATCTTGTAAGTCTGTAGTTCTCAATCTTCGATTAATCATAGTCTGATTTAGTGAAAATTACACATACACGAAACAAGATCGAATGTTGACGCAAGTAACGAAACGATTGACGGTGAATGATGAGATTAAGGAGTACGTACTTTTCTAAACATTTCATACCACGTGCTAATCGTCGCTTTTAGACCGGCTTATGATCCAAAATTGCCTTTACGTGGTTATTCCGTTGGATTGGTCGGTCGATTATCGAAAAAGCCAAGCACTTTGGAAAAACAAATCGAACAACTAGGAGGCACGGTAGTGCGTAATCTCGATAAGAAGACAATGGATGTGATCATTAGTACTCAAGGTAATTAATACTTTTTCGAATCCGCTTGCTTAAATTTCATTGGTTTGATAGATGAGATCGATAACGGAAATAGAAAGATTCAATACGCACAAAAGTATGACATTCATGTTGTACCTGAAGAGTTCCTGGATGAAGTTCATAACGATCCACCGTCGGTTGTGATGGACAAAATCAAAATATCAACCTGGGGAGTTCTTCCACATGTTCGAAAACAGAGAAAGCGTGTTAAAAAACAACCATCAGCTACATTCAAATCGTCGGGTAAATCTATACTTCTTCGGAATAGAGTTTTCTCGACTCCACCCTCGTAGGTCGATCGAAATCGCTTTCATCAGAAAAAGTAACAATGAAATTAAAAGGCGGGGCAGCCGTTGATCCCGATTCAGGTAAAGAGCTCTTTTCCTATTCAAAAGCATCACACAAATTGTCCTTTTCACAGGATTGGAAGAAACATGCCATGTATTGAAAAATCGCGAAACGGGCGATTTATTCGCCGCTGTTCTTGGCAGGGTCGATATAACTCGCGGCACAAATTCTTATTATAAAATTCAATTACTTGAACATGACACTGGCACCCCCTGGTTTCTCTTTCGTGCATGATAAGTTCATCTTGTGTCGGGATCTCTTCCATTGTAGCTTTTCTTTTTTTTTCCAAGGGTCGCACGGGTACAACCTTTGGCAGCAAAAAAGTCGACGAGTACAAGAATAAAATGAAAGCAATGAAAGCATTCGAGAATGTTTTTCTCGACAAAACCGGAAATCAATGGTCGGATCGTGGGTCATTCAAGAAAATGGCGAATAAACTGTATCCTTTGGAAATTGATTACAATAATGATGAAGTTGAAAAGCTTACAAACAATACCGATTCCGAACTTCGTTCGAATTTGTCACAACCCGTCCAGGATTTGGTCAGTCTTATATTCAATGTTGAAACTATGGAAAAAACTTTATTATCGTTTGAAATTGATTTGACTAAAATGCCATTGGGTAAACTTTCGAAGAATCAACTAGAACTAGCTTATAAAGTTCTAACAGAATTGCAAACACTGATCAATGATACAGTAAAGAATAGAAACTTGATTATTGATGCGAGCAATCGATTCTATACGTTAATTCCACATGATTTTGGTTTGAGAAAACCGATTATTCTCGATCGACTGGACTTAATTCAATCAAAAACTGAAATGATCGATAATTTACTTGAAATCGAGATCGCTTATTCCATGTTGAAACGATCAAAAGATGATGGAGAAGAACATCCGATCGATGTTCATTACAAAAAATTGAAAACTCTCATTGAACCCATCGACAAAACAACAGATGAATTTCAACGTATCGAGCAGTACATGCAAAACACACATGCATCGACACATAACCAATACAAATTGAAATTAAAAGAACTGTTTAAAATTGTTCGAGAAGGTGAAAATGACCGATTCGAGAAGTGGGGTCAGTTGCCGAATCATCAATTGTTATGGCATGGATCGCGAACAACAAATTTTGTCGGAATACTCAGTCAGGGATTACGCATTGCACCACCGGAAGCACCAATGGTGAGAAGACTAACCTTGCTGAACTCCAATTCTATTCTCAATTTTCGTTGTAGACGGGTTATATGTTTGGCAAGGGTGTGTACTTTGCTGATATGGCTTCAAAAAGTGGTGAGTTCTATTGATGAAAGGAATGCGTGAGATTTCGGCACGCGATTATTTTAGCGAATTATTGTTTTACCAATCGAGAAACATCAGAAGGTTTGATGCTTTTGTGTGAAGTTGCTCTTGGTAAGACGCACGAATGCTATCATGCGACAACGTTCTCTGCGAGTACACTACCTAAAGGAACACAATCAACAAAAGGTTGTGGACAAACGATTCCGGATCCAAAAGGTAGACCTTAACATAGCGATCTTCGTTGTCTAAGGAATGTTATATGCTTTCTAGAAAATTATTTTACGGATGACGGTGTTCTTATACCAATGGGTCATGGTGTGAATGCAAATATCGCGCATAGTTCACTATTATACAATGAATACATTGTCTACGATACGGATCAGATCAAAATCAAATATCTCTTGCGTCTGGATTTTCAATATGAAGATTGAACTACCATTTCTTTTTTTATTCTAATAAACATAAATAATAAAGAAAAATACATTGCCTAATTGATGATTGAGCTATCACATGAGTGTTCTGTCTTTGAAGTTTTATCGTGTTGCTGATCGAGTAATCTCGTTCGTTCGTCGTTGCGTCTTTGATATGTCACTTTTGATACAGCAATCATCAGAATACAAACACCAATGACAATCAATACTAATAAATTCATCAGTTTATATCGATTGGGTGCGAGGAAAAGGAGAATGAGGCCAGAAACATTATTCCATTGATTGATTGCCAATGCCGATATGGATTCAGGTAGTGGGAACATAATTTCAGCAAGTGATTCGAAAATCAATGGTGCCGATGCTCCTTGGAAAAGGCCAGCCATGGCAATAGACAATCCAATAGTGATAGGTGTGGATGATAGAATAGCGTCGTCATAGAATAGGGTATGAACTGAAAGTTCAAACCAAACAATCGAGAGAAAACAGCCAATCAAGGACGAGATCATCAGTATTTTAAGTGAACGATGGAAACGGTGCATGTCGGCAAGTGCACCCAGACAGAATCCACCGATCATTCCTGCTAGGATCGAACTAAAACCAAACCAACCTAATAATGAAAAAACAGAGTTTTGTTCGTTCGTATGTACTTTGTTAGTTTACCTGCTTGCTCTTCGGTATAGTTTTCAGGTGCAAGAATGACGTCATACAAACCTGTCCACGCACTGAATGTTCCAGTTGTCAGACCACCGACGATGGAGAGAAGCATGAATGATGGCGTGATCATGCATTGCCAAAGATCTCTCATAAAACGTTGTAGGAGACTCGAATTGCGGCCATCGCACGAATAGGAACTGAGACGTTCAGCAGCGGGTGATGGGGCTGTGGGCGGATTCGAAGGAAAATAGATCACAGTCAAAGCAAAAGCAACGAAAGCAAGTCCCGCATGAATGTAGAGAAGACGAGGAACATGCTCAGGCGTGTCGACAATCCATGGACTGATAAGAAATCCAACCGCAGCTCCAAAACTATTGATCGTAATGGCAAATGTTGTCGCTCGCGTTCTTTCGTTCGGACCAAACCATATGCAAGATATCTGCGATACGGACACTTGCACTAGTGGAGCACAGGCAGCATTAAGGATCTGGCCAGCATGTAAAAACGGCACAGCAATCGAGTGGAATTGCACGTTTGATGACCAGCTGATTATTGATGGAACAATTCGCAGTAGACAGGCAACAAGAGAACTGCCAGCAAACAAAATCATCGAAAATCGAAGACCTTGTTGTTTGTTTAGCAAAAGATAAGCTAATGGAAACGTCGGAATGCAGATAATATTTCCCCAATTGAGAAGAAGATCGATCGTCGCTTCGGTTGTGTTATAATAAATTTCTGCATTTCTCGCAATGGGAGAGAATGTTAACCAGAAGAGACATTGATTGAAAGCGAGCAAACCAAAAACAGAAATAATATAGAATCGTCGTCGATACAAATGATAGATGGAAGATGAACTCAATGACAATTCGACTGTAGTGTCCGAGTTAGACATATTTTGCATGTGATATGAAGTCCTTTTCAAACATGTGATAACAGTGCACTTTTATCTCTTGTTGAAATAAAACTTGAAGAAAAAACAAGTGAGTAAAAGAAACAAAATGACAAAAATCGTTCGTGTGAAACTCCAATACCAATGACGATACTTATAATGCCGTTCTTCATGTAAATTAGCCAGACGTTTCGGCCGATAAGCTCCAAAGTACTCTGATATCCAATTACTGGTTCGATGCAATGACAGACCCATGTCTTGCAGATAAATTTCAATTGGTTCTAACCAGTAATATTGAAAATAGTAAGATTTTCGATTGAATAACCGGCGAATGAAATTTCGTGTTGTTTGAATTTCTTCGAACATTTCCTTTTCCGTTTCTGGCAATCGAATCCGACCGAGAAAATAATCAGACGTCCAATGGGATTGCACTTCGAAAAACATCCATGTATTTAAACTAGCTGGTAAACCAATAAAGGCAATATTCGGAATTCCAACAGGAACTATACGACGATAGAGATCAAGATCAACACTTTCATCGGTGTTGTCTTGACCAAGTGCACGATGAAATGTTCGAGAAAGAAAAGGAAATTTTTCCAAATAACCTGTAGCACAGATAATCATATCTGCTTGTAGGAATTCATTTGAACTAAGATGAATGGTCGTACTATCGATAATTTCATCAATAGATGCCAGTTTTCGTACAATTCGACCATCACGAATCAATTGAGCGAATTCTTTGGTCATACGAACGCTATTCTCAGATGTACGAAACGAACTCTTTGGAATGAACTTCTCATCTTGATACACATCAGATTTCAACGTTGATACCATCTGATTGGAGATAGTTTTCAATATATTTCTGATTACCGAAGAGAACAGCCAACGAAAGAAGTAGAACAAAAGACTATGTGGTGCATATGGGAATGGATCTAAAATAGTCGTCATAAATCGTGAGTATGCATATTCTGCCGGTAAACGATCGTTAAAAGGCGATTCCGGAACGAACCAATGAGGACGGCGAATGACCAAATGGCATGAAAGTGCGTACTTTCCAGCTAATGAAGCGAAATCAATAGCAGCTTTACCGCCACCAATAACCACAATACGTTTATCCATCAATTGTTCGTGCGTTTTGATGTTATTTGCATGAACGATCGGACCGGCAAATTTGTTCTGACCAAGAAAATGGGGCTGGAAAGGCGTGGAAAAGAGACCATTAGCTACAACGACTAAGTGAAATCGTAATGTTTGATGTTGCTGATCAGCTGTTTCAATTTTGACAGTCCATGGAAGCGTTGGATCCCTTAAATTATCCTTATCGATCGATGTGACAGTACTTTGAAATCGAATTCGTTTGACTAAATCGAACTTTTCTGCATATCTCTTCAAGTAACGATGGATATCTTGCCAAGGAGCATTCTCTTTAGCTAGGATAGTACACAACAATATTAGCTTTCTAACTGATTTCGAAAACAAAAGGCAAACCTTCAAGATCGGGCAAATCTGAAAATTCCATAAAACCGGCTAATTGTTGACTGCACAAGTTAGCATAGGCGCCATCTGGAGACCAAATACCACCAAGAGTTTTTTGCCGATCAAATATTGTTACATCGAAACCATCTTCGACAAGAACTTTACCTGCGACCAGACCCGATGGACCTGCACCAATAATAGCTACACTTTTTCGTGTCATTATACTTGTTATTATATTCTTAAAAACAAAATAGTATATTCATCGCGTATATGTCACATCGCAAATAAAAGATAAAAAAGGGCGTGACACACTCTATGCCCATTGAAGATGTTTTTATGACGAAAGCTAAAGAAAACAATTCACCTGTTTATATTTTTTGTATACACTCCTTGAGGTTACAGGAAATACAAGTAATGCCGTTGTTAACTATTTTTATACTTAATGTATTGATTGAAAAGCTGTTTGATCTTCTCTGAAATATTCTCACTTTGAGCTCATTGAATACAATGTACTTTTCTTTTTAATTTTTGGATTACACATTTCGATTTTCACACTACGTGGTACCGAGCTTCTGTGACGGTCTTAATTATGTCTAATACAAACTTTGAATAATAAGTCACGTATCATTTTATGAAGTCTTTACGTCCATTAATAAATGAGGTACAAGGTTCAATAGACAGTCTTTAGAATTCATATTTATAGTCTCAAATAATAATATCATTCAATATCTGGTTTGATGAATATGAAAGATGAGCAGTCAAAAATGAAAATATATAATTCTGGTGTCTTACGATTCAATAAAAACCAATGACTCGTTCGCTGCTTTTGATACAATGATCGATATGTAATGTTACTTTTCTTTCAATGATTTCTTTAATCGTGTTTATTATACAAAACCAGGTTTTCGAATAAAACATTCCATTCTCAATATAAAATAAGAAGTCGATATCAGATGATAATGTATACATTTATTCCACGAACAATAATTTAGCGATTAATGAGCTAACCTATGGTGCGAAAGTCTTCGTACAAAATGTTTTCTCATTTTTCCGTCACTTAAACAGGATTTATGGGAGTCAAATGTAATTAGAAAGATTCAGCGTGTGGTTGCTCTTTCATAGAACATAGGATCAGAAATTTTTATATGAATTTGCTTCTTAGTGTAATGAGGAAAATTTTCAAAGGTCTAAAAAACTACTTTGTACAAAACAGTTAAATTGAGACTACTGAATACAACATTTGTTTATTTTTGGTCTGTCCGCAAATATTTCAGACGGCTGAAAACCTATGAGCCAGAATCAAAATTTTATGCTTCTTCTAAATATGAGCTCAAAAACAGTATATCTATTTTTGTTTCATATAGAAGTCAACAAATATTTAAAAAGTATAAAAGTCGGTTTATAAGACACACAAAGAAGTTTTTATTATTTTCGTTAGCGAAGATGATCAAAATCGTTGGAGTAGATGGATACGTAGAAGAAACACTACGGTACAAAATCTGAGAGAAGCTAAGCCATACATTTGAATTTATAAGTGTTCCCTCAGCGAAGAACTTTGATACAAAAGAAAATCATGGATAGAGCAAAACTAGATTGATTTGAAACATGGAAACTTAAGAATTTTTATAGACGATGAACGGAAACATCAAGTGTTGTATTTTGTAGAGAGAACTTTGCTCTACAACTTGATGTATTTATCTACGTCTTAACTTATAGTTCCGCCTTACCTAGTGACTGTGTATAAAGTTTACTTTTGTACAAACTTTCTTTTAGACCCTTGAAAGTTTCTCTAATGACATTTGACTTCCGTCAGTCCTTTTCAAGAGACCAAAAAATTAGAAAAAGTTTTGTACGAAGACTTTCGCGCCATAGGTTAATAGATAGAACATAGGCGAGCATCGTTTTTCATATGCCTTGAGACGTACGTTATGCATCAAATTCAAAACAGAAACCTTTTTTTTTCTGGAGACTATTTCAATATCAGCCAGAAAAACACTTTTAATCATCAACACGGCTTTGATCTTTTATAATTAAGCATTGAAAAATTACGCGACACCGCTTCTTTTTTTGGATCTTCGAAATTAGGAACATCTCGAATTTGCAACAAAGATTAAAATATATAAATAACCTTGAATCTTCAAGACTTTATCTTCATTCATAGACTGACGCTCAGCTTTTTGTTCTAACGGAAGCTTGATTTAATCTCCTTTCATTTTTTATATCATTTACCGCATCTCTCAACAATGTCCAACCTAACCGACAATCTACCAGCATTTCTAGCTTTTCGATTACCACGTCCTCTTCGATTTTGGTACTTTCTCGTTGCAAACATCGCATCGCTAACTTGTACTCTCTTCATTCTCTACTTTCTTCTCTTCGATGTGACACTTCGTCGCGCGCTCAACAATCACATCATCATTGTTCTTCTCGTCCTCGGTTTTCTCTACGAATCGTTCAACGTCTCGTGGCACATTCGAAGTGCTCGTTTCGATCAACCCTATGGTCGATGCCCAACACATTCTATCTCTTCTGGACATTCTTTGACTATGCAGTTTATTCCATTCAGATCTCTTTGTTCGCTTGGGCATCTATCGAACGACACATACTCATATTTCATGATCGATGGATGTCAACTCGAATTAAACGTCTTCTCATTCATTATGCTCCAATCGTCGTGATCATCGTGTATTACTTTGTCTTCTATAGCATTATCTATTTTGGAACACCTTGTGATAGGTCATTTGATGGTTTTCTGTCAGGAGGTGTGTATGCACCTTGTGCATTCTATCTGCAAACTGTTGGAACATGGGATTTGATAGTGCATGAGATGATACCTACCTTAATTATTTCATTCTTTAGTATAGCTCTGCTTCTACGTGTAATGCTACAAAAAGCACGAATGCGACAATCATTGCAGTGGCGGAAACATCGCAAGATGACAGTGCAATTGCTGTCCATATCAGTCATTTATATGTTGTTCAATATTCCTTGGGTTATTTTCATTCTTGGTCTGACTTATGGTGCACCACTGGAGATCGTGTGGCCAGCATTGATTTGCTCGAAGTTTATTCTGCATAATATCGTGTTTTTATTTCCGTTCGTGTGTTGCTTGTCGTTGCCTGAACTTCGTAAACGAGCGAAGCAAATGCTTCTGTTTCGAGGAAGACAACATCGAGTTGGTTTAATATCGATGTCGAAAACTCGTTTACGAGCACAGGGAGCGACCATGTAATTAAATATAGACGTGTCGTGATTTAAATAAAAGACAATTCCTATCGAATGACGATATTCTAAGACTCAGCGTATCCTCACATATGCCAATACACAAGAATGTCGGTCAAGGATTTTGTCTCGTGAAAAATAGTAAATAGATACGATACAACCATACGTGTTATTCTAAATGTTTCATACCACATTGATTTCGTTTTCATTCACAGCTTTATTTTGACTAAGCATCTGGCTTTTAATATTCTATAGGACTTAATGTGATACATTTAGGATGCAGAAATCAATAAGCAATGATCTATATATATATAAAGTAAAAATCGATGTTTAGCATCGATTTTGATGTATATGTATATGAAAGAGAAAAAAATTGTGTACGTTTTGTTTAACATTCATAATAGACTCGGTTCGTTTTATAAATTTAAGACTTAACGTCTACAGTGCCTTCATTTTGAAGTGCAACGTTGTCCTTTGGCTTTTCGATTGCCTTGTTTGTATTTCCACCTTCTTCTTCGTCGTCGTCATCATCCTCTTCGTCATGCTCTTTTCCATCTTGAAACGAGCGATTACGAGTTTCCGGTAACGTGGCAATTACACAAGCTAAGACTACGGCTAAACCTGCGTACACATAATTAGTAATTCGTTGATATTCATCTCCGACGGCAGTATCAATAATTGGTGCTAACATGGAACCAAAACTGCCAACAAACACGAATATAGCATTCGCCAAACCACGCATATATGTCGGAAACAGTTCGGGAACAAAAAGCCACGAAACAGACACAGCGGCACTAACACCAAATTTTCCTACTTGAGAAATCACAGTAGCTACAACCGGATAAGTTCCCGTCACAAACGGAATTGCCAAAACAGCGCCGGCTGTTAGTAAAACAAACATAATCAATGAATATTTTCTTCCTAAGAATGTGATGATACAAAGGCCAGCTGCTAGATAACCAAGACCTTCAACACCGGCTCCAATAATAAAATTTGTGTATGGACTAATCGCTTCACTTTTCTGACCTAAGTCATATGAAATTGTTGTATATAATAACATTGTTACAAATTCGATACATCCACACATGAACAATCGAGGTATAAGACGAATAATTCGACTGATTTTCTTCTTGGGCTTTTTCTTCTCGGTCGTTTTTTCCAAACGAGATTGCTCAACTAATTGCATATACATCGGATGCCATTCGCTCTCTTCTCGACGATTCGTTTTCGCAATTTTTCGTAGGCAAACTTCGAGTTGATCATATTTCTTTCGAATGAAAAGCCAATACGGTGATTCAGGAATGAAGAAAAGATAAGGTACAGTGACCGCAAAGTAAATACTCATAAACCATTTTAGATTCAACCAGTTTCGTGCTGCATAAGCAAAGCCGGTAAACATGACTTCTCCTATTGTGTACGCGACCATCGACACACCACCAGCAAAACTTGTGTGTGAAGATGACGTTAATTCCATGAGAAGAAGAAAGACGATGCCATATGGATCAATACCAGATACTATTTGATTGACCATTAGAAGACCGATTCTAATCGAAATAAACGGTAATAGAATATGAAATTCAGGCATCTAGCGCGTGAATTTACTTTAGATTTGCACTCATACTGACAAATTGAAGAAGTAATTGCGTAATTGCGGTGACGATATACATTCCCAAGCTTAATATCTGAAGCATTTTTCGACGGCCAACTCGATCACTGATAGGTCCAGTTATTAATACCGTAAACCTATCCAAACATATTCGGTATAGAATAGATAAAGGACAGAAACTTACGTTCCAAGCTCGTAAACAGTCGAAATCCAAGTTTTTCGTATTGCATTCTCACAAACAAACTTCGCTTCTTCGGTAAACGTTTTCCCATAGACACTTCGATCGAAAACAAACTCCTGACAACTACTTCCATTGGTATATTTACAACTCGATGATGTCATTAACAATGTATCAATCAGTTGCTGATGAGTCGAATTCGACGAAGAATATTGATTATCATTCGGCCAAACATCCGATGGAAGTCGACAACGAAAATAAGGTTCGGCCAGAGCGAACACATAGTAAAATCCGGCCATACCACTGCTGAAATTGAGCAGACATAATAAGCTGAAATGTATTAACTGAAATCGACCAAAGTCACCGCAACGCCTCAACACATTTTCTAATGATATTTCATCCATAATACCGAATGTTCTTTTTCGAAATCGTACAACTGTATAGAATTATAGATTAGTAGCTGCACTTTTCTTTTTCTTCTATCGTATTGATTTGACCTCAAATTGCATCTGATTTGTATATATATATATAACACTGTTTCAACCTTCGTTAAGTCCTTTTTCAACATGATTTCGATAATATATAGCTGTCATGTACTGTGGAGAAAGATCAGCACATCATGTCAAATCCCTTGTTGTTCTTTCCACTTCTTCAGTAATGAATTTCGTTTTCAGTCAATATTTACTTTTTACTTTATCCAGGAGATTAGTATATCTTTATTGACGTCAATGAATGCTAGAACGAGCGTATTTGTAACTGGATTTTTACGGACTTTCAAATAAAAATAAGAACGTACTAAGGATCAGATTTAATTACGAAATCTTCTACAATTAAAATACATCCATTTTTTCTCAACTGTATCAAGTACTTATTTGCCACAGTTAAACTAGAGATTGTGATTGCTTTTCTTTGATCAGTATGAAAAGCTCATCATGTTCAGTATATATAAATAAAAAAAACAAGCATATCTTCTTATAGTACGATGAGTACAAGTGCTATGATAAATGTCAGAATTGATAATCTCTACATTTTGTATGCATTAGTCGAAAAACATTCAAACAATAGTGTTTGTTGACATTTACTTTTTTTTTTTCTATATTCAAACATTTTGCTGTTTAAATATTCTCGGATGAAACGAGAAAATAATGCTTCTATGAGTTACCGGGAAAAGAAGATGTCTTCTAAGTATGTTATTATACTGATTTTTGGGTGGTTGATCAATGTTTATTTGTTGATCGCCTTGAAACAATAAAACAAAACTTAAAGCACATTTTTCTTTGACTTTACTCAATAACATACAAATGTATTCTCTCCTGCTTTGGTTGTTTCTCTCCACAATCGATGCGATTGTATTGACTCAAATCCATCGATCTGCAATCTATAATCCTAACTCGACTTGTGCTATTCTTTGGAACGTGCCATTGTCATCACCAGATGCATCGATTCAATCTTGTATTGGGCAATGCGTTCACGAAGCGCAATGTCAAACAGCCGTTTATTTTCATGATGATAGAGTTTGTTCGATGTTTGCTGAAAACTGTCGATCAGGCAAGGTTCTTCCATCAGTGAACATTCAAGCAAGTGTTATTTGTTATCGAAAAAATCCAGGTAAAGAGAGTATTATTATGATCTGCATAAGAAATGCTTCGTTCTAGATTCGAACACTAATTGTCCTTCGACTGCATCATCAACACCAGCAGTTATTCAGATAACAAAAAGTATGTCTATTACGCGCAACGCATCTAAACAATTTCAATTTCGAATTGTTATGAGTTTGTTGCTGTTCTTATTTTATATAGATTGGACAATGGCTAGAAGCATGGCTGTTACACGAGCATATCATATAGCATCTGTATTGACAGACGGAAAAGTGTTAGTGGCTGGCGGCTCTCTTAATATTGCTGAGCTGTATGATCCAACGACAAGTAATTGGACGACAACTTATAATGTGAATATTGCTCGAGAGCGTTCCACGGCGTCCATACTATCAAATGGTAACGTATTGGTGGCGGGTGGATTCAATGGAGCTTCTCTTAATAGTGCTGAATTATATAATCCAATAATTCGTAATTGGTCATTGACTGGAAGCATGGCCGTTGGGCGAGACTATCATACAGCATCTGTATTAACGGACGGAAAAGTGTTAGTGGCTGGTGGACAAAATGGTGGTTACCTCGATAGTACTGAATTATACGATCCGTCAACGGGTACCTGGGCAACAACTAGAAACATGACCATCCAACGCTATCGCCATACTGCATCTATGCTATCAAATGGTAAAGTGCTGGTGATCGGTGGATATGGCAACGGTGTTTATCAAAATAGTGCTGAATTGTATGACCCTACAGCAGGTGCTTGGACAGCGACTGGAAATATAAGTGCAGCACGAGAATATCTTGTTTCATCCTTATTACTAGATGGAAAAGTGTTAGTAACTGGTGGCTACGGAGATAGTCGTTCCTCGAATGTTGCTGAATTGTATGACCCTACAGTAGGTACTTGGACAACAACTGGAAGCATGATTTTTGCACGATACGGTCATACAGCAACTGTGTTGGCAGACGGAAAAGTATTAGTAGCTGGTGGACGTAATGATAACGGCTTTCATAGTTGTACTGAATTATATAATCCAACAACTGGAAACTGGTCAATACTTGAAAACATGCATTCTGCGCGAAGTTATCACACAGCTACCTTATTATCCAATCGAACAGTATTGGTGACTGGTGGCAATAATGGTTCCATAGCTCTCAAGAGTGCTGAATTGTATTGATAGATTCCAGTAAAATGACATCCGTTTTATTCACTTTTGTTCCTTTTCTCGAAGATCTATTTACAGACTGAAGACACGAACTCATTAAAGCACACAATAAATTAAGAATGATTAATGCAATTGAACCACAATCAGCAGCAACAGTCACTGGACCAATGGTAGTCACATTAATCACTTTTTGATTATCGATGAAATTGGGATCAGCATAATTTAGTAGATTAATATTTTACCATAGAAATAACATCCAATTACCCCGATCACTACAAACTAAAGATGAAATGTTTGCGGAAACGAGTCATCATCCTACCTTTATCCTAGATCTGTAATTCGTTAATCAACGTGTATAGTGTTGTTATAGTAAACTTGAATGACTATTTCAGTATATAGTCTACGTATTATAATATGAACGAAACATTCGTCTTTCAATCTAGTTCCGATGGACTGAAGACATAATGAGGCGTTATTACGAATACCTGTACTCTAATTGAGAGTGACAACAGCTGCAGTTACACGCTTGTTGATATACATTATCCTATAGGAAGAAAAATAACTCGAGTAGATGCGATCGAGTTACTTGTGACAGAAGACATATAGCTGTGATGAATACATTGGATTTATCTTACGTCATTGGTTCTTTTTTTTGACAGCCACTATGCGTATTTTAGTTTCTAGTCGAATAATCTTCTAAAGCATTTTGTGCGATGGTAAACGATTGAGTACAGTTACACTTATAAACGAGAGTATATTTTCATTTGATTGCTTGCGTCATAGGCACACTGCGTATCTGCGCGGATTGTTTTTCTATACTGTGTCCCATCGGCAGGTATTGAGTGTAACTATGACATATTCTTCGTTCATGTAATTTGTATCTGATAAGAATAGAGGAGGCGTGCAGCGATCCTCAACACCTTTATTTACATGCATTTTCTATGATTCGGCATATTATCGCCTACAAGCGTCTCCATTGATTACCGATGCACTTGCATCGAATATTTGCTCTTTTCATTCAGGACGCTCGAATGATCAAATATCTCAAAGTACTTTACAAATACTAGGTACTATGATAAATAAAATAAGAGTATTATTTACCGATTCTCAAAAAATTTGAGTTTTGATTTCAACCATACTTTAGTCATGTACTCTTCAGCATCGATCCTGTATAAGAACGTTTTAGTTCTAATCAAATGACAAAATCAGACATCGTTCTTTTCGTTTGATTTTGCTACATTGAAAGGATAGCACCTGAAAGCAAACTTTAGGCGAGTGATAATCATCAAGTTTATTTTGAAAGCAATTTATTATTTAAAAAAAATATGATAGATCATTTAATGGGCTTTGTTTAATTGTGGTTTTCGATGATTGCTATAGGCATATGGAGCAACTCGTTCTTCGTAATGAAGATGTGGTCCAGTTGTTCGTCCTGTATTTCCACTCTTTCCAATGACTTGTCCAGCTGAAACCTTCTGTCCGACTTTGACTGATTTACTGCTTAAGTGAGCAAAGAGTGTTCGAACTTTGTTGGAAGCTTCAATGACAATATGAGTACCATAAGCACTACCCCAATTGGCATTGACGACCGTACCGCTAACTGTTGCACGAACACTTGTACCAACAGGACAGGCATAATCATCACCAGTATGATAGCCAGCTGCCCAACTACCCTTTTTGCCGAATGGAGTAGTAATTGATCGGCCTGGAATTGGTAAATGAGCGCAGATCACTGCGCATAGTGTAAGGAATGAAACGAAGAAGAAGACTCTGCACATTTTCGTGTGTATGTGTTGGTGGTAAAACGAATTTAAAGTCGTTATTTATACTCGAAGACGAGGCGAGAAAGTAGAAGGATTACACAAAGATGATTGCTCTCATTCACATGAGACCCATTTGCTTTTTAATCAGCAAAACAATATTCGACAGATGTGCATTTTCTCTTGTTCTGCGATATAGAATATGATTCTCATGGATTAAGAAAGCGAAAGTCAAATGAATGGATCGAGAATAGAAATCGAAAAATATGCACGGAATGACCAATACGATAGATAAGAATAAAAATATGATTTGCACCAAGCTTCATGAAAAGTTATACAAAATTCAGTTCAGCATCGTCTTATCAGATATTGCTGCCCGTGAACTTGGTTTTATTTTTACTAACACAGGAAGGCTAGCCAAAATTGATCTAGTTCAAGCGATTTATCCATCCTATGATGGAAATCTCAACAGTATTTATAGTTGCTCATGTAAAAGATACTGTATTTAATAACACGATAGATATAGTGATAATAAGAAAAAAAAACTTGACTATCATAGCTCACCCACAACTAAAATCAACATTTTCTTTATTAAACATGATAATGTAAGTCTTATAGTTATTAGCTATTTCTGGGAGAATATGGAGTAGAGCGCTGATTAAAAACAGTATTTGTTGAATATGAAGGCTGTGGTATGAATAGGTCTGCGCATACTTCGTGCAATACCTTCAACTTGTTAGTTGCATCTATTTTCGCTTTGAAATGTTTCTCAACTTCTGCGATTTCATTTTCTGCTTTAATTTGTGTTCCTTGTAATTCTTCTGGTAGACCACAGATTCCACTTCGACAAGGCGAATCACTTCCAAATATACGAAAACAACATGTCCATACCAATTTCAGATGTTGATCGTTAGATGCACCTCTTTGCGTCAATAATGATATTTTTAGTAGTAAGGCTTGTGCTTCATTATAACTAACTGGCTTCTTTGTTTGAAGATCATAAATATATCCATCATGATATTGACAATTCCCATAGTTTGTCTTCGATAAAATATAACCACGACGACATTTTGGACAGATTTTTTCCGTTTCGTCATCTCGTTCTTTTCTTTCTCGTTCCTTTTCTTCGTCGATTTGTTCCTGACTCTGTTTGAAGTCGATATCTTCGATGAGTCGACTACGAAGAAATGGATGTTTCACAACCATGACAATCCATTTTTCTTTTGCAATAAAGTTGTTCTAATACGAAATCAAATAGTACTCACGACTTTATATCGCAACAATCGAAGAGACACTTACATCACAATTATCCGGTTTGTTCTCAACAAATGCTTGTTTACATTTCTCACGGATATTTCGATAGAGTTGAATATTTGAGATGGATGTTGATTGAGACATGTTCGAATCATTGATACTTAGTGTAATAAGTGAATCCATGTCAAAAACGAACATTGAACGATTGTATTCATCACATTCTATACAAAACAAAAGTGAGATGACGAGAGAGAGAGAGAGAGAGAGAGAGAGAGAGAGAGAGAGGTGTTGAAAGAATCTCACCAGCGAATGTTGTTGCGAGTAGTTCAATGATCTTGTTCTCATCAAACGCCGTGTTTTTTGACAAGAAATCTGTATCGATGATTTGGATGCTATCGATATTTCGACTAGAACAACCGTTGATGATGCGTGCGAACAAAGTCACTAGTGATGTTTCATCATCCAACAGTTCTTTTTCCAAAGTGGGCCCATTTAGTAGTTCGATGAAGCATTTTCTTTCTTGTAGATCAATTAGAATTCGTCCTGATGGTTTGTTTCTTTGAAGAACCAATGAGAACTGTTGAGATGGATTATTGGTTGCATTTGTTTGGAAGATGTTGGGATAAATACGACAAATTTCAGGTAGAATGTGAGGTCGTGAATGTGATTCCGTCAAGGAAATTCCGGAATTCCGCTTTACGAATTCGGTCAATCATACAGGATGGTAGAAGGGCCTGCGTAAGCAAGGATACAATTCCAGAATCGAAGAAATCGATTCCTAAATGTGCAACTGCGGAATAGGATGTATTCTTGGTTTGCTTAATCAAGTTTATCATTTCAAAAAATCATCATTGCAGATCGTTTATTAGCGTTTTTGTTGATTATTACAATCGAGATGAGCCGAGTGGAAAAATAAGAAATTTTATTTATGATGTCTCCAGCAACTACATGTCAGACTGCTGTAAATCGAATCGCATAACTCGACGATTGATATATTCCGAAACGTACAGATTCCCATCCAGATCACATGCTACATCGTATGGACCATAAACTTGATTTGTCTGATTTCCCTCACCATTTCCACCAACAACAATCTCACCTTCTTGATCTCCTTCCCGCCATCGCATGACTCGATGGTTGCCCCAATCTGCAATATAAATTTGATTCCACAGATCGACAAAAATACCTTGAGGATGAAATAATTCATTTACACTATCGCCTCGCCCATTTCCACCAGCAACAACATATCCTTTTCGAGCACCTTTCAACCATTTCATTACACGATGATTGTTATAGTCTGAAACGTAAACCGATTGCTTCTCATCGACGAACAGGTACGTGGGAAGACTGAATTGATTCAGTCGACTTCCTTGTCCATTCCCTCCAGCAACCAATGTTCCTTCCTTTTCTCCAATTGTCCATTGTCTCACTTCGTTCTTTACAGTATCAGAAACATACAGGAATCCATATTTATCCATCGCTAATCCAAAACAATCGATATTCTCGATAAGAACTCGTTGATTTTTATCGTTAAACCATTGAACTATTCGTCTGTTATCTCGATCAGCAATAATCAGTGACTGACTCTGTTGATCAAACACCGCAGATGTCGGATATGCTAATTGATTGATTCTGTCTCCTAGACCATTTCCGCCTGCGACGACTCGGCCGTTATTTTCATTGTACTTCCATTCAATGATACGATGATTCCACTCATCAGTAATAAACATCGTTTTCTTTTCGTCGACAAAAATATGTATAGGAATCGAGAGTTGATCTAAGCTTTCTCCTCCGCCATTCCCTCCCGCAACTATCTTTCCATGTCGTTCAAATTTCATTCCTGCAGAAATACAAATTATCAGAATTTGAATTTGACTAACGAAGATAACTTAATCACTAGACGGTTACCTGGCATGACAGAATTCATGGTAGTTACAGTACTCGTACTTGTTGTTGTTGTTGTTGTGCTTTTCACTATTCATAAATAGAGATCATTTATTTATTCATTCATTCACTTATTTTCTAGTTACCGGATTGCATCGATGGACACAAATCTTGTTCAGCCATCGCTAGTGGATAGCACACGGGATGATCAGCACATCGAGTGTGATGAACACATATATGGTCAGAATCGAAGCAGTCTAGCGAGGGTCCACAGGGCTGAAGTTCATCGCAAGATTGCCAGAGAAAAGCACAAATACCAATATTATCCGTACCAGCCATTGGAAAGCATCCACAGGCACCGTTACCCGAACATTCCTCATATGCAGACGTTGTCTGACATATTTGAGAGTCTACTCGAACTATTATACGATAAAATAATGTCGACGGATATATAACGTCAAATAGCAAACAAACCTGCAAAACTAAAATAACAAAAAAGAAAGTTCGGTGTCAAGGAAGAAATAAAACAAAAATTAAATACCTCATGAGAAGAAAAACAAAACGAACGCTGATTGTTATCATCATCGATTGACTTTGAATGAGATAGTATCTTCCACGAAATATGCACGTTACCCTGAATATATAGGCACTAGTTATCTATTCTGCGAACGATGACGAGAGAAGAGAGAGTTGTATAATCCTTCCATGATTGGAAACACGATACTACTGTTTTGCATTCTTTCTAATGCAATCTCATAGTAAGTGAAAACGTGTAACGATGGAATGAGTTGACATCAGCGATAGCGTTGTTTATAGTATTTGGCAATCGATATAAAATAAGAGTACGTCGTACTTCTGTACGAAAATACGGCTATGAGTCTAGCGTCTTGTTCATCACCCACACCCACCCTCAAATTAATTGATCCACGTCCGCATACTCCAGATAACTATCATAATGAGGTGTATTCGTGAATATATATACTTAAACATCAGCCGTGTTTCTTTCAAATAAAATCCTACGTGTGAACTTGCAAATTGTATCTGACTGAAGTCACTAAAAAAAAGCTCTTTCTTTCCAACATGTTGAATATCGTGAATAGCTCGTATGACAATGCACCAACACTTTCTACTACCCTTTTTTGTTCGATGAAGTTTTGGTTCTACACTGTATTTCTCATTTCGTCGACTGCCTGTACGTTCTTAGTCATCTATTACCTTCTTTTTGACCGAAGACTCCGTCGTGCTCTCGGCAATCATGCTATTCTTATTATTTCGATTTCTTGGTCTTGTCTCACAGTCACTCGATTTTCAATGTAATGTTGCTTGGTGGACAACACACGTCATGTGGCACTGTTTTACGCTCTAACATTGATAATCAAAAATCTCTACTACAAGACCACGACATGAAATTAACTCAATTATTGTCATTTTCGCATCTCCCATGCGTTTATGTATACAACAGACCTCCACTCAAAGACACAGCGAATTATTCTGACAAGTCACTTGCTCACACAGCAGAACGTGTCGTACACGTTAAATATAAGGAATGTATGTGATGAATAATCATTTGTAAGCATCTTAGTTTTTAATTATTTTCCAAATAAGTTTTCTACGTCGTCGGCTGAGCTCGTTATCATGTGATATTGCTTTTTAACAGAAATACAATGCTACAGTCAAAGTACATTTTGTTCGATTATGATATAAAAAAACATTTGCAAACAACGATCGTAAAGCCACTATGAATACATCTCAACTTCAGCAAGACGTTCACAAAATTCCGTTGACTGATCTCTTTCAACGCTTTCACACCAATCCTCTCACTGGTTTGTCGAATAGTTGTGTACGTGAAGTAAAAGCTCACTACGGTAGGAATAGTATTGCACCGCCGAAACGAGCAGTTTACAACTGGCTTCTATTGAAACGATTGATCACACCTTTCAGTTTGGTTCTTTGGCTAGCTGGTATACTGGCAATTCTCGCCTACAAGCCGCTCGGAGCATCGACACCGTCGATTACAACTTTGGGAGTTGGCATCGTCATTTTCCTCGTGGTCATCTGCAATGCTATTCTGAACGTTTATCAACGAGTGAAATCGATCAAGATTGTCGCGTCGTTCTCAAAATTATTGCCGACTGGTGCGACAGTTCGACGCGATGGGATTGAACAACAGATTAATGTTAGCGAGATCGTTCCAGGTGATATTATTTTAATACGAACGGGCGATAAACTACCAGCCGACTGTCGTTTCTTCGTTTGCAATGAACTCGAAGTAAAGATGCCTTTCTTTTTACAGCGCTGTTTCTTTAAAAATATTTTTAGATAAGCACATCGGACATGACTGGCGAATCGAAGCTTATTACAACCACGGTTCAATCGACCAACGACAATTTCATGGAATCTACGAACATCGGATTTTATTCATCTTTCGTGGTGCAAGGTGCAGGCGAAGCAGTCGTTATCGCGATAGGTGAAAATACTGTTCTGGGCAAAATGTCTCGAATAACACAAAACAATCATGACGATAGAACCACAGATTTGGATCGCGTTGTCAATCGTTTGGTCCTACACATTGTCATCGCTGCTATCATCTGTGTCATCTTTCTATGGATCACGTGGGCAGCATGGCTTAGATATGCTCATCCCGCTCTTGTGTCTGTATCTGACAATGTTTTAAATTCAGTTGGTTTAATTATTAGTTTCTTACCTTTTAATCTGGCATCAGCGATTACTATCGGTAAGTGATCGTATGTAATAGGCAGATAGTCTCTGCCAAGGTCTTCTTTTCAGTATTAACAATAGTGGCTAAACAATTGTATCAACAGCGCATATTAGTCAATAGTTTGCAAATTGTTGAGAAGTTCAATTCGGTTTCGGTGATTACAACAGACAAAACGGGCACGTTAACAGAGAGTAAAATGACAGTCACCAATATACTTTGGGACATAGATGGTGAATATAGAATTATTCAAGAAGATGATCAAATGGCGCAGACATTGACACCATCAAGGATCCATTGCATGACGACAAGAAGAGTATCTCCACTAGTAGACAAACGCTCGCCTGACTTGAAAATGGGAGCATTGGCTGATCTTTTACTGGGTGCTGCTTTATGCAATGATGCTAGCACACATCTCGTAAACGATACATCGGCAACGAATGCGGACTTACGGCTCGTTGGTAATCCTGTCGATACAGCTTTGTACAATCTATGCGTTTATCATTATCATATGGATATCAATGAAATACGTTGTTTGAATGCACGTATAAAAACGTTCGCATTCAATTCAACGAATAAATTTATGATTTCGGCCAATCGAGTTGAACTGTCCGATGGTGAACGCATGGTTCTAGTGACAATGAAAGGTGCGTCGGACAATACACTGCAACGATGCTCATCATATAAAACGAGGAATAATCAAATTTTACCATTAACACCTGAGATAAGAGAAAAACTATGCCACCGACAAGAACGATTAGGTAAGAGAAAAAGAGATTAACCTGAACTTTCTGCATGTGAATATTTCAAGGTAACAATAGTCATCGTGTGATTGCTATGTGTCAACAAACGTTCACTCAAGTGGAGTACGATTATATGATGCAACAGTACGAAGTACGCCGTCGTTTTCGAACCGCCAGTGACGAAGATCTGAACGGTTTTCCAACAAATAAGTATTGTTTTATTGGCTTCTTTTCATTATTTGATCCACCTCGTGCCGATGTGTCTGATTCGATTCTGAAAATTCGTGCCGCACACATTCGTGTAGCGATGATTACGGGCGATCATCCAACAACGGCGAAAGCGATCAGCAAACAAGTGAATATCTTATCATCAGAAATCTCGAAAACGAACGGCATCGATACATTCAAAATCGAGCAAAACGAACAAAAACAATCGATTTTCCAACTGTATCGTAACGAAACATTTTTGCAATGCCATGCCACTGATACATTGTTATCATTGACTGTTGAAAATAACAACGACGACGTTTCCAGCAAGATACCATGGTATAGGCAATGGCATTCATCACCACATGCGAAACAGCGCACAATTCCCTATGCAGTTATCGTGAGTTGACATCAATGACATTTGTGTCTCTTATGGTTGATTATATGCTATAGGTGAACGGTTCTCAAATTGATTACATGGACGAGTTCATGTGGAATTGGGTATTGTCACATGAAGAGCTAATCTTTGCTCGAACGTCACCTGAACAGAAATTGCGTATCATCGTGGAATTCCAACGACGAGAGGAAATAGTCGCGGCTGTCGGTGATGGAACTAACGATGCACCATCACTGAAATGTGCTGATATCGGCATTGCCATGCAATCAGGTGCCAACGTTTCGAAAGAAGCGAGCGATATGATTCTAGTAGACAATCGCTTTTCGTCCATCATCTTAGCAATTGAAACTGGCCGCGTCCTGAGCGATAATCTAAAAAAAGTCATCATGTACTTACTACCAGCAGGTAAATATCAAACTAAACCGATATGATTGAATGTCGAATCTACCTTATTTACTTTTCAGGTACTTGGTCAGAACTTTGGCCGGTGATTTTCAATATTTGGCTTGGCATTCCATTGTCTCTTTCAGCATTTCTAGCTATAATGCTATGCATGTTGAATGATATGATCATTTCACTTGCTATGGTGACCGAGAAACCTGAAACAGACGTCATGTCCCAACATCCGTCGTCGAAAAAGATCAATTCTCTAGTTAATTGGAAATTAATCGTGCATGCATATCTCTTCGTCGGCAATCTTGAATGTTTTGCTGCATTTTTCTGCTATTGTTACTATTGGATCGACAATGGAGTATCATTCTATTCGTTTCTATTCGCCTATGAAAATTTCGGTGGCAAACCTCCAACAACACTGGATTCAAATGATTTACACGGCATGGTCAACGTCGCTCAGTCGATCTATTATTGTGCCTTGTGTACTCTTCAAATTTTTAATTTCTTCGCTACACGAACACGATATGCATCAATTTTTCAACAGAATCCTATTTGGGGCGAACGTCGAAATTTGTATGGATTAGGCGGCATAGCCATGTCGGTTGTTGTTCAGTTGATTCTCACACAAGTGCCTTGGTTCAATCAAATATTTTTCACTGCACCCGTACCAGTCAAATATGTCTTACCTGCAGTTGGCTTTGGTTTTCTTTGGTTAGTCATTGATGAACTACGAAAACTCTGTGTCCGTCAATATCCTCATAGTATTGTCGCGAGAATTGCTTGGTAGAAATAAAACTGGCTTTTTTTCACCGAAAATGTAAATAAAATAACATTCTTCATATCCTCAAATCAGAAACAAAAAAAAATCAATCTAAGTGTTGGCCAACATGGTCAGACCATATCTCGAGGGTGACAAGTGATAACAATTAAAGTAGCACGTAATAACTTTCAAGCATAACTACAGATGTAGCAAAATATATCCGTTTTTTATTGAAATAAATACTACGCAAGCAGTGACCGTCAAAGACACTTAAAGCCGCGTACACAAATACATGGAACAAAACCTTTTTATGCCACCTTACAAATATGTAAGTTATATGGCGCAGTATGTAGGTACAAGAATTACAATGATGATGAATGGTGTATTACCATACTTTTTGTCACTGACAAATCTATAAAGCTGTAATTCGAAAGGAAAAATGCATCATCTGCTTGTATAAGTTGATGAATTGATGTAGAAATGCTGTTTGTAATATTTGTTTTTTCCACTTCAACTACTTCGACGACATTACACTTATCAATTTGGTGATGAAACACCGACGAGCAAGATGTGAAGAGAGAAAAAGTCGATCATTTCAATATCGAATCATCGTCGATTTATTTTCGCTTTCTTTAATGTGTGTGATAATCCAAATACAGAGTTCATAAAAGCTCTTTCTCTCTTTCCTGTCGATCGTCGTATCGATGCACAAAATTGCGATTGAGTTTCAGGAAGTATTTAAACTGATGTCTCTTCAATTATTGGTGAAAGTGTTCGTTGTCTGGGTGAAGACGATGCATTCACATATACAAACCGCTGAATCACTGGCTTTCGTCTTCGATTTCGACGTTCCCGTCGAAGTCGTTCCTGTTCTCGACGTGTTGGATTAATTCCAAAGCAATATTTAAGGATATCCATTATAATTACGAATAATGCTACGCATATCAGTGCTAAGATTCCAATGTATCCGATAGATCTGGATACAGCTTGATAAACTTGAATTCTTGTTTCAATATTTTCACAATGTTTACCAAAAGTACCACTAAGACATTGGCATAGATATCCACCATCCGATAATGAGCGACAAACACCTTTATTATAGCATGTAATGTTCGAACAAAAATTAGTTCTGCTTTCACATCGCATTCCTTCGTAACCAAATGTGCATGTGCAATTGTAATTCAAATCTGATGTTATACTACAATTACCTACATGTAGATTAAGAAAAATTTAATCAAATCAAAGCAAGGAAAAGTGCATTTACCGTTATTTAAACAAGTGGTTTCTTTACAAATCCGCTGATCGGTTTCACAATGTTTTCCAGTAAAATTCGATGAGCATGAACAGTTATAATCTTGATTGTTGTTAAGATTAGTACAATTTCCATCATTTAAACATGGTCTCTGTATTTCACAAATAGTACCCGGTGTCATGCAATCTGGACCGATATTCGGGGAATCTTCACATAAACGTGCTACGAAAAATAATGATGGTGCAGTGTCTAGTTAATGAAAGAGAAGAAAAAGGAATTATAAAGCGTTCAAATTGCATACTGGAATGTGCAACTAAGTTTCCCGTTGTTAATGGTCGGTTGAAGATTATTGTTGAGCCGCCGTGTTCGTTAGCAGATTGCGAAGTCTCTGGTAAATCTGTAGTTATTGTTGTTATATGTTCAGAAGTCATTGAAAATACTGTGAAAAGAAGGGGAAGTTATTTTCTTCATGAACTTAATTGAATTATATCGTTAATAATGATTTTAACAAAACTTACCACATGAACTGTTGGAAATATTAAATTTTTTAATACGATGATTATGCTCGTGAGCAACATATAAATTACCTCTGCTATCAAAACGAAGAGAATATAGCCTTTCTAATAGCGATCTCGACGGTTCCTGGCAACCAATGATACACCAATAAGTATTATCGTTTCTAACTTGGATTATTCGATGATTGTGTGTGTCTGCAATGTATAGAAAACCATCACCGTCAAGGATCACATCGCTGGGAGCATGTAAATTTAAACCACTTGGGATGTTTTTTCCAGCCACGATCGTACCTTCCAATTCTCCTTGTCGAAAAAACTGAATTCTATCGTTATCTTTATCAGCCACATATAAATTAAAATGAATATCAACAAATATTCCCCGGGAATCACTCAACTGGTTTGATTGTGATCCTGTTGACTTATTTCCTGCAATTGTGATTACTGTGTGATTATTCCCATCTAACGGTATCTTCACTACTCGATTTTCGCTTCCGAGAGAACAGTAAAGATGATTTCGAATATCGATAAAAAGACCAAAACAATTCCCTGAAAATTTTGTTTTAGATAGACTAATTGTTGAATTTGTTGTGATCTTCGCTATTTGATATGTTTTATCCCGTCTTTGAAAGTAAATATCACCATTTAATGTTACAAATAAATTCGAGTACTGGAATAAACTAGTATTTAGTTTCCGTTCTGGATTGTTATTATTTCCAGACCAGATCAGAATTTGATTATTAGAAGAATGAGATGCATAAATTGTATCATTTGAATCAATAAACAGTCCGCGATGCGTCTGACCAACCATAGTCGCATTAGCAAACACAATTCCATAATGACTCCATGTTACTTTTGCGCAAAGTTTTGGTTGATTATATGAAACTGAAGAAAAGAGGAACAAATTTTCCAATCATTCTAATTACTACGAGTTATGTCGCCTATCTACGACATTGTGAGATCATCGTAAACTGTCATACTACAAAAAATGAAATCTTTTTATGAATGTATAGATTTCCAACTGTACTTTTTCCAGTACATAATTCCGTTTAGTAAGTATATGAGTGTGTTAAATAAAAATCTAGAGGGTGAGAGTTGACACAAGTTTCAAGATCGTTCAGTAGTACACTTAGAAATAAGCAGAAGACATGCATATACTCACTAGGATAGTTTAGAAGTTCAAATTTTTGTACTCGATGATTACCGAAATCGCTAACATAAAGCGAACCTTGACTATCGAACGCTAGTGAATGAGGAGAATATACTTGATTTGCCGTATTTCCAGCGCCACCAGTGCAGGCAGCAATACATATACCAACGTGTGAGCCGAGAGCCCATCTTGTTATTCGAGAGTAACTACCTTCTTCCCTAATATACATGTATCCATCTTTATCAACAATAATATTCGTTGGTGTATTAACGTGCGTTAATTCATTGCCAGTTTTTCCGTCACCAGCTACACGGATACCAGATGATGCTCCAGATGGCCACTTCATAATTCGGTGATTCAAACTGTCTGCAACGTATATGGTTTCAATCTCGTTTACAAAGATTCCGTACGGTTGATTTAGTTGTGTATCGGTGGATCCATCGGATCCATTACCAGCAACAACTAAACCATTTGTTGCATTTGTTCGAAAAAGTAACACCTTGTGAGCATCTCTATCGCTCACATATATATTATCGTTGCCATTGATAAACAAACACAATGGCCTACTTAAGTCTTTTACATTAAGTACTACAACTGGATTTGAACCGTTAAGAGACATTTTTTGTACTCGTTTACCCAAATGTTCAAGAACATAGAGCGAAGTATTAAAGATGAAAACACTGTATGATTGATTGAATTCACCGGAACTGTTTCCTTGCCCAAAATCAATAAAATAATTATTTGTGATTGAGTTAAGATGAACAACAACAATCCGATGGATTCCTGCATTACTAATATAAAGAACGTCGTTGTCTGTAACTGATATCTCCACGGGCTGGAGAAGTTTAGCATGCGATGATCCTGGCAGTTCAACTACATCATTAGCGACTGTGATACCACTTTGATCCCAAGACGAATACAGTGATAGTTTTGTTAGCACTGAAAAATGCAAAACTATGCCGTCATCATTTTCGATTCATAGAAAGCACTATTAGTAATATACTTTATGTTCATGTTTGTCAGTCATTGAAAGCGGAAAATTAACTATTTTAACAGGAAAAAAAAATCAAATTTCTATTTTAGATTATTTCTTTGATAAGAAAAATAATTCTACATTTTTTTAAGATTCGTAAAAGAATACGATATTTATCGACCATGTTATCACTTAATCCTCTTAGAAAAGATCAAATTCAAGAATCCTTACTTGATATTTTATTGATTAACATCATTAAAATTATATGTATTAGCAGATAAACGCTCATTATCATTCTATCGACTTTCTAAATGTTTTCTGATTAAAAACTGATTGTCGAGAAAAAAGATGACATGATTTTAAAGGAAAATAATATAGGTTGTGTCAACATATTGACATCAAACAGACAATTATTTGATATGCGAAGGTTGGAAAAACAGACTATATCAAAGTATGTTTAATTGTTGGTGTTATTCAACGATTAAATTTTTATCTGAAGCACGAAATGAAAAACTGCAAGCGTTCGTAGCAGTTTTCTGGTGAATTCATCGGCGTACTCACTATCATAATGTCAAATGTTGTACGAAACTCAATTTATTCTCACTGTGCGAATTTCATGAACAAACACTGTCGAAATTTCCATTTAAAAAGTTGCCTAAAAGTGCCTGAATTTGCTATTTAGAATCTTATTGATATTTGTAACTTGATGTCGTGTCTAGATGAAACTTTTTTTCGAGGTAAAAACACGTTCAATGGATTATGTCATGTCTGTAAATTCTATCTCTAAACTAATGTTCCTGGCTTTGACAAAACCAAATACAAATATTTGGATGATTGCTTTTTATCTAAGCAGTGCCGCTTGAACTGAAAAATAAATGTATCTTTATTGATTATCACTCTGAATATTAACTTCACAAAGCTTGTCTTTAAGTATCTCACTCAACACGATAAATGTAAATGTCTTCCGGTTTCTATTTGCACTGAACATTCAAATCATGACAAGTAAATACTTCTAAAAATCGCTCTTTCAAAGTAACATTTCTAACTAACCGCCTATCAAACATTGACGATGTAGGCTAAATAGTGTACATACATTGGTAGCAAATTTTGTTGCTCATCTTTCTAAAACTGACGTTATGTATTTATGCAGTATGAAAAATGACTGTTAATACCATTCTGTTTTTTTACTAGAACTGTCGAATCAGGTGTCCGTTAGAAATTTTGCGAAAGGATCGATAACCAAAAATTTATCACGAAGTTCGTAACTGACAAATAGGGTCACTGAGTGATGAAGATATGAATGCGTGTTTAGAGAAAATCACTTTCACACCCTTGAATATGAAAGCAACAGATCTATGCAAGTTTTCTTGAATTTTGGCGTTTTTGCTTTTTAAGAAGATGCAAACAGCATGCAATGGATTTTCAAGAAGACAACAATATCTCAAACAAACACCAGAACATATTGTCAGGTGGCCAGAGTAGGTGGTGCAAAACTTAGTTTACTCACAATATGTGTGAATGTAAAGTATGTGCGTGATGAGAATATATCATAATTAAGGTAATTGTAAAAAGTTCCGCTGGAAAAAAGATATCTAATTAAATATCTTCGAATAGATGACGTTAAATCCGCCTGTGTACTGAGTATGTATTACAAAAAACGGTAGTGTACTGAAAGCAGTATAAATCATTTATATATCGGAAAGATTTTATATGAAATTATTACAGCATTACAATTGACGATTTTTGAAAATATTTGAAACTGTCGGAAGACCTTTCCAACTCACAAGCAGGAAAAGTAAACAAATGAGAAAAATATACACACTATTTCGATACGCTATTGAATAGCATGGAAAAACACTCTCACTGTACTTCAGAATATGTTCAATTCACGAGAAAATTGATTACAATCAAAACTGCCATTCATATAACGAAGAGCATGACTTCGTCGGAAGAATTATTTTTCAAAAATGTATTGATTTGCAGAAGGTTTCTAACTAAGAATATTACATCTATGGAAGTATAACGGTGCAAAGGCTACGGTGATGATGAATGCATAATCTGTTTGTATAAGTTGACGATTGAATGGTATACTTCGTTCATGAATGAGATACAAATGTTGTTTGTTATATTTTTGAATTCGTCGTCACGTTGGATTCTTCGGTAACTCACTGTTTTATTGTCCTTAACCTCACCCTTTGACAGGTGTGTAAAGACTCATTCCAAGTCGAACCCACCCTATTTGTCGTGAATGGTTGTCACTATTTGGATTAACGAAGTCTGGAATTCGTTCGAAACTCATCAAGAGAGATTATCAAATTTAACTTTTGAATCAATATAAGTCAGATAGCTGTCGTTTGCATTCATGATGATCATTCCCCCTTTTGTATTCGCAAAGGATAGTCGCATTCTTTCCACTCATACCACTCAAATACCATTTTTCGTTTTCGCTTTCTTCACACACAAAACGAAAATTGATATAATCAATAATATACAATAAACTAATTAATTTATTATTCTATCAATAATCAACAACAACAAGAACATATTACCACATTTTTCCTGCTCTTACGAGCGGAAAAAATGCAAACCTACGTGGGTATTGATGGATCACAAATTTTATATGATCCTCAATCTGGTAATAGCTACACACTCATTGGTAACAACTTCAACAACAACAACGTTAATTATAATGGCAACTATAGATACTTTCAACAGTCAAAAAATAACATGCCGCAAAATTATGACAACGGGTACTACGAACAACGCGGAGCTCATTCACATATAAGCACCAGCGCGAATAGTCAACAACGACATACCAATACGATAGATGAATCTTCAAAACAACAACAATATCAACACAAATACCAAAAACAAACGAACACGGGGCAGAAAAGTGTACAGCAGATGGACTATGAAGAGAACAACATTCCGGTAGTTTCAATAGATAAGGAAAGAAGAGAGGATGACTCAGCAATATGCACAAGTACTCCGGATCAACGTCAACGAGAACAAAACAATGTAATTACAACAGAAGATCACTCAGATGGCTCAGCGAACAATTTTTCATCGCAACATCCATCCTCCTCAGGTCCAAAACGACCACTCAACGATAGTGGAGAATTCGTTATCAAAAGCTCAAATAAAACAAGAAAGAAATCGCATTATAGAGAAGACCAGCAAACCAACACCATCGCCAACGAAAACGGAAAACCCAATCATCCAATTCCGGTGGAACATCTTCAAAGAGCAGTTGTACACAACCTGCCATGCTTCGTAATAAAATTTTCACAGGTGGATAATCTTCCCGGAGCAGTAGCAGTAGCAGAAGAACTATACGAAAGTTTTAGCAACAACAAGATTCAACTAGTGGACCAATTCTCTGTTGTACGCTATAGTGGTCTGCATCTAAGAATAGGTGTTAAAAACAAAGAGGACTATCGTACGCTATGTAATGAAAAAAATTGGCCCTCTAAAATACTAGGAAGAACAATCTCAGTCAATATACCAAAATTTGTTCCGGAACAATTTTCACTGGTGGTCAGGTTTGTACCGAAAGAATTCGATACAGAACAGATTGCACGGGAAGTGAAACGATCAGCAAGTACAGCCAACAACTTCCGAGAAATTATCTACCCGTATACGAGAGCAACGAAAGACTTTCGGTTCTCAGTGACAGATATAAAAGAATATAATGGTTTATTGAAACTAGGCCATATAGGCATTGCGAACATGATGAGAAAAATTACTCCGTACAGACCATCAAACAAACTTACATATTGCACCAAGTGCTGGAGATTAGGACACATCAGAAGTAAATGTCCGGAAGCGTCACAAAAATGTAGAATATGTCTGGAAGACTACAATCAAGAGCACAACGATGAATGCTCCAAACAATATAAATGTGCACAATGTCATGAAGAACATTATTCTTTAGATGGCGAATGTCCAGAAATACAACAACACCGTCAAGAACTCAACAAGGCAGTTAAAGCAGCAGTTAGGGAAGGTACAATTCAAAACGTTACTACTAATCAAACATCTAAACCCTCACAAAATCAATCAACAAGTAATACAAATCTAAACTTTACCAATGCCAATTTTCCACCGCTTCCATCAGCCACTATGTCGAAACAAAATACAAAACCACCACCATGGGCACAAAAGAATACAGCGATAACAACAAATCAAACCAACGATATAACCAATGATCAACTCTTCGAGAAACTGCGCAACCACATCGACCAAGCTAATGAAAAAGCAAATACCAAAATTCAAATAATGGAAGAAAAATTAAAACTAAGTGATAATGCCATAGCAGTGCTACATAATCGAGTATCCAAGATGGTGGAAATCCTGCAAACCATTGTACAAGCAGTAGCACTTACAACAACAAATATACCAAACTCAATAACATCAAACGACTCAGAAGTTAACATGGGCGAACTTGTGTTAAAAGCGATGACTTGTTTAAGAGAAGAAAGGAACATACTCAATATCGGAGGTGATGGACAACCTCGATCACAAGAAAAAGATGATACTATGATCATGGAAGTACCGGTAAGACAAACGCAAACAGATCAATCTACAAACCCTAATGTACAGTAAACTCAATCCTAATGCTACCGCTTTCGCTTACGCTTGCAATGAAACGAAATCAGCCACGCAGTTAGCACAAGACAGATTAGACCGATGCCAAGTTAGTAAAAAAGACCAAAACATAATCATTCCAATCCTGGAGGAGTGGTTTTCATCTTCCACACTAAACAGTGTTCTAGCGAAATGGGAAGGACATAACAGAAAAGAGAAAAATAGCAGCGCGAAACAAACGCTTCCAATCTCCTTTTTACAGTTTAATGTACAAGGTCTCAACGCGAGGAAAGAGGAAGTATTAGAACTAACTCAATTAGCAAGCGCATCCTTCATCATATGTACAGAAGTAGGAGAGCTATGGCATACCTTAAAAATGCCAGACTTCAACATATTCCACAAGCATGGAACGAACAAGAACGGTGGAGTAATTATAGCGGTAGGAAAACATCTTCAAGCAGTTAGTGTGGACACGAACATGACCAACACAATAGTAGTAGATATTTTTGGGCTGAATGAACCAATAAGAGTAATAGGAATTTACTGGCCTCAGAGCCATAAAAGATCATTAGAAGACATCGTACCTTACATTAACAAAAACACCATTATAGCGGGAGATTTCAACGCAACAGTAGTGGAATGGAATAGCCCTGCAACGGACAAAAGAGGCGAGATAGTAAAGAAATGGAGTGAGGAAAACAATCTCCAATATGTACACAATACGCTACCCTCATCGAAAAGATCAGCACGTAACATAGATCTGTTGTTTAGCAATTTTAGAGGCATTCTGGGCGAAACGCTAGAATTTGGTTCAAGCGACCATAGACCAATAGTATACAAGTCAAACTACATATTTTTCGACCTAAACAAAATCTTCCCAGCTGTGAGTTGGAAAAATTTTGAGCTAATTCTGTGTTTATTACAAGAGTACTGGTCTAAACAGAATAAATCAACAACGTCAACGAGTTGGTATAAAGAGTATATCAGATTTCTAGCAGCGCTACAAAATCGTCTAACAATACTGAAAAACAAAGAGAAATGGAAACCGGCACTGCCAGAAGAAATCCTCAAGATGATAAAAGTTAACAAACAAATAAGAAATAGATTCAATAAACACAAAATGGAAGTAGATAGAATTGCACTAAGACATAATTCGAGAGTAATTAAACATAAGATCGACGAGTACAGATCAAAGAGATGGGAGAACTTTCTAACATCGATACAAGAAGAGCAAGTAAAATCCAGTAATAGCTTCTGGAAGCATCTAGCCAAGGTATACAGACCATCAACAATGCCATTCAAAAAATTAGCAGAGAATAACACACACATTACCTCTCAGAAAGATATTGCAAATAAGCTAGGTGAATACTACGAAGAGCTACTAAAGCAAGGGCCGCTCGATCAGGCAAGTGACCACGATACAGAAGTAATAGAAGAATACAGCAAGATAATGTTGGAGTTAAAAAATACAAAGAATGACATAAAACCTACCACAGTAACAGAGATCAAAAAAATAATCAAAGAGCTGAAACCGAAAAAATCATCAGGACTGGACACCATCTCTAACTTTGTGTTAAAAAAGCTCCCTCCAGTGTATCTAGAATGTCTATGCAAATGTTTCAACGACTGGTTAAGCACGTATCACTATCCCGATGATTGGAAAATAGCCAAAATAATCACGCTGAACAAACTGAAAACAGGTATACCCACCTGCGAACAGACCAGACCGATATCATTATTATCCACACACTCAAAGATATTCGAGAGAATATTACTAGATAGAGTTAGAGCGTGGGCTGAATCTAATAGAATTATACCGAACGAACAATCAGGTTTTAGGAAAGGTTGTCTGCTCCAAACAAGAGTTCTTTCGATTTACCAAGAAATACAGAACAACCTAGCAGGCAATATACCATGTATGAACATATACGTAGACTATAGGAAAGCGTATGACATGGTTTGGCACATGGGACTTGTAGTCAAACTCCATAGAATGAACATTTCATCAGATCTATTGAAAATGCTAGTTAATTGGTTAAGCGCACGTAAGGCATATATCAACTTCGGGCAAGAAAAGTCAAAAATTTTTTCCACCGATATGGGACTTCCGCAAGGGAGCTCACTAAGTCCATACATCTTCATAATCTTTCACGCTGACATCATAAAGTGTGTAGGAGCTTACTCCACACATTTATTCGCAGACGACCTATGTACACTAATAACACCACCCATTCAAAAAAACTACGTAGAGATGGTCAGGTTCATTAACTCAGCAGGATCCCGGATATGTCAAAATCTTTTTGACTACTCAACAAAATGGAAACAACCGATAAATATTTCAAAAACAGTTGTGCAACCATTCTACTCTCAAGTAATACCGCCAGATATAGAAATTAGTATGAGTAGTAAGAAATTAGAAGTGACCAAAGCCTTCAAGTACCTGGGTTTTCAATGGACGAGTAAAATGTCACTGAAACCTTCAGTGGAGGCATGTATCGAAAAAATACAAAAGTCCTTTAGAAAGCTAAACTGGCTCAGCAGAAACAGACATGTATCGACGAAAACCCTAAGGATGTGCTTCTTCGCCTATTCATTCCCATTTTTCGCATGGCTCTTCCCGTTTTTTCCAATACTTCCTAGCACACAACGTGAACAGATAAAACGGAAATACCGAGTTGCGCTGAGATTAATACATAGGTGTCCATTTGCAACAGCCGAAGAAATTTACAGTTTCACAAAAGAAGATCCTCTCGAAATATATGTCAGCAAGTATCTACAGAGAAGACTACGCAAATCATTTAACACGGATCTAGGCCTATCACCGTTCTACGAGGATATGTTTATATGGAAACCATTTATGAAATACGGGGTGAATATAAGAAAAAAACAGAACAGTCTAGGCGTGAGGCAACTCCAACGTCTAAAGAGAGTGAAACAGATGCAAGAAAAACAAAAATCTTACTTAATAACGTGGATCTCCTTCATAGAACAATACGACAAACAAAACAGGAGTAAGCAAGCAAAGAAAGGAAAATGAAAAGAAATGAGTAATAGTAAACATTAAAAGTAACATACTTCCACGTCAAAAAAAAAAAAAAAGAAAAAAGAAAAAACACACACTCTTCCCTCATATCATACAAGTATATAAAAGAGATACAGAAGCGCTAAGCCACTCTTTGAAACATTACTCATAGCATACACGTGCTCGATACTTACACAAATCAGTTCACTCATCAAAATGTATACCAGTCTCTACACATGCTTAATCTTATCTTGGAGTTTACTAGTTAAGTGCGATCCAATTATCCCTCTCTGGTCTCAAAACTGTAAGGTTCATGCCGATGCGAACCACGCAGAAATCAAAAACGCATTACGGGATCAGGAGAAATTCAACGTCAACAGCTGGTCAGATTGGGGTTTAGCCGCTTTACTGACCGTAACGGCGTTCTTCTTAATAGGCGGTAGTGTCTACTGCTACTGCCGGTTAAAACCTATTTTGAAGATAGCAAGATCCATCAGAAAAACAAAACAACAAGTACCAGTACACATCCCACCACAGCAAGGTTACTACCCCCCATATGTAGCTCAACATACAACAGGTAGTTTCGAAAGGAGAGATAAGAGAAGTGATCAGATGGAGAGCCTAAATAATTAATACAAGTAAATCATAAAGATGAAAAACACTCTACAGCTTAAGCAACGCACGCCGCTTTGTTCTTTTTCTTTTTTTTTTCCTCCTCGTCTCTCTGTTCTACACTCGTGCAGAACCAGTATACAAAGTGTACTTCGTTGATATCTTGCATATGTTCTTTTCTTTCGTCTTCACACTCCTCTAGAACCAGTACACAAAACGCACCTCGATGGATATCTTGCTTGTGTGCTTCCCCCTATTTAAATTTTCTTCTTTTTCTCTCTCTATACTTTCTTTTCTCTTAACTCATCCAACAACGTTTTACCAGCACGCTGTCAAACTGGGTGTTACACGCACACCCAAGTATAAGAACTAACTTCGAAATTTTTCGAAATTTTTTGCTTGAACGCAATTGTAACATCTGCAAACAATTGTAGCTTATTCAGCTTAAAACACAAAAAGAAAATCAACTGTAAGTGCTTCCGAGCAAAACAGTACTCGGCTTAAAAAAAAAAAAATTCATGATGATGTTAAAGAATTATGTTTGAGCAAATTACGAGAGCACCTGAAATTAAAACTATAAATCCAGACAGCATTCCCACATATAGATCTAGTTTATCTTCTCCCCATAACTTTTCTTCAAAAGGAAATTCTAAAAGAGAAAAATCATTCATACCATGACTCGTTCAATACAAACTTTATAGAAAAATATATCGACAAATCAATCCAACGTCTTACACTTGTTTTTCTTATGGATTTCTCGATTAACACCATGCTTCTATACGGGAAATATTTTCAAGTTTTTCAAAATCACATAATGAAACACACTGAGATACTTCATTTTTGATCTTTGTTTCAGTTTTGAAGAAGCAAATTCTCATATAATTACTCTCGTGTCTATTTAAAAGACGTAAATGTTGGCTGGTAAGATTCGAATTCAATCTATGAAAGCAATCTATTTAACTCGATAAAACATCATCGACACTAACTAACTGTTATCGGTGTGAAGCTAGCACCATCGAGCTAGCACCATCAAACTAAGGATTTTCTGAAAACGAATTCCGGTCAATAAAACCGAGTTTATTCGATGCAGATTTTAATTCTGAGTCCAATGGTGACATTTTTATTCACCGGAAAACGTTCCGAGAAAAATTTTCTTTGATCTTTCTTTATCCTCGATACATGTATATGCATCATNTCAGTGCCGAAATTGGTATGGACGTGTTGTCTTCGTATAGTCGGAAGTGGCTCGCCTTGTCGAAGTGGAATCTGTGGTCTACCAGAAGAATTACAAAGAAAGCCAGTTAAAGCAGAAGATCAAATCAAAGAAGTTGAAAAATATTTCAAGGAAAAAACAAATGCAACTGAAAAATTGAGAGCATTAGAAAAAGCGTACAATGAGTTGCGAAGATCGTAATTTTCAACAACGTTTCACTCAAGTATTATGCTTCTATCCCACACCACTGCATATTCTCCCAACAACAACTAATAATGAAAGAGTTTTATCGTCATGAGTAATGAAGAAAATATAAACTTTACTTGTGAATGAACGACGATATTCAAGAATGCCTTTTGTTGTCAGTGTACTTTACTCGTTATTGAATACACAAGTACATACACGAGTAGTTGCCAATGAAAACATGTCTGCCATCCCTCATGGGGATCATAGAACAGTGTTTTTGCACAGTGAAGTCGGACAGACTTACGTCATGATGAAATCTTATTATAAACGCAGTAATAGATTGTGAACATAATGTTGTGAGAAGTCGTATAATGAGTGATATCGACACTCGTTTGGCTACAATATTTCGCCTCTTCTTTAGCCTAAATAATTGAATCACACGATTCATTCGTTGCGAATACTATACTAACTATATCCCCCCCAAAAAAACTTTTTATTCATGACGGTCGTCTTTTGATCGAATACAAAACAATTGTATCATATTTCCAATCATCGGAGGATTATAAAAATCATGACATTTTTATTTTCAAGAAGTAGTTGAAGATAGAGACTATATATTACAAGTACCATAAATTGCTTTGACAAGGTACTATCTCATTTGAATCTAATTCTGTTGATGGCGATAAAACTAACACTCCATTTTATTTTTGCTATCTTGAGGTATTTAAAATTTTATTTTTATGTTGAATTCTTCGATGAATAATTTGTATTTCATTTTAGCTTCACAGGTTTGTTAATTTTCTCACGTTTTATGTAGATCTATATTCGTTAACCCTGTAATAGCTCCTGTGAACTCACAAATATGTCGCAATATGTCACCATATGGTCGATGCTCCAGCAATAGTGCTTGTGGATGCTTTCCAATGGCAGGCGCGAGTAATGTTGGTGTCTGTGCTTTTATGTGGACGTTTTGTGCTGAACTTGAACCATGTGGTGCTTCGCTAAACTGTCCAGATCGGTCCCATGTATGCGTTCATCACAGTCGATGCCGCGATGGTCCGATCTGTTATCCAGTGTCCATGATTGACCGAAGTCTCTGTCCTTCCATGCAATCAAGTGAGTCGCAAAAATATCAACCGAAAAAAACCTTTTTATCCACGAACCTTTTCTGAGAGATTCTAGAGAAACTTCTAGTACTTTCCGCAAAATAGACATGTTTTATTCGCAAAAACCTTTCCATTAACGACAAAAATATGGACGTAATGATATAAATGAGCCAGATTAAAACGAAATACATTCTTATCGTTTATGCATTTTTTATGCGTATACTTTGTTCGTAAATAGTGATGAATACTACAAAGACAACAACTTCAATCACTACACCTATCACAGGTATAGATCCTATGACCACGATGAACACATATGATACCACTGCCCGGAATACGTACACAACGTCTGCCACGATTGTAGATCTCTCGACCAGTGTGGGTAGACGCGATACAACTGCCGGAAATGTATACACAACAGGTAGCACGAATGTGAACTCTATGACTAGCATGGGCAGACATGATACAACTGCCGGGAATGTACACACAACAGGTAGCATGAACATAAACACGATGACTAGCATAGGTCGACATGATACAACTGCAGGAAATATTTACACTACATCGTCCACTCCTATACACCCAGTCACTAGTATGGGTAGACTTGACACAACTGCCGGGAATGTATACACAACAGGTAGCACGAATGTGAACACTATGACAAGCATGGGCGGACATGATACCACTGCCGGAAGTATTTACACTGCATCGTCCACTACTATACACCCAGTCACTAGTATGGGTAGACATGACACAACTGCCGGGAAAGTATACACAACAGGTAGCACGAATGTGAACTCTATGACTAGCATGGGCAGACGTGATACAACTGCCGGGAATGTACACACAACAAGTAGCATGAATGTGAACACTATGACTAGCATGGGTAGACATAATACAACTGCCGGAAATATTTACACTACATCGTCCACTACTATACACCCAGTCACTAGTATGGGTAGACATGACACAACTGCCGGGAATGTACACACAACAGGTAGCATGAATGTGAACACTATGACTAGCATGGGTAGACATAATACAACTGCCGGAAATATTTACACTACATCGTCCACTACTATACATCCGGCCACTAGCATGGGTAGACGTGACACAACTGCCGGAAATATGTACACTAGAGATGTTACAAATACGGACAGCAAGGCTACGATGAACATGGGCGATATAACTATGGGTAAGCTCGCAAGTTTTTTCTAAGCAGAAAAATCTCACAGCAAAAGTAAGGGCAAAGATGGGAAGGTCTTATGCGTTTTCATTTAGATTACGGTGTAAATGTTTGAGGTGGAAAACGGTGGTAGAGTCCTTCGTTTGTTTATGATAGCGTGTCAGTTAGTTAGGACGGTCGAAAGAACGATATATATCTAATTTCGTAGAGAAAAGTTACTTTAGCGCCTGTTCCTCTATAAAAAGGTAGCGTTCGATTTATGAATGCTACTAGCATTGATACAAGAGGGGATGTTGTTAAATTCTTCCATAATAAAGAATGGTAGACAATTGTCAATGAAGATAGTTGCGCTTATGATGCATTAGTAATCCATGAGAATAAAGCGATATAATTTTAGAAAAGCTTGATTACAATTTGCGAGACAGATACAATCAAAACTTTTCACTCTCCTTGGATGTTGGCAGAATAGGAGTGTTTTTTACCAATGTTAGATATAGTACTTTTTTCACGAGGATATCGATATACCGAGCATCTTATATTGTTTGAGTTTCTTTTGGATGGATGTTGAGATTAGTGAATGTTTGGAATTTCGAATTGTAAATGTGAAAGATGGTGACTCTTTCTTGTAAAGCACATTCCACTCCCAGTTGCAATTCTCATGGATTGAAAGAGCATTCTGACTATGATGTGTACAGGATGTTTGCAAATTGTTCTTTGCTTTTATTTACACTATATGTTGATTTTATAGTTTCACCATTCGCTTACCGTCATCCAGAGCTTGAGCGATATATTGCCGAGCACAAGCATGAACAGTTCATGACGTTACCATTCAATAACTTAACTGATCAAGATATGGAAATTGTTGCAAACCAAGCGATGCGAAATAACAAGGTAATAAGGGTGTGGGTGAGGGTGTACATGAGTGAATGAATAAATACCAAACACGAAACAAATAGTATAACACATAACCCGAGACAGACTGAACTATCGATTAAATTCAAAAGATCTTGAAATGGTCGATGAAGGTGGCGAAAACGTCTCCAGTAAACGTCGTTTATGCGTCACCATATCAGCAGAAATGAAATTTTCCTCTATAGTCTCACCAAATTCTGTTTCGCTCCTATTCAAGATTAAAGACTATGAATTAATTCAGCACGCTAATGGGATATCGAATATTGCAGTGAAATTCATTGACCACATGAGATTCTCTAATCTCTGTATATAGGTACTCATGGCGCTGAGCATAAATTCGAATCAAATCGGTGATAAAGGTGCACAATACCTAGCTGAGGCTCTACAAAACAATCCTGTAAGTTCTAAGAACTTTGCGTAACTTTCATGTTCGCTTGCTCGATTCACACAGACAGTCAAAACATTATCCTTACATATGAATAAAATTGGAGACTATGGTGCCCAGTATCTTGCTGATGCTTTACAAAATAATACAGTAATAATTATGTTTTTTTCATGAGTATCTGTTGTTACTCTCCTATATAGATGCTCGAAAGACTATACCTTTCATCGAATAATATTGGAAACATTGGCGCACAATATTTATCGAATGCATTAAAAATCAACACAGTGAGTATCATTATTACAATACCATTTTTTCATACTTTCATCTTATTCCTGGTGTATAGAGACTCAGCGGACTTTATCTCTCCAGTAATAAAATTTTAGAACAAGGCGCGCAATCCTTTGCTGATGCTTTGCGGTATAATAGAGTCAGTGCACATTTCGTTCTGTTTGTTTAAAAGTCATTGATTATTCTTTGTACAGAAGCTGACAACATTAGATCTTGCACAAAATAAAATTGGAGCTCTCGGAACTCAATATCTCGCCGACGCAATCCAACAGAACAATGTAACAATCTTCTTTTTTTTCATATTTTCTTTTCGGACTAGTTTGCTTCGTACAGGTACTCAGAATTCTTAACTTAGCAGGTAATCAAATCGGAAATGATGGGGTAGAATACCTTGTCGATATTCTACAAAATGGCACAGTAAGTGTTCTTTTTCTTTTCGTCACTCTTCTATTCATTGTATAAAGACGTTAAATGTATTGGACATCTCTTTGAATGAAATTGGGGATCTAGGAGCACAATATCTTGCTCGTGCCCTAGAAAATAACGTGGTAATATTCGTGACTTGTTCATCTTTTGTTTGTTCGTATTTGTCTTCGAATAGGAACTTCAAAAATTACATATTGGCTATAATAAAATCGGACCCAATGGTGCCGAATACCTTGCTCATGGTTTGCAAAATAATACGGTGATTGGAATTTCCTTTTCATCTGTAAAGCATCTATGTTCCATTTCTTTCTCAGATTCTAAGGTCATTAGGTCTCGAAAATAATTACATTACATCACTTGGAGCAAAGTATTTCGCTGACACTATACGACAAAACACGGTTGGTTTTCTTTGGACTTATGTTTCTTCTCAACGTTTTTTTCTCCCATCAGATGCTCAATATGCTTGTATTGTCAAGTAATAACATCGGTGCAGAGGGCGCACAACATCTTGCTGATGCACTACAAAATAATACAGTAATAATCAAGCGTATTTTATTTATATTCTATGGTAGTCCTTTTCGTTCTTCATATAGATAATGCAAACACTATTACTCTCATCGAACAATATTGGGGACAGCGGTGCACAATATTTCGCTGATGCTTTAAAAATAAACGCAGTGAATATTATTGTTCTCCTCATTTTTCATACTTTTATCTCTTTCTTTATGCATAGGGGCTCACTCAGCTGTATCTTTCCAATAATGGAATCACAGATAAAGGTGCACAACATCTTACTGATGCTTTGCAGCACAACAAAGTGAGCGTTATTCTTGTATCATCTCATTAATGATTCTGTCTTTCTCCTTCCATAGGTAATTCGCTTGTTGGATCTGATGTATAACCAAAACATTTCATCACGAGTTAAACAACAATTGAAAGAAAAGGATCAGCGGCTTTCTTTTAATTGAAATTGTTAGTGATCATTTCCTTGAAACTTCAATAAAAGTGAGTGGAGCATTGAATAGACTTTGATTGATTCGAAAGTTAACATGAATCAGAGTGAAATCTCAAATGTCAAGTGGAAAAATGAAGATGATCTCTCATTTGATACGAAGAAAGATCAGAAACAAATGAATTTGTGCGTATGTAAGAAGAAATCGAATTTTCGAGATTAGTTTCTCGAAAACTGATTCGATTTACAGAAAACGATCGTGTATTGATTAAAAAAAAGATACCGAATTGTATCAACATGTGTGTCAAGAAGATGTTTGTACTGTGTTTAAGTTGATGGAGATAGCTACGATTTCAGCGGATCGGAAACTCGAATCAGAAAGATAGTCACTGATCGCTATTTCGAATTCATTTTCAACAAATCAAACTTATAGTCAAATTTGAATATGAAATAACTACAAAATGATGATTTATAAAATTCGCAACAACGAACAAATGAAAATAAAATGTTCGATCGTCATTTCTTTGATCATTATCATCGAAAGTGAAGTACATAAATAAGTTTAGCACTAGGCTAGAAACATCACTACTCATAGTGCATAGATAAAGTTTCAAGAGAGAACCTGCAGTACATTTTATACTGATATTTGTGTAGCTCTTCAGTTCAGAACAAAGATAGCTAAGCATTGAGCTGAGAAAAGCCCAAGCCACTGTATAAATACAATGGTAGTATCACGATTCGCTGCAGTAGCGCGATACCTTTTTTATTTCATCAATCGCTAATTATTTGTAACGAAGTGATTCACTTTGTACAGAACAGAAACATCGCTTTTCGTTCTATGAATATGATTCGTGTCTCTTTCATATCTATTTCTGTAGTCGCTACATTGTGCTCAGGATTTCACAGATATGTTCTATTAAGAAGATTCAGGGTATCATTGGCAAATCTAATCTATAGACGAAAAAATATTTAGACAATTGAAATAACACATAGAACATTGTATCTACAGTATCATGAACTTTATCGTGAGTACTCATTTTCTCACATAAAACTAAGCAAAAAAACCAGATCGTTCGTTATGAACGTTAAAATAGGAATATTCAGTTGACATAAGAAAGTGAAACTTGACTTAAATAGCCACTGAAATGTCACTTGGATCTTCAATGATCGTAAAACAATCTGCACAGTCGTCCGTCAGAAAGTATGTGTACGAAGTAACCGCGATATAAGTTTAGCACCCCACTGAATATAACAAAAACTCTCTATGATAAAATACAGGGTGTGGCTTCTTAACAAAATGTTGATTAAATTCGATTACAAACAGAATTATTTTAACACTAAAAGTAGTAAAATCGATTAGATTAAGAAATACAAATGCAATGCAATTAAAAGATTTAATCTAATTTTTAAAATGATCGTTTCTTGTCTATTTAAGTCCTGATAAACACAACAAATAAAGCGACGTATGACAACAGAATATAAATACGAAGAAATTTTTTAAACGCTCATCGGTCGTTGATTGAAATACCTCTGGAAGAGCAATTCCTACTCAATTGATTTGTTTTCAGTCGACGTGTATCCGTTGCATGGAAATTTTCTTCTTGAATTTCCCATTCCGGTCGTTTTCGTATTCCTAAAACAAAGATTTATTGAAAAGATTATCTCATAGATCAACTTTACCCATTATGACATCGAAGACATTTATTGATTGTATATGCGAACACTTCGGGATGATCTTCCAAGTAAGCAAAGAAATGAAATGAATTCTTTTACTGATGAACGAAGGGTTTCACTGAATAAACACAAACGACTACCATATCGACATAAATGAAGAAACAACAAAATCCATAAAAATACGTCAGCCGATCATTGAGATAAACAGATTCTTCTAAATCAATATAAACATCACCTTGACTTTCACGAAATAATTTGTCGATCTCTTTTGCAGTTTTATAACGCGTGAAATAAATTTCAACTGATGAAATCGAACGAATATAATCAAACCCAATTTAGTTATTGACCAAAACTCAACGAAATATTTCCATTTTAACTTGAGAACTGACTGAATCTCATTGTAAATAATATAAAGAAACGAGACTAAATAAATAATTGTACAAATCATTTGAGAATAATTGATGAGATCGTGAACATTTTCCATCACACCTAACTAAATATCGAATATTTTTTCGCATCGAGAACAACTACAACTGGACCAATAAGTGCAATTGTGACAGGTGAAGATTCATTTCCTGCCCTTGTTATTCCATTCAACTGCCCAACTGTAAATTGTTAGATACGACGATTACTTTGATCTACCACATATAAATCGAAAATTTCATCAACAAATACTCTACAAGGAGAAGAAAGTTGATTGGGAGCAGAACCATTAATACCATTTCCAGCAACAACTCTTAGTGTCAAACGACCCAAAATATTGAGTATTGACACTTCATGGCAGGGACGAAACTTGCATTTTGTTGAATCCATAGATCAATTCGACCATGAAATTTGTTCGTGTCGATAAAAAGAGTACGAGGACTTTGCTTAGTAATTTTTTGATGAAAAAAAGTAACTGCAAATGAGAATGAGCGTGAGGAAATTAAAAACAAATATGGCAGGATTCATAGATTTAATCACGTTTTAAATGCGTAGACTGATTATCAACAACATTTTTTGTTTCTGAAAAAGATCCAATTTTGTTCTTACATTAAACAGATGATGAGAAATCGAAATCTCGTATTTGTCAATTCGATTCTTTTCTAACAAATTCATAAAAGCGATCAAAATCATTGCTTTTCTTATCTTCAGATCGTTTTTGGATCTAAATGAGAATATTTCATTTGATATCAAAAGTGTGATTAATATCTTTTGTCATGATTTGGATTCTCAAATAAAATAATGAGAGAATCTCTTTTCATCCGACTTCAGTTCATTTAATTTTAAAGTAGAAAGATTTTTTCTTTCGAAAACATTCGCTTTGATTTTTAACTTCTTTACAAATTAGTCAGAAAATCATTCACGACTATGACCCTTGAAAATCAGCGAGTTTGATGGAAAATTCCATTTCTTCCCCGAATGTTCCATTGCTGATCACGTGTCGTTATAGACGATTTCACAACTAAGAAACACAAAGATTTGTTTGTATGTCGTATTGATTTCTTTATTTGTTGGTTGCATAGTTTTCCTTTGTCACCATTGTAGATTAACAAAAATCATCTCTGCGTGTCGTTTTCTCCGATGATGGAATATTCGAATACAAACATAAACTATATACAGTGGAGTAAATGTCTATGAACTATAAACAATGGTGAACGTCAAAATGTTGACTTTTTCCTTTTGGAATGAAATTTAAGAAGCTAATTAAATATTTTGACTATAAAATTCTTTTAGATTGAATGGACTAAATATAGATGGCGCACATAAATCAAATTGAAGATTGTCAGTAACTACCATTGGTTGACACTATTCACGACTCCTTTCTCCTGTGCGTCATGTAATTTCAACATTTAGAGCAAGCCAAGTATGAAGTGTTATGTCGTTATTTCATCGAGAGAAAGAAAAACTGTAACATGTCGGATCCAACTTCCACGTTCAAAGTTGAATATGCGAAATCTGATCGATCCAAATGTAAAAGTTGTCAATCCACCATTGACAAGGATAGTTTTCGTTTTGCTATTATGGTGCAATCATCAAAATTCGATGGCAAAGTCTGTCGAATAGAACAAACGAGAGAAATTGAAGTTTTGTTCTTACCTTAGGTTCCTAACTGGTATCATACCCAGTGTTTTTTCGAAAAAGTCAAATTAATTGATGTGAAAATCATCAAAGGTTTCGATGATATACGTTGGGAAGATCAAAGTAAAATTCGTGATCTTATCCAAGAAAACTCGAAGAAATTGTCAGGTAAGTTGAACATGCCGATGGAATTTTCTCTTATGCTTCAGCTTTCGATTAGATGAAAATGATCCTGATGAAACATTTTCAGTCGAATATGCGAAATCTAGTCGAAGTCGATGCCACGGTTGTGATCTATCAATAGTAAAAGATCACTTACGTTTATCTAGAAAGAATTTCTCGAGCCGAAGGGCACGGAAATACGGACCGGTGGACGAATGGTATCATGTTGATTGTTTTGATCAAATAAAGAAAGATCTGGTATTTTTTGGTACTGCCGAATCGTTCGTATTGATTTTTTTGAGTTGAGTGAGAATTGATTTTGTTCTTTGAAGATTTTCCGGTTTTGCCAATTTGAATGATGACGATCAGAAGAAGTTGAAAGAGAAGTTTGGAACATCAACAACAAGTTCAAAGCGGAAACGTCGAGGAGAACAGACGAATAGTGGTTCAGTTCGAGCAAAACAAGTGAAAATTGACGCAGCAGAGGACTCCAATGAAGAGGAAGAGAAACGTCGGAAAAAAGAGCAATGTGAATTACTATGGAATTACAAAGATAATTTACGAAAAGACGTTCCACACAATGTTCTAAAAGAATTATTAGAATTTAACGGGCAAAAAGTCATTCCAGGAGAGGCGAATGTAATCTAACTGAACCCTTTTCCAAAGGCTTAATCATTCGATTTTAGTTAATCGATGCAGTCACTGATTGTATGGCATTCGGTGCACTTGAACCATGCCCAGACTGTTCCGGTCATCTTGTTTTCAAGTAACTTCTCATCTATTGCAAACAGAGAGAGAGAGAAAATCTGCCTCTTTTTAGTTATACAAACTATCGTTGCACGGGGAACCTTACGGAGTGGACAAAATGTTCATATACAACACAAACGCCAAAACGCAAACCATTTGCAATTCCCGATGATGTCAAAGAGACGTATTCCATCTTGTAAGTCTGTAGTTCTCAGTCTTCGATTAATCATACTGTGATTTAGTGAAAATTACACATACACGAAACAAGATCGAATGTTGACGCAAGTAACGAAACGACTGACGGTGAACAATGAGATTAAAGAGTACGTACTTTCCTGAACATTTCGTACCGTGTTAATCGTTATTTTTAGACCGGCTTATGATCCAAAATTGCCTTTACGTGGTTATTCCATTGGATTGGTCGGTCGATTATCGAAAAAGCCGAGCACTTTGGAAAAACAAATCGAGCAATTAGGAGGCACAGTAGTGCATAATCTCGATAAGAAGACAATGGATGTGATCATTAGTACTCAAGGTAACACATTTTTCGAAACCGCTTTCATAAACATCATTGGTTTGATAGATGAGATCGATAACGGAAATAGAAAGATTCAATACGCACAAAAGTATGACATTCATGTTGTACCCGAAGAGTTCCTGGACGAAGTTCATAACGATCCACCGTCGGTTGTGATGGATAAAATCAAAATTTCAACCTGGGGAGTTCTACCACATGTTCGAAAACAGAGAAAGCGCGTTAAAAAACAACCATCAGCTACATTCAAATCGTCGGGTAAATCTATACTTCTTCAGAATAGAGTTTTCTTGACTCCACACTCGTAGGTCGATCGAAATCGCTTTCATCAGAAAAAGTAACAATGAAATTAAAAGGCGGGGCAGCCGTCGATCCCGACTCAGGTAAGGAGCTCTTTTCTTAGTCAAAAGCATCACATAAATTGTCCTTTTCACAGGATTGGAAGAAACATGCCATGTATTGAAAAATCGCGAAACGGGCGATTTATTCGCCGCTGTTCTTGGCAGGGTCGATATAACTCGTGGCACAAATTCTTATTATAAAATTCAACTGCTTGAACATGACACTGGCAACCCGTGGTTTCTCTTTCGCGCATGATAAGTTCATCTTTTGTTGCCCTATCTTCAATTGTAGCCTTTCATTTCTTCAAGGGTCGGACGGGCACAACCTTTGGTAGCAAAAAAATCGACGAATACAAGAATAAAACGAAAGCGATGAAAGCGTTCGAGAATGTCTTTTTCGACAAAACTGGAAACCAATGGTCCGATCGTGGTTCATTCAAGAAAATGGCCAATAAATTGTATCCGTTGGAAATTGATTACAATAATGATGAAGTTGAAAAACTTGCAAACGACGCCGATTCGGAACTTCGTTCAAATTTGTCACCACCCGTCCAGGATTTGATCAGTCTTATATTCAATGTTGAAACCATGGAAAAAGCTTTATTATCGTTTGAAATTGATTTGACCAAAATGCCATTGGGAAAACTATCGAAGAATCAACTAGAATTGGCTTATAAAGTGTTAACAGAATTGCAAACACTGATCAATGATACAGTAAAGAACAAAAACTTGATTATTGATGCGAGCAATCGATTCTATACGTTAATTCCACATGATTTTGGTTTGAGAAAACCGATCATTCTCGATCGACTGGACTTAATTCAATCAAAAACTGAAATGATCGATAATTTACTTGAAATCGAGATCGCTTATTCCATGTTGAAACGCTCGAAAGATGATGGAGAAGAACATCCGATTGATGTTCATTATAAAAAATTGAAAACTCTCATTGAACCCATCGAGAAAACAACGGACGAATTTCAACGTATCGAACAGTACATGCAAAACACACATGCATCGACACATAACCAATACAAATTGAAATTAAAGGAACTGTTTAAAATTGTTCGAGAAGGTGAAAATGATCGATTCGAGAAATGGAGTCAACTGCCGAATCATCAATTATTATGGCATGGATCGCGAACAACAAATTTTGTCGGAATACTCAGTCAGGGATTACGCATTGCACCACCGGAAGCACCAATGGTGAGAAGACTAACCTTGCTACACTTTAATTCTATTCTCGATTTTCGTTGTAGACGGGTTATATGTTTGGCAAAGGTGTGTACTTTGCTGACATGGCTTCAAAAAGTGGTGAGTTCTATTGATGAAAGGAATGCGTGAGATTTCGGCACGCAATTATTTTAGCGAATTATTGTTTTGCCAATCGAGAAACATCAGAAGGTTTGATGCTTTTGTGTGAAGTTGCTCTTGGTAAGATGCACGAATGCTATCATGCGACAACGTTTTCTGCGAGTACGCTACCCAAAGGAACACAATCAACAAAAGGCTGCGGACAAACGATTCCGGATCCAAAAGGTAGACCTTAACATACCGATTTTCATTGTCTAAGGAATTTTATATACTTTCTAGAAAATTATTTTACGGACGACGGTGTTCTTATACCAATGGGTCATGGTGTGAATGCAAATATCGCACATAGTTCACTGTTATACAATGAATACATTGTCTACGATACGGATCAGATCAAAATCAAATATCTCTTGCGTCTGGATTTTCAATATGAAGATTGATAGAACTACCATTTCTTTTTTATTCTAATAAATATAAATAATAAAGAAAAATACATTAACTAATTGATGATTGAGCTATCACATGAATGTTCCGTCTTTGAAGATTTATCGTGCTGCTGATCGAGTAATCTCGTTCGTTCGTCGTTGCGTCTTTGATACGTCACTTTTGATACAGCAATCATCAGAATACAAACACCAATGACAATTAATACTAGTAAATTCATCAGTTTATATCGATTGGGTGCAAGGAAAAGGAGAATGAGGCCAGAAACATTATTCCATTGATTGATTGCCAATGCCGATATGGATTCAGGTAGTGGGAACATTATTTCAGCAAGTGATTCGAAAATCAATGGTGCCGATGCTCCTTGGAACAGGCCAGCTAATGCAATAGACAATCCGATAGTGATAGGCGTGGATGAAATAATAGCGTCGTCATAGAATAGGGTATGAACTGAAAGTTCAAACCAAACAATCGAGAGGAAACAGCCAATCAAGGACGAGATCATCAGTATTTTAAGTGAACGATGGAAACGGTGCATGTCGGCAAGTGCACCCAGACAGAATCCACCGATCATTCCTGCTAGGATCGAACTAAAACCAAACCAACCTAATGATAAAAAGAAACAGAGTTTCGTGCGTTCGTATGTACTTTGTTAGTTTACCTGCTTGCTCTTCGGTATAGTTTTCAGGTGCAAGAATGACGTCATACAAACCTGTCCACGCACTGAATGTACCCGTTGTCAGACCACCGACGATGGAGAGAAGCATGAATGATGGCGTGATCATGCATTGCCAGAGATCTCTCATAAAACGTTGTAGGAGACTCGAATTGTGGCCATCGCACGAGTAGGAACTGAGACGTTCAGCAGCGGGTGACGGGGCTGTGGGTGGATGTGAGGGAAAATAGATCACAGTCAAAGCAAAAGCAACGAAAGCAAGTCCTGCATGAATGTAGAGAAGACGAGGAACATGATCCGGTGTGTCGACTATCCATGGACTGATAAGAAATCCAACTGCAGCTCCAAAATTATTGATCGTAATGGCAAATGTTGTCGCTCGCGTTCTTTCGTTCGGACCAAACCATATGCAAGATATCTGCGATACGGATATTTGCACTAGCGGAGCGCAGGCAGCATTAAGGATCTGGCCGGCATGTAAAAACGGCACAGCAATCGAGTGCAATTGCACATTCGACGACCAGGTGATTATTGACGGAACAATTCGTAGTAGACAAGCGACAAAAGAACTCCCAGCAAACAAAATCATCGAAAATCGAAGTCCTTGTTGTTTGTTTAGTAAAAGATAAGCTAATGGAAAGGTCGGGATGCAGATAATATTTCCCCAATTGAGAAGGAGATCGATCGTTGCTTCGGTTGTGTTATAGTAAATTTCAGCATTTCTCGCGATGGGAGAGAATGTTAACCAGAAGAGACATTGATTGAAGGCGAGAAAGCCAAAAAGTGAAATAATATAGAATCGTCGTCGATACAAGTGATAGACCGAAGAAGAAGACAATGACAATTCGACTGTGGTGTCGGAGTTAGACATGTTTTGCATGTGATATAAAGTCCTTTTCAAACATGTGATAACTCTCTACTTTTATCTCTTGTTGAAATAAAATTTGAAGAAACAGAAAAGATTAACTTTGATATCCTCGATATGATGTAATGAAAAAGCAAACCAGTATGAGAAACAAAATAAGGACAAAAATCGTTCGTGTAAAACTCCAATACCAATGACGATACCGGTAACGTCGTTCTTCGTGTAAATTAGCCAGACGTTTCGGTCGATAAGCTCCAAAGTACTCTGATATCCAATTACTGGTTCGATGCAATGACACACCCATGTCTTGCAGATAAATTTCAATTGGTTCTAACCAGTAATATTGAAAATAGTAAGATTTTCGATTGAATAACCGGCGAATGAAATTTCGTGTTGTTTGAATTTCTTCGAACATTTCCTTTTCCGTTTCTGGCAATCGAATCCGACCGAGAAAATAATCAGACGTCCAATGGGATTGCACTTCGAAAAACATCCATGTATTTAAACTAGCTGGTAAACCAATAAAGGCAATATTCGGAATTCCAACAGGAACTATACGACGATAGAGATCAAGATCAACACTTTCATCGGTGTTGTCTTGACCAAGTGCACGATGAAATGTTCGAGAAAGAAAGGGAAAATTTTCCAAATAACCTGTAGCACAGATAATCATATCTGCTTGTAGGAATTCATTTGAACTGAGGTGAATGGTCGTACTATCGATAATTTCATCAATAGATGCCAGTTTTCGTACAATTCGACCGTCACGAATCAATTGAGCGAATTCTTTTGTCATACGAACGCTATTCTCAGATGTATGAAACGAACTCTTTGGAATGAACTTTTCATCTTGGTACACATCAGATTTCAACGTTGATACCATCTGATTGGAGATAGTTTTCAATATATTTCTGAGTACCGAAGAGAACAGCCAACGAAAGAAGTAGAACAGAGGAGTGTGTGGTGCATATGGGAATGGATATAAAATAGCCGTCATAAATCGTGAGTATGCATATTTTGCCGGTAAACGATCGCTAAAAGGCGATTCCGGAACGAACCAATGAGGACGACGAATGACCAAATGGCATGAAAGTGCGTACTTTCCAGCTAATGAAGCGAAATCAATAGCAGCTTTACCGCCACCAATAACCACAACACGTTTATCCATCAATTGTTCGTGCGTTTTGATGTTATTGGCATGAACAATCGGACCGGCAAATTTGTTCTGACCAAGAAAATGGGGCTGGAAAGGCGTGGAAAAGAGACCATTAGCTACGACGACTAAGTGAAATTGTAATGTTTGATGTTGTTGATCAGCTGTTTCAATTTTGACAGTCCATGGAAGCGTTGGATCCCTTAAATTATTCTTATCGATCGATGTGACAGTACTTTGAAATCGAATTCGTTTGACTAAATCGAACTTTTCTGCAAATCTCTTCAAGTAACGATGGATATCTTGCCAAGGAGCATTCTCTTTAGCTAGGATGGTACACAACAGTATTAGCTTTCTAACTGATTTCGAAAAGAAAAGACGAACCTTCAAGATCGGGCAAATCTGAAAATTCCATAAAACCGGCTAATTGTTGACTGCACAAGTTAGCATAGGCGCCATCTGGAGACCAAATACCACCGAGAGTTTTTTGCCGATCAAATATCGTTACATCGAAACCATCTTCGACAAGAACTTTACCTGCGACCAGACCCGATGGGCCTGCACCAATAATAGCTACACTTCTTCGTGTCATTATACTTGCTATTATATTCTTAAAAACAAAATAGTATATTCATCGCGTATATGTCACATCGCAAATAAAAGATAAAAAGAACGTGGCACATTCTATGCCATTGACGATGTTTTATGACAAAAGCTAAAGAAAAGAATCCACATTTTTATGTTTTTTGTATACAATCCTTGAGGCTACAGAAAATACAAGCAATATTGTTGTTAACTATTTTTATACTTAATGTATTGATTGAAAAGCTGTTAAGTCTTCTCTGAAACATTCTCGCTTTAAGTTCATTGAAAACAATGTACTTTTCTTTTTAATTCTTGGATTACACACTTCGATTTTTACACTACGTGACACTGAGCTTCAGTGACAGTCTTAATTATGTCTAATACAGACTTTGCATAATAAGTCGCTTATCATTTTTTGAAGTCTTTACATCCATAAATACATCAGGTACAAGGCTCAATAGACAGTCTTTAGAGCTCATATCTATAGTCTCAAATAATAATATCGTTCAGTATCCGTTTTGATGAATTTGAAAGATGAACATTCAAAAATAAAAACATATAATTTTAGTGTCTTACGATTCAATAAAAACCAATGGCTCGTTCGCTGCTTTTGATACAATGATTGATATGTAACGTTGCTTCTCTTTTAACGATTTCTTTATTCGCGTTTATTATACAAGACCAGGATTTCGAATAAAACATAGGCGAACATCACTTCTCATATGCCTTGAGACGTACGTTATGCATCAAGTTCAAAACAAAAACCTTTTTCCTGGAGACTATTTCATAGGCAGCCGCAGAAAAAAAAACACTTTTTAATTATCAACATGGTTTTCATCTGTTATAATTAAGTCTTAAGAAATTGCGCGATACCGCTTCTTTTCTAGATCTTCGAAATCAGGAATGTCTCTAATTTGCAACAGAGATTAAAACATATAAATAACCCTGAATCTCCAAGACTTTATCTTCATTCATAGACTGACGCTCAGCTTTTTGTTCTAACGGAAGCTTTGATTTATTATCTTTTCAGTTCTTATATCATTTACCGCATCTCTCAACAATGTCCAATCTAACCGACAATCTACCAGCATTTCTAGCCTTTCAACTACCACGTCCTCTTCGATTTTGGTACTTTCTCGTCGCAAACATCGCATCACTAACTTGCACTCTCTTCATTCTCTACTTTCTTCTCTTCGATGTAACACTTCGTCGAGCGCTCAACAATCACATCATCATTGTTCTTCTCATCCTTGGTTTCCTCTACGAATCGTTCAACGTCTCGTGGCACATTCGAAGTGCTCGTTTCGATCAACCTTGGTCGATGTCCAACACATTCTACCTTTTCTGGACATTCTTTGACTATGCAGTTTATTCCATTCAGATCTCTTTGTTCGCTTGGGCATCCATCGAACGACACATACTCATATTTCATGATCGATGGATATCAACTCGAATTAAACGTCTTTTCATTCATTATGCTCCAATTGTCGTCATCGTCGTGTATTACTTTGTCTTCTATAGCATTATCTATTTTGGAACACCTTGTGATAGATCATTTGATGGTTTTCTGTCAGGAGGTGTGTATGCACCTTGTGCATTCTATCTTCAAACTGCTGGAACATGGGATTTAATAGTGCATGAATTGATTCCTACATTGATTATTTCATTCTTTAGTATAGGTCTTCTTCTGCGTGTGGTGCTACAAAAAACACGAATGCGCCAATCACTGCAGTGGCGGAAACACCGCAAGATGACAGTGCAATTGCTGTCCATATCAGTCATTTATATGCTGTTCAATATTCCTTGGGTTGTTTTCATTCTTGGTCTGACTTATGGTGCACCACTGGAGATCGTGTGGCCAGCATTGATTTGCTCGAAGTTTATTCTATATAATATCGTGTTTTTGTTTCCGTTTGTGTGTTGCTTGTCGTTGCCTGAATTTCGTAAACGAGCGAAGCAAATGCTTCTGTTTCGAGGAAGACAACATCGAATTGGTTTAATATCGATGTCGAAAACTCGTTTACGAGCACAGGGAGCGACCATGTAATTAAATGTAGACGTGTCGTGATTTAAATAAAAGACAATTCCTATCGAATGACGATATGCTAAGACTCAGCGTATCCTCACAAATGTCAATACACAAGAATGTCGGTCAATGATTTTGTCTCGTGAAAAATAGTGAATAGATACGATACAGCCATACATGTAGGATGTAGAAATCAATAAGCAATGATATATATATATATATAAAGTAGAAATCGATGTTTAGCATCGATTTTGATGCATATGTATATGAAAGAGAAAAAAATTGTATATGTTTCGTTTAACATTCATAATAGGCTCGGTTCGTTTTCTAAATTTAAGACTTAACGTCCACAGTGCCTTCATTTTGAAATACAACGTTGTCCTTTGGCTTGTCGATTGCCTTGTTTGTATTTCCACCTTCTTCTTCTTCGCCGTCATCGTCCTCTTCGTCATGCTCTGCTCCATCTTGAAACGAGCGATTACGAGTTTCCGGTAACGTGGCAATTACACAAGCCAAGACTACGGCTAAACCTGCGTACACATAATTAGTAATTCGTTGATATTCATCTCCGACGGCAGTATCAATAATTGGTGCTAACATGGAACCAAAACTGCCAACGAACACGAATATAGCATTCGCCAAACCACGCATATATGTCGGAAACAGTTCGGGAACAAAAAGCCACGAAACAGACACAGCGGCACTAACACCAAATTTTCCTACCTGAGAAATCACAGTAGCTACAACCGGATAAGTTCCCGTCACAAACGGAATTGTCAAAACAGCGCCTGCCGTTAGTAAAACAAACATAATCAATGAATATTTTCTTCCTAAGAATGTGATGATGCAAAGGCCAGCTGCTAGATAACCAAGACCTTCAACACCAGCTCCAATAATAAAATTTGTGTATGGACTAATCGCTTCACTTTTCTGACCTAAGTCATATGAAATTGTTGTATATAATAGCATTGTTACAAATTCGATACATCCACACATGAACAATCGAGGTACAAGGCGAATAATTCGACTGATTTTCTTCTTGGGCTTTTTCTTCTCGGTTGCTTTTTCCAAACGAGATTGTTCAACTAATTGCACATACATCGGATGCCATTCGCTTTCTTCTCGACGGTTCGTTTTTGCAATTTTTCGTAGGCAAACTTCGAGTTGATCATATTTCTTTCGAATGAAAAGCCAATACGGTGATTCAGGAATGAAGAAAAGATAAGGTACAGTGACAGCAAAGTAAATACTCATAAACCATTTTAGATTCAACCAGTTTCGTGCTGCATAAGCAAAGCCGGTAAACATGACTTCTCCTATTGTGTACGCGACCATGGACACACCACCAGCAAAACTTGTGTGTGAAGATGACGTTAATTCCATGAGAAGAAGAAAGACGATGCCATACGGATCAATGCCAGACACAATTTGATTGACCATTAGAAGACCGATTCTAGTCGAAATAAACGGTAATAGAATATGAAATTCTGGCATATAGCGCGTGAATTTACTTTAGATTGACACTCATATTGACGAATTGAAGAAGTACTTGCGTAATAGCGGTGACAATATACATTCCCAAACTTAATATCTGAAGCATTTTTCGACGGCCAACTCGATCACTGATTGGTCCAGTTATTAATACCGTAAACCTATCCAAACGTATTCGGTATAGAATAGATAAAAAGGACAGAAACTTACGTTCCAAGCTCGTAAACAGTCGAAATCCAAGTTTTTCGTATTGCATTCTCACAAACAAACTTCGCTTCTTCGGTAAACGTTTTCCCATAGACACTTCGATCGAAAACAAACTCCTGACAACTACTTCCATTGGTATATTTACAACTCGATGATGTCATTAACAATGTATCAATCAGTTGCTGATGAGTCGAATTCGACGAAGAATATTGATTATCATTCGGCCAAACATCCGATGGAAGTCGACAACGAAAATAAGGTTCGGCCAGAGCGAACACATAGTAAAATCCGGCCATACCACTGCTGAAATTGAGCAGACATAATAAGCTGAAATGTATTAACTGAAATCGACCAAAGTCACCGCAACGCCTCAACACATTTTCTAATGATATTTCATCCATAATACCGAATGTTCTTTTTCGAAATCGTACAACTGTATAGAATTATAGATTAGTAGCTGCACTTTTCTTTTTCTTCTATCGTATTGATTTGACCTCAAATTGCATCTGATTTGTATATATATATATAACACTGTTTCAACCTTCGTTAAGTCCTTTTTCAACATGATTTCGATAATATATAGCTGTCATGTACTGTGGAGAAAGATCAGCACATCATGTCAAATCCCTTGTTGTTCTTTCCACTTCTTCAGTAATGAATTTCGTTTTCAGTCAATATTTACTTTTTACTTTATCCAGGAGATTAGTATATCTTTATTGACGTCAATGTATGCTAGAACGAGCGTATTTGTAATTGGATTTTTACGGACTTTCAAATAAAAATAAGAACGTACTAAGGATCAGATTTAATTGCAAAATCGTCTTTTTCGTTACAATTAAAATACATCCGGTTTTTTTTTCTCAACTGTATCAAGTACTTTGCCACAGTTAAACTAGAGATTATGATTGGTTTTCTTTGATCAGTATGAAAAAACTCATCATGTTCAGTATATATAAATAAAAACAAGCATATCTTAATAGTACGATGAGTACAAGTGCTATGATAAATGTCAGAATTGATAATCTCTACATTTTGTATGCATTAGTCGAAAAACATTCAAACAATAGTGTTTGTTGACATTTACTTTTTTTTCTATATTCAAACATTTTGCTGTTTAAATATTCTCGGATGAAACGAGAAAATAATGCTTCTATGAATTACCGGAAAAAGAAGATGTCTTCTAAGTATGTTATAATATTGATTTTTGGGTAGTTGATCAATGTTTATTTGTTGATCGCCTTGAAACAATAAAACAAAACTTAAAGTACATTTTCTCTCGACAATCGATGCGATTGTATTGACTCAAATCCATCAATCTTGTATTCGGAAATGCGTTCACGAAGCGCAATGTCAAACAGCCGTTTATTTTCATGATGATAGAGTTTGTTCGATGTTTGCTGAAAACTGTCGATTAGGCAGGGTTCTTCCGTCGGTGAACATTCGAGCAAGTGTTATTTGTTATCGAAAAAATCCAGGTAAAGAGAGTATTATTATGATCTGCATAAGAAATCTTTCGTTCTAGATTCGAACACTAATTGTCCTTCGAACGCATCATCAACACCAACAGTTATTCAGATAACAAAAGTATGTCTATTAAGTGCAACGCATCTAAACAATTTCAATTTCGAATTGTTATGAGTTTGTTGCTATTCTTTTTTTATATAGATTGGACGAGACTATCATACAGCATCTGTATTAATAGACGGAAAAGTATTAGTAGCTGGTGGATGTAATGATAACGGCTTTCATAGTAGTACTGAATTATACAATCCAACAACTGGAAATTGGTGAAAACTTGCATTCTACACGAAATTGTCACACAGCTACCTTATTATCCAATCGGACAGTACTGGTGACTGGTGGCAATGATGGCTCTACAGCTCTCAAGAGTGCTGAATTGTATTGATACATTCCAGTAGAATGACATTCGTTTTATTCACTTTTGTTCCTTTTCTCGAAGATCTATTTACAGACTGAAGGCACGAACTCATTGAAGCACACAATAAATTAGGAATGATTGATGCCATTGGACCACAGTCAGCAGCAACAGTCACTGCGGACCAATGGTAGTCACATTAATCACTGTTTGATTATCGATGAGATTGGAATCAGCATAATTTAGTAGGTTAATGTTTTACCATAGAAATAGCATCTAATTACCCCGATCACTACAAACTAAAGATGAAATGTTTGTAGAAACGGGTCACCACCATCTTACCTTGACCCTAGATCTGTAATTCGTTAATCAGAGTATACAGTGTTGTTATAGTAAACTTGAATGACTATTTCAGTATATATCTAGCAAACACGATCATTTCATATGTTTACACTACCATGCGAACGTAGGTAGATGAACTATGCTTCGATAACGAATAGATTCTCTATGAGCGCCCTTGTATTATTACAAGTTGATGCTCTACAACATATACATATTATAAAATGAACGAAATATTCGTCTTTCAATCTAGTTCCGATGGATTGAAGACATAATGAGACGTTATTACGAATACCTGTATTCTAATTGAGAGTGACAACAGCTACAGTTACACGCTTGTTGATATACACTATCCTATAGGAAGAAAAATAACTCGAGTAGATGCGATCGAGTTACTTGTGACAGAAGACATATAGCTGTGATGAATACATTGGATTTATCTTACGTCATTGGTTCTTTTTTTTTGACAGCCATTATGTGCATTTTAGTTTCTAGTCGAATCATCTTCTAAAGCGTTTGGTGCGATGGTAAACGATTCAAAAAGAAAAAAACTGTTAACCGATTGAGTACAGTTACACTTATAATTTTTTATCACGAAATTATAAACGCGAGTATATTTTCATTTGATTGCTTGCGTCATAGGCACACTGCGTATCTTCACCGACTGGTTTTCTATACTGTATCCAATCGGCAGGTATCGAGTATAACTACGACATATTCTTCGTTCATGTAATTTGTATGTGATAAGAATAGAGTAGGTGTGTAACAATCCTCAACACCTTTATTCACATGCATTTTCTATATTCGGCATGTTATCGCTTGCAAGTACCTCCAATGATTACCTACGCGTTTGCATCGAATATTTGCTCTTTTCATTCAGGACACTCGAATGATCAAATATCTCAAAGTACTTTACAGATAATAGGTACTATGATAAATAAAATAAGAACGTTATTTACCGATTCTCAAAAAAGTTGAGTTTTGATTTCAACCATACTTTAGTCATATACTCTTTAGTGTCGATCCAGTACAAGAACGTTTTAGTTCTAATCAAATGAAGAAATCAGACACCGTCCTTTTCGTTTGGTTTTGCTAAATAGAAAGGATTGCACCTGAAAGCAAACCTTAGGCGAGTGATAATCATCAAGTTTATTTTGAAAGCAATTCATTATGAAAAAAAAGATGATAGATCATTTAATGGGCTTTGTTTAATTGTGGTTTTCGATGATTGCTATAGGCATATGGAGCGACTCGTTCTTCGTAATGAAGATGTGGTCCAGTTGTTCGTCCTGTATTTCCACTCTTTCCAATGACTTGTCCAGCTGAAACCTTCTGTCCGACTTTGACTGATTTACTGCTTAAATGAGCAAAGAGTGTTCGAACTTTGTTGGAAGCTTCAATGACAATATGGGTACCATAAGCACTACCCCAATTGGCATTGACGACCGTACCGCTAACTGTTGCGCGAACACTTGTACCAACAGGACAGGCATAATCATCACCAGTATGATAGCCAGCTGCCCAACTACCCTTTTTGCCAAATGGAGTAGTGATTGATCGGCCTGGAATTGGCAAATGAGCGCAGATCACTGCGCATAGTGTAAAGAACGAAACGAAGAAGAAGACTCTGCACATTTTCTTGTGTATGTGTTGGTGATAAAACGAATTTAAAATCGTTATTTATACTCGAAGACGAGGCGAGAAAGTAGAAGGATTACAAAGATGATTGCTCTCATTCACATGAGACCCATTTGCTTTTTAATCAGCAAAACAATATTCGACAGATGTGCATTTTCTCTTGTTCTGCGATATAGAATATGATTCTCATGGATTAAGAAAGCTAAAGTCAAATGAATGGATCGAGAATAGNATGACAATCCATTTTTGTTTTGCAATAAAGTTGTTCTAATATGAAATCAAATAGTACTTACGACTTTATATCGCAACAATCGGAGAGACACTTACAGCACAATTATCCGGTTTGTTCTCAACAAATGCTTGTTTACATTTCTCACGGATATTTCGATAGAGTTGAATATTTGAGATGGATGTTGATTGAGACATGTTCGAATCATTGATACTCAGTGTAATAAGTGAATCAATGTCAAAAACGAACATTGAACGATTGTATTCATCACATTCTATACAAAACAAAAGTGAGATGACGAGAGAGAGAGGTGTTGAAAGAATCTCACCAGCGAATGTTGTTGCGAGTAGTTCAATGATCTTGTTCTCATCAAATGCCGTGTTCTTCGACAAGAAATCTGTATCGATGATTTGGATGCTATCGATATTTCGACTAGAACAACCGTTGATGATGCGTGCGAACAAAGTCACTAGTGATGTTTCAGCATCCAACAATTTTTCTTCCATTGTGGGCCCATTAGATAGTTCGATGAAGCATTTTCTTTCTTGTAGATCAATTAGAATTCGTCCTGATGGTTTTTTTCTTTGAAGAACCAATGAGAATTGTGGAGGTTGATTATTGGTTGCATTTGTTTGGAAGATGTTGGGATAAATACGACAAATTTCAGGTAGAGTGCTACTTCCAAACCAACAGCTAAACTCTCGAGCTGTGTTATTGGCAAGCGAAAGTAGTGTATGGTTAGATAATGGTGTTGATTTTCTAGTGCTACCAAGAAAATTAAGAATGCTCGACTGTAATGCACCCACTGCTGCACCGCTAAAGTTTGTTGTAATTTTAACAAGAAAATCCAGTCGTTCCTCGTTGAAGTCTTTGGGATCTTTAGTTAGCAGTGGTCGAAGCATTTTCTTACGAATAGCAGGTGATGGTCGACCGACAAAACACTTCGCTTGCATACGTCGTAGAAAGGCATCGTCCATCATATTTCGTCGATTGGTTGCACCAAATACAACTAAATTGGGAATATTTTTCACTCCTTCGATATGCGAAAGAAGAACACTGATTCCATCGACTTTCGATTGTTGTGCATTGTTATCTCGTTTTGGTACTAGTCCATCGATTTCATCAATAGTCATGGCACACATGAGATATGGAATGGTATTGGCACGATACATAATGTCGATGAGAAGCTTTTCTGTTTCACCTACATAGGGTCGGTTGAGTTCACCAGCTGCCAGTGGTACAGTTGTGGGTGTGATGCCTGCATAGACAGCTGCTCTCTTCAGTATTTCCGACTTTCCTGTACAGAAGTGAAAACGTTTTCATAATTAGAGATTTATTGCTGGTTAATAATGAGGGAAATCATTCGACGTACCTGTTCCTGGTGGTCCATAGAGAAGTAGACCACGGCCGATTTTGATTTTCAGTTTCCGATGTTCATCAGCGTTGATAAGTGCCAACCTGGATTCCCGATCGCTAATATCTTTCCTTGTCTTTTCCAGATCTTCAGCCAGTTGGTTACTTTGTTTCGTTGCGTCATTGAGTTCGGCAAATTTCTTTTTCTTTGCGGACTCAATTTCTTCCTTCTGATTCTTCAAGCCCTCTTGCTTCTCCAGAGCCTCATCTATTTTCATCCTAGAAAGTGGGGCATTCCGTGTAAGACCTAAGAATTCCGCTTTTGCATCTTCTTCCTCGTCGCATTTGTTTTTCCAACGAGCTTCAAGGATTTTGTACTCATTTGTTAGACAGTCAGATCTGTTTCTTGCGACTTTCTCTTCTTTCTCCAATTCATTAGCTTTGCACCCTAGTTTTTCTATTTCACTTGATACCTTTTTTCGCTCTCTTTCGATGTCTTCCTCAGTAAAACATTCAGTTGGATTACAAAACGTGTACAAATATTCTTTTATAGTGTTGATTATGTTTCCATCATCAGCATAGAATTCACGCAGCTCCTGGATAGCTGAATCTACTGCTTTCAGATCGAGATATGTTAATCGATCTCTTTTGCCAATGGCATCATAAAAATAACGCTTCACTCGGTGAATATCAGCTAATAGTGTAGCTTTCGATTTCTTGTAATTAGCAACTTCATTAGAACCACTTATTCCAACGGTATTCAATTGTACATAATCATAAATCAGTTGTTTCACTGCAGGTCTCACTCCATTGAGCTTCTCCCAAAGACTTTCATTCATCACCGCGTTTTGAAGGTGTTCAATTTTTGTGATATTTTCACCTATAGAGAATACTCACACTACGATGCTGCACGTGAGAACGAGAAAAAACTCGAATACCTTTTAGATCTTTTAACCAATTTTCTACATCTTCGTAACCATAATTATTCTGGTGGCTAATAGACTTGAGAAGATCTTCGAGAGTATTCATCGCTTCGGAAGAATCGGTCGAAGTATCAACTTCGGTTCCATCATTCGTTGGTTCGGCGTAAGGAATAATAGTTACCGAAACAGAAGTACTTGTTGTTGTATACCATAGTTTAGGAAATTGATTTCCTTTTGTACCAGGTCGATAATCTAATTCTATTAGGTTGAGTAGACGATTAAAATTCCAAGGTCCAAACTTATCATTTCTACGTATGAGTAAATTTGGTCGATAAACTAGACGTTCAGTTTGGTTACTCATGTCGATTGGTTTACTAGTCGATCGAAGTGCGTAAAGATGAAATACCGAAATGGGTTTGTTATTGATGACCAAGGGATTGTCAGGATCAGGCGTATTCAAGTTATCAACAAATTGTTTTAATTCTGAATATTCGAATTTGATACGAATAATCATAGTGAGTTCTTCAATCGGTTCTGCTTTTGGCATTTCTTTTGTTTCAGCATTCGATATTTGTCTAAAATATACATGCAAAAACGGTGATAAAGAAGATTAGTTTTCCGCAATAACTTACGTTGCGGTAGCAGGTTGATTTGTTGGATAAATTGGCGGCACATCTGTATATGTACATTCTTGGAAAACGTATTTGCTTGCCATTTTCAAGTGAATTATCTGAAAAAAGCCAATCATGATTAAAATGAACGACATAATTAAAAAACGTGAAGGGAAAAGAGTGTCTCGATGTTTTACGCTTTAATTTGATCTTCTGAGTCTATCTTCATTGAACGTCGTCGTTGGAATTTGATTGGTTTGTTCAACAGCCACTGTGTTCATAACATGTTCTTGTTGAAGAACTCGATCTTTCAGTTCTTTTTTAATGATTTCCGATGATTTCACTTCAAGTCTTGTTTTCTCTTTGCGATAGTAGTTACTAAGCTTAGTAAGGTCTTGTTCAGCTTTTTCAATCACTCGATATGTTTCTTGCCGAAGTTCTTCATTGTCAGCATATTTATCACGATTGTCTTCGATTTCGTTTCGTGCTTGACGTAGTGCTTTTTCGCCGTCACCAATTTCCTTAGCATTTGCTTGAACTTGTTTATCCAATGCCGCAAGTTGACCTTTTGATGTTCGAAGATTGACATGGCTTTGTTCTTTTCTTTCGCCAACTGATCGCAAGGATTGCGAGACTCTCTCAATATCATTTTGATTCTTTGTAATCTCGTCTTTCTTTGTTTGAAGTTTGATCTCGACTTGTGTCACATCTTTTTTTAATTTTTCATGGTGAGTGACGTACATATCACGCTTGTTAACCAGTTCTTGAACTTTACCTTTTTGAGATTCACCTTGAGCACGGGCAGTACGATAAGCAGCTTGATTTTGGTTTAGTTCTCTTTGGGATTTTATTTTATCCTGTTCGAGTTTGAGTATTGCCGGCTCAACAACTTCCTTAACCTGTTTTGATATTTCCTCGAGTTGTTTGTTTTTGTCCTCGAGTTCTTTTTTCACTGTACTGAGAAGATCATTCTTTATCTGTAAATCGTTCTTCAGTTGTGCTTCGCTCTTGCTATTTGCTTGCAGCAATAGGTTTTGATTATCCCGTTCACGTTCTGTCATCTTTTTGACATTTTCTCTGTCGAGAAGCTTTCGTTTTGTGTTTTCATTTTGCTGTTTCAGTCGTTGAACCAGAGTGATTTGTTTATAATGCTCTGATGTCGCCACATCGAGTTCATTTTGTTTATCTCGTTGATCGATTTGCTTGTCTTCCATATCACGTTCTTGTCGTTGAATCGTCGTTGTTGCCGATGCAATATTCGATTGAAGATCTCCTCGTTGTTGTCGATATTGTACAAGTTCGTCTTGATTTCGTTTCAGATCATTGGCAACACTGCCTAACTGTGCTTGAGAGCGATTTAATTTATTTTGTGTATTCTTAATTTTGGCTTCTGTTTGTCCTTGTCTACGATTGGTATTGCGGAGTGTATTACTAACTGCATCGAGTTCACTCTTGCGTTGAGAAAGAGTCGTTTTCTTTTCGCGCACAACATTTTCTTGTTCCTTTCGATCACTAGTCGAATTGCGGTATTTGGATTTTGCCGTTCGTAATTCTACTTTCGCTCTGCTATGCTTTTGCCGAGCATTATTGCATGCCGTTTCTTTTTGGTTGACCTTGCTCTGCGCATCTTGTACGCTAGTGCCTACCGAGTTTCGATTACCACCGAAACCTGGAATAGGTATCTTCGTGTATATTGTCGCAGCTACTGAAAGAAGCGATCCTGTAATGTCCGCAATATCCCAGATTTGTGCTCGAGATTCAGCAAGACGTAATTGCTCTTGAGCTTGACGAAGTTCATTTTCAGCAGAATCCAAGTCTGCTTTCGCGCTTTGCTCTTCAGCGGCAGCTCGATCATGTTGATTCTGCGTTTCTCTTTCTTCTTGTTTAAGTTGAGTTAACCGTTGAGTAGCGTCGGTGTGTTCAGCAGCAGCAGTTTGATGTTGCTGTTGTGCATCGTCTTTACGTGATTGTAAATCGTTGCATTCAGTAGTCAAGGTAGCGAGTTCCGCTTCTAATTTGTCCTGTTCAGCTTGAAAAAAGTTCACTTCATTCGTGTGCTGTTGCTGAGAACGCTCCAATTGTGAAACTTTATCTTGAACCCGTCGGATCAATTCTTCGGAAGTACGCAGTTTCTCTTCGAGTGCTCGAAGTTCACGATTGAAGTCAGCTAGCTGATCTTCCATCTCCACGAATGCACGATCTAAATTACGTTTGTCTACTTCGAGTTGTTTTCGATTTCCTTCTAGTTCCGTTTGCCGCTGTTGTGCTTGAGCTAATAGATCTTCTAACTTTTGAATTTCATCTTTATTTTCTTTGATTTCTTTCTCCAACGCAGTGAGTTCTTGTTCAAATCGCTGGACATTTCTCTGGATGATTCTTGCCTCTTCTTGAAGATGATTCAAGCCAGATGCTTTTTCTTCGAGAACGCGTTTTAAATCCTCGATTAGAACTTTTAACTGAGCCTCTTGTTTCTTCAAATTGGCTTGATCACTTTTACAAGTTTGTTCTTGTTGCTTTAAACGATCAAGTTTATCAGTATATTCTTGAATTTGTTTCTCAATGTCATGCACACTTTTTATTAATTGTTCGACTTTTAATTCATAAGCTTGACGTCTTCTATCTTCCTCGTCGACTAATTTGCTTTGCTCTTTAATTTGCGTATTAAGTCGTTCAATTTGTTGTTCGAATTCCTTCAATGACAATCGTAAGTTATTTTCTACTTCACCATTCTCGATTTCACGCTCCTTCATCTGCGCAATTTGATCTTCAAGTTGTTTTTCTTCGAGTTTCAATTGGTTTTTCGTTTCGACATACGAGTTTTGCTCACTTCTATAGGATTCACTTTGTATCTCCAATTGTTCCAAGTTATTTTCGTGAGCAATGATGTTTTCCGTAGCTTCGTACTGCTGCTTACAAAACTCGATTTGTTGTTGCTGCAATCCTTTGAGTTGTTCGGCACGTTCTTGAAATTTCCGAAAGAGCGGCTCATGTTGACGGTATATTGAAGAACTTTCCTTCTCAAGAGTTGTTCGATTGTTCTCAGCACCTTCCTTATCACTGTTGAGTTGTGCAGTTCCCTCGCCACAATGTTCAGCCAGTTGTTTTCCGTGTGCTCGATTTTGGCTGTATTCGTTTGCTCGAGTTTGAAAGAAAGGATCCATGTTATTCGTCAAATCTGCAAATAAAATTTCAATAACTGAATGTACTTTGTATTAGTAGGAAAGGGATGGGCTGAATTAGATCTCCAACAGATACGCTTGGTAGATGTGATAAATACTACGGCAATGGCGAAGAGAAAAAAAACAAGCCATAAAACATTTTAACCATCATAGACATAAAAGGAAAAAACCAACCGAGAAGGGCAGTGGAACGATTAGTCAAATATTCAGATAGCGAAGGAAGACAAAAAGATAGTAGCGTATTTCGAGAATGTTGACGAGAAAAAAACCATTGTATATGTGCATGTTATGATTAAAAAGGAAAGAAAAAAGGAGTATTCAAAAGTTTTTGTTTTTATTCTGGCCATATTATCACCTCTTTACGATGCTCTTTGAAAACAATGGGATTTATCACAAGAAGACATTCTAATTCAGGTACGTATGAGGATGATCTTGTTAATCCTTTTGTGTATTTCTAAGAAAAACTTCCATGTCTGTGTTTTGCTAAGTGAATCGAGACTGGATTCTTCATTGAAAAGACTTCTATATACTAACTACTGACTTATGTGATGTTTTTTCTCTTAATCCAATTAGGACAGCGCATATCATATTACTTTTTGAGTTCGACAGATAAGGCATACAGTGAGTAAAGGCGGGAACAAAAGTGAGAATAGATTGTGCACACCATCGTATGCATTGCTATCAGAATAGTGATGAAGTTATGTCTATTACGTGATATAAATCGTATAGATTACAAAGAAACAAGATATTCGAGCTAAAATTTCTACAAAAACAATACATGTTATTGCCGTTGTGTTGACTCGATATGTCTCACTTATTTTGCATGGTAATGCAAAAGAGAACAGGTGACATTTGTGTTGACTTTAAAAGAAAAGTGAGAATATGTGAAAGAAAGAACATGTTTTTGTTCCACCGACACCGTTGAGTAAATGTTTATTCAAGGTAAGGAATGATATTGGTGACTATTCTGTCATTTTGAAAGGGAAAAATCCAGTTGCTATTTTGATTGCTGTGTACTGCGAGTAAAAGAAATACCGAGGGACATTACGCTGTTTTTCCTCTTCGTTAGATGAATATTCTGAAATTACTTGCAATTCTGTCTATACTCATCGCGTTCGATGTAGATAAAATCGAATTTGCATGGTGAATTTCTTACGAATAGAAATATTTTAATACCATTTAATCAAAATGACAACAGGAGTAAACGTTGCTAAAGAACGTGACGAATTGAAGAGAGAATTAACTTCTGTGTTGGATGAGCAAGATGAAGCTTCGTTTGTATTTCACCGTGTGGATCATATTGTGAGAAATGAATCGACATTATCGAATCTTGACACTGTAAAATATCTAACTGATATTTTCTATCCATTTGGAACGCGTGCACTTGTTCATAACTCTCAGGTATGATTGAAACTTTCGATGAAATTTTTAGCGAAATATTATTGATACTTGTTAGGTACTAGCGATCAAAATGGTCAAACTGATGCATTGGTGGTATAATAAACGATCGGGAGAGGTACCAGCCAAAGATCTACTAGAAATTGTCCGTGGTGGACTCATACAAATTTTTGAAAAGGGTCCGGATGGTAAACTAAAAAAGGAGTGAGTATATGGTATTTATATGAATCAGTCTAAGTTGATTTGTTCAGGTCAAAGCCACCAGATCCACGAACTTTACCTTATCTCATACGTTTGTTCGAAATTCCAGTTAATATCTCGAGTGGCGAAGAAATCAATGCGCTAATCGGATTATTATATGCCTGTATGGCTTATAACGCCGCAGATTCGACGGATATGCGCGACTATTTGGTTACAAGTCCACATTTCGGATCTTTGTGGCAATTATATTTCAATCCCTTACGCATTGCGAGTGCGAAAAGTGAAGATCCACATGTATCAACTGAAGCACCAGGTAAAAAGTCATTTTCAGTAACACCTCTAATTGAAGTTAAGTGGATGGATGGCCGACAAGATATCTACAGTGATGGATACGCACCTCCGCGTAAGCGTGTTGACGAACTCGTTCATATGGCAATCGAGGCGTGCAAGACAAAAGAAACTTTACTTAGCTTACTCAAGAACATACCTTTAAATTTCGTGAAAAGTGGGGACATGTTTTCTTATTGGCTGACTCTCTATCGTCAGTTGACATCACATCGTCTCTTTGACATTTATATCAATACCAAATATTTCGAACTTATCGAAACACTCGATCTGCAAGTTTATGAAAGTCAACTGAAAAGTTACGTTTCCAGTCTATTTCCTATTTGGCAAGTGTTAACCAAGACGGATCTGTTAGAATCTGTCTCGATTCGTATTACACATTTTATTCAGATAATTATTCGTTGCAAGTCAAGTAACTGGCTAACATCGATTGACGAATTAACGGAACAAATATGCGAAAATACACTGAAACAACATGAAGATGGTTATCTATCATATTATCTTTTACTCAAAGATCTACTTCCAATTTACGATGAGGCAAATTTAATCCATACGATTAAAAAAGTTAATAAAAACATCGTTATACATTACCTTGATGTTGCTATGAAAGACAATCGCCATGTCATTTATCTCATAAATATTCTGAAATATGTGCGAAAGCATACAGACGAAGATCTTTTGAGTGAATTATTTAGTTGTGTTGCTTCGTGTACTCAGAATAAAATTGTATTTGAAATCATTAGAAATTGTATTTGGCCAAATAGTACACTGGCTACCTATGTTCAAAATGCAGGTAACAAACAAATTCAAGATTTATTTTCTTGTATCCGATCAGACATGGCTTTGGAATACGTCGATGTATTACTTCACGTTGTCGAAACTCTTGTCCAAAACGCTCAGCTGCGAAAGATTGTTTATGAACTCGATGATATACATGAAATTATTCAAAAGTGGTTGAACAGATCGATATCAATACCAATAATTGTACGTCTTCTTGACATTCTTATTGATGTTGGCTCTTCTGAAGACAATCGTCATAGAATGGACATTGAAAACTTCTTTCACAATGAATATTGTCCGAAATTATTAGCAATTGATTTCGGAGAACAAAGTTCCTTTGCTCGTATCATCATTTTTCTTAATTCGATCGCGACAAATCAGAGTTCCAAATGCAAACTACTAGAAGAATTCTTTCAAAAATTAAACAGAACAACAGAAGACAACCTCAAGCCATGCACATCGCACATGAAGAGTATTGCACGAGAAATTCTCGAATCTAAATCGCGACCGATACTATTTCAACTTCTCACACCATTTATTCCTGATATTATTGGGCAATTAGGACGTGGGCATGCACGAAAAGCACCATGTGTTCGTGTCCTTGCTGAATTGTTAGAATTATCAGAAGAACAGCGTTTAACTTTGTCCGAATATTTCCAAGATTCACCAACAGTTGAAACTCAAAATGAAACATGTTCAACGTATCAACAACAGCAGGCACATCTCGAAACGTTTTTCTCTGCTGAAATCGACAGTAAAACAGAAACGGTGCAAATAAGTTATAAAGATTTTGCGAAAGCACACGAATTATTGAATCAGTTGAAAGACACGGAATCGGCGGCAATTGATCAAACGTTGCGCACTCGTCTATTTGAAAAACATCAGACATTGTCTTATTCAAATATATGTGAACAAGCTGATCGTTTAGTACTTACAGCCACAGCACGAGAGAATGTGTTGAAAGTTCTGGAAGTACTCACCGATTGCGTTCCTATTCTTCTCGAAGGCGAAACCGGTGTGGGCAAAAGTGCTAGTGTAATAGAAGCAGCCCACCAGTCAAGAAAGAAAATCATTCGCTATAACATGTCATCTCGTGTGACAATTGATGATCTACTAGGCAAAGTTACTCCTGTTTACGACGTGCAAAGTCAAAATACAAGTTTTCGTTTCATCAATGGTCCATTTACGACTGCATTTTTGGAAGGCTGTTGGATACTGTTTGACGAGCTCAATCTCGCACAAGATACTGTCCTACAAGCTATCGAATCAGCTCTCGATACTCAACAATTAACCATTCATGATTTCAACTCAGAACAAAAAACAAGTACTGTTTATAAGATGCACCACGATTTTCGTCTATTTGCAACACAAAATCCCAGTACAGGATTTTTCAAAGGAAAACGTGAGAAGTTATCGTCATCATTTCTTAGCCGTTTTCGACCGATTATTTTCAAAGAACTGCCTGATCGTGAATGGTGTAGTATCGTAGAAAAACAACTGAAGCAATCGTTTCAGAATGCAGCTCACGGATTATCTGAATTACTCGTGCGAAGATATCATGCCAATATCAGAGAAGCTTTGCACAATCATGACTCGGCATCGATCGAAACAGGTCCATACGCAGAAATTTCTATTCGTGAACTTCTTAAATGGGTCAAAGTACTTAACTGGCAAAGTAAACATAATCAATGGCCTCATGATCAGCTTCTGCGTAATCAATTAATAAGTTTTAGCGCATGGTGCATATATGGAGCACGATATCGTTCGACTGGTAGAAAAATGATTGAAGACATACTTACAGACAGAGGAAGAGACAAGTCAAATGCAGAAGCTCTTCATAAATTTAGTTTCAAAGTTGATCAAAAACTTCGTATAGTATATTTTGATAATATTCCATGCCCCGCTCGAATGGAAAAACTCATTGATCAGCCAGCCAAAGAATGGAATCGGTTTGTTGTTTCAAGCAATGGTACATCTATCGATTTTGATCAATATCTATGGAATGCAGCACGAAAAGCACATTTGGCAGTTCATAGTGCAGCATTAAATACAGAATTTATCGTTGCACATGGTATCTATCGTATTGATCGTTCATGGCTATGGGATTGGCTTTCATCCGCAGCGCAAGTGAACAAAATTAGCAACAGACGCGAATGTGCTCTTCACGGCAGTATCATGTACCAACGTCGTTTCCGACATAATGCTGCACAGGCTATAGTTCGACGGTGTTTTAGTACCGCATTTAGTATACCAGAACTAACTGAAACATCAAACATATCGTCTGATTCACTAGTACGACCAGAATTACCATATGTTTTAACCGACCGCGTTTTACGCGCATTGAAGCAAATATCTTTTCACCTACAAATTAAACAGCCGATTCTTCTCACTGGGGTTGAAGGTTGTGGTAAATCAGATCTATTGTTGACACTTGCCTGGTTACATGGTCAACAAGTTCATCAACTTAACATTACTCCTGAAACCGAACCATCTGCGTTTATTGGCCAGTTCATTCCAAACGAAACTGAAGATAAACATAATTCAAACCGCAGCAATAAATTAGTTTGGCAAGATGGCTGCGTGACGAAGGCATTCAAAAAAGAAAATCAATGTGGACATTGGGTGTTACTTGATAACCTGAACATGGCCGAGTCGTCTGTTCTCGAACGACTTAATCCAATTCTCGAAGAGAGACCAATGCTAATATTGACTGAAAAAGGTGATAATCATGTAGAGGAAATGCATGATGACTATCAATTAGTAGCAACAATGACACCTTCTGACCTCGATTATGTACAAAATAGAGCAACAAGTGAACTATCACCAGCACTTTACAACCGTTTCTCAATTGTTCACATAGAAAGTATTTCATTTGATCCGACAAATAATTCAAATGAACTGTCACAAATGGCCAGAGCTATATTATCCGATGAACAAGACACGAATAGTCAACTTGCTGTATCGCTTTGTCATACAGTCCTGAAATTTTATACAAAAAATCGACATCTTTTTTCAAAATTCACACTACGGAACATTGTACGGTTATTTGATAGTACATATCAGCTGCAAATGAAATTCAAAGGACAATTAGATTTTCCGTCGAGTCTTTGGACGGCCTATCATGTTACTATTGCCAACCAGATAAAAAGTGACCAAGATCTGAAAACACAATTAACGAATGATGTTGAAAAACTACTTCGTGGTGATCGTGCATTAGCCAACCTTCAGAAACAAAGGTTTGCTGACTCGATTAAGACTAGCGAAATGCACATCTTGACTCAGAGTCGTCTTAACTATGTCGATTCCATTCTTGGTGCTGTCACTTGCAATATTCCCCTTCTACTTGAGGGTGCAGCAGCTGTCGGCAAGACAAGTCTGGTAACATATTTATCTACTCAATTGAAACCTATTGAGCGAGTTAACAACAACAATACAACAACAATTCAAGATTACCTGGGTGCGTTTGTTCCAAGCAATGATGGCTTTGTCCATCAAAAAGGAGCTCTCTATCGTGCAATGGAAAATGGCTGGTGGTTTCTCGCTGATGAGTTTAATCTAGCTGATCCATCGGTAATGAATATACTGTTTCCATTATTGGAAGGTAAAAATAGCATCAGTATTCCGTCAACTGGGCAAGTTATTACAGCCAAAGCTGGATTCCATTTTTTTGCTACACAAAATGACTCCTCGTACGCTAATCGACATCAGTTGCCTGTCTCACTGCGTAATCGTTTTCTTGAACTCCTATTTGAAGATTTTCCTGGCGATGAGTTGTCAGAAATTATCTTGAAACGGAAAGAACCTGGGAGACAACGACCAACATGGTTAACACAACAATCAACTAAACAGCTAGCTCAGTTTTATCATGAGGCCCAATCTCGAATCACATTTCGTGAAATTGTCAAATGGCTGCATCGACATTCTCTATTTTTACCAAAAACTGAACGGTGGCCTGTTATTGGTATCTCAATTCTAGGAGCTAAATATTCATCTGAATCCAAAGCCTTCAAGTCATTAGTAGAAGATCTCAGGCGTATATGGTCTAATGTCACTATCACACCGAATCCTTCAATTTCTATCACATCAAATAATGACAAAGTTTGTTTCAAAGAAGGTGAACTACAAGTTGAATTCAGCAATGCGGAATTAGAGGCAAATGAAGTACAGCGATGGCCAGAACAATTCCGCCGTGCCCTGACACGTCTTGCTCTTGCAGTTCGTGCTAGGGAACCTGTACTTCTTGTTGGACCTACGGCTTGTAAAACTCTCTTGATAGAAACATGGGCTCGGCTTTCAAAGCGAAGCGCTCAGATAGTCAAAGTGCATTTGACACCAGACACGGAAACCAGTGATCTAATTGGTGAGATACGACCGTATTCATATCTTGACCTATTGAAACATTTACCTATTATGATCGAACGCATCTATTTACGTTTTCTTGCGCTCTGCCGCCATCAAAATCATCTGAATAACGAATTCAATTCAACCGAACCAATTTTACCTCGTCTTATGGAAATCATCAAACATGATTTACCGCAGATAATTCGAGATTACGAAAGTGCCTATTCAAAAGTGGAAAGAGACGGAATTCATGAAAATGACGACTTAATCAGTTCGAACACAGATATTTCGACATCAAAATTACTTGGCGAATGTCTGGGTGACTTAGCTGATAACATTGAACCCATAGATTCAACGGAGCCTTCCAAAGCTAGAATGAATAGTCTTATTTTAAACATCAGAGGAAATGATTTTATCGGTAATGCATTTCATTCGCCAAATATGGATGAAGGATACAGAATTGATGACATTAACTCTTCAGGAGATTATAACTACCAAGAATTGCTTTCATCTAATATTAATACAGACGAATCGATTGCCAATCAAGTCTCTTTAGAGCAACCCTTTGAAGATAAATCTCTTGTGTTTGAAGCGGATACATCTTCTGATCAAGTATTTGATTTGCTAGAGTATTTAGAAAACCCAGAGGCCGCCGATGAAGCATCTGATGAAAGAGGCCCTCAACCAATGCCAGAACAATCTGACAGTTCTGCGATAACTTCAGAGAACGTGGATCACCAAAATGAGCAATCGGAAAAGGATATAAAAGAAATGGCATTCAAAGAAAAACTTGGAAAACCTATTGAAGATATAAAACAACAACTGAAGATAATTTTTGGTAGAGAATATGCTGCTTTTACTAAAACTGACACTGCCCTTCAAGATTACCATTCGAAATTTCTTGTCGCATCAGAATATCTTATTAGCTCGAATTTTGACAAAATCAAACCAATCTTTCTTTTCAACGAGGGATCAGTTACATCAGCTGCCAAGCGAGGTGCAATTCTACTTCTCGAAGATCTCAATCTACCCAGTCAGGCAGTCGTTGAAAGGTTGAATTCCATGCTGGAAGCGAGTCCCATGTTTACATTAACAGAAGATATCACTAGTCAAGGTGATAAAGGACAATTGAACATAATGTTAGTCAACGATTTTCAAATATTTGCCACTGTTCATCAAGAACATGAATATCAACTATTGAAATTGAGTCCAGCTATGCGTTCACGTTTCACTGAAATCTACATTCCAGCATATTCGAATGAAGACCTTCAACAGTTGATTGAAAATGAATTAATAAAGCAGGAAATCGATGGAGCTGAAGCAAAGAAACTGGTAGAGATCATGTTTTCATTACGTGAAAAGTTACGCAATGACCTAGAATGGAAAATTCAAAATGATATTCAACTTTTATTTCGTTGGACAGATTTCATAGTCCAACATCATTCATCTGTCTCACTTATGCAACGTATGTTTCTTGGTGCTCGTTTTTTCTATTTCGATCAATTACCAATGTCACGACATGAAGTGCTTTTTGATGCATGGTGCAAAAACTCGGCAACAACGAGTGGTTTTCTGGAATATCAGCATATTTTCCAAATACCGAATGCATCGCATGGAGCAATTACATTGGAATCGATCGAAGCAAGTGATCCTACTACACAGAAACTTCCACCATTTGAAATCGGTCCTGATTTTATCCGTGTTCGTTATACTGGCGTATGCTACTCCGTTAAGAACAGAAATAATGAGAGTGCGAACATTTCATTCCGTGACCTCGAGCAAAAGTTTGATTGTGTACCGACACCAACTTTAATCAACCAGATTGCACGTATATTTGCTGCCACATCATCGAAAGCACCACTTCTTCTCGAAGGTCCGCCAGGAATTGGTAAAACTCAAGTTGTGCTACAAGTTTGTTCTCTGCTTGGTAAAGAATGTGAACGCATCAATCTATCAGCTAATACTTCACTCCAACAACTGATTGGCTGTATTGTTCCACGATGTGTTAATGGAACACGTGTTTTTCAATGGCAAGAAGGACGTCTTTTGAAAGCGATCAAAGCATCTCATTGGATTCTCTTTGATGAACTTAATTTAGCTGCTCCTGAAGTACTTGAAGGTTTAACACCATTATTTTACAGAGAAACGTCAACATTCACAGTACCAAATACCGGTGAAGTGGTCGATATAGCCAGTATTCGTTTGTTTGCGACAATGAATCCATCTACGATCGGTGGCGGTCGAGCCAAATTACCGCGTTCAATCAGTAATTTATTTACAATCGTTCAACTGAATAACTATTCTAACGATGAACTACGGATTATTTTCAATAAATGGTTTCAAAATGATCTAGAAAAAAAACTCATTAGCCAAATTCATCTCAATTCTTTGTTTGACATGCACGCTTCTCTTAAAGATATGGTAGATGAAGGTACAGTTGGTCGAACAGGAGGGCCGTACGAACTAAACTTACGAGATCTAGCCAAATTTCGCGATATATTTCATGGCTCTATCGAAAGTCAATTATCTCATTACAAATATATCAATACGACAGACGACGTTGACCATCCGGAAAATAATATAGTAAAAGAAATGTCCGACGCCCTTTGTCTGCCGATACGAAAATTTGCTCAAGTATCGTATGCTTGCCAATTTCAAGGACAGAAAGATGTTGATAACATATGCCTGCTGATCAATGATCGTTTTCCTATCAATGCAACGCTTAGCAAACGAGAAGAAGATTGTTCAATTGATATCAGTGTGGCTAATATTGTTCGAATTGGCTCTATTTATATCAGTACGGGTACAGCAGGAGTAGTATCGATTCAAGGTGAAATGATTCATACAAGAAAAACAATAAGACAATTGGAATTACTCGCTGCTGCATGCCAATCGAAACGGACTGTTCTTCTCGAAGGCGATGTTTGTTCTCGTAAATCATCACTCGTCATGGAACTTGCTCGATTAACACGCCACCGGCTGATCGTGATACCTCTTCATGAAAACTTTGAAACATCAGATCTCATTGGTTCGTGGCTTCCAATGACTGGTCCGTCGCAAGACGAATTAATTTATGACAAAATTGATAAATTATATAACGAAATCATTAAAATCTTATTTTTACTTGTTATGCCATTACTCTCCAAGCCTGTTGATAACGAAATTTTTGGTAAGATTCGAAATATCCTGCGTCAACGGTCATCTAGTTCATTGAATGATCGACTGGAAAAAATCAATATCGAAATCAAAGTTTTACACGACACGAATGATTTACTAACGAAACTATATGATATTCCTCAAATATCAGGAAATGTCAGAATATCCGTCTCGAATTGTGTCTCTCAATTAATTAGCTATGAAGATAAATTAAGTAATCTTCGTCATAAAAGTAAACCTGATGTAGGCTTTACATTTGTTGAATCGGAATTCGTCCAAGCGATTCGTGAGGGCTGGTGGGTTCTATTGGACAATATTAATAGTGCACCCTCGGACGTTCTCGAGCGACTGAACTCATTAGCAGAAGAAAATCCGATGTTATCATTGTACGAAAACTCTGAAGGTCAAGTTCTCAGTCAAAAAGACAACACAATTCATCATGACTTTCGTCTTTTCACAACAGCTAACCTTAATCGGATTTACACCAATAAACTCTCATCGGCTTTTCTCAATCGCGTCATCCGTCTCTGGTTACCTCCAATCGATGAAGTTGACTCCGCTGACAGGGAAAACACTCAACTGACTGATTTATATGAACTTCTTGAAGGTAAATTAGCTGATGTATCTGGCGGTAAACAACTGGCTCATTTACTTCTTCTCATTCATACCAATGTCAAAGATCATGTGAATGGTGGAAGTCTGGTTTATCCTAGCGATTTCGTCGTGACATATCGATTGCTAGAACAATGTGTTCGATCTATTCTTTATTTAACTCGAGAGAATATCAATCCAGTCGATGCTTGTTATTGGTCAATATTACGTTCTTACTGTTCGTCATTACAGAATAACGTTCAATATAATCTTTTCGTTAGTCACCTTCTACAAACAATCAATGACCTGAAATTATGTGAGTCGTCAACGATATTTTCGATACCGTTTAATTTGCTCGATAAAAAACAATCCTTGTATGTTCAAGAGAGACAACGCATTCGAGTAGAATTTGTTCGACTGGAGGGTTTTCTAGTTGAATTGATTTTTCATTTGATCAAGATCTTATCTGTCAATAATACATTTGTTACAACTGTTCGGCAATTATTATTAAATTTCATCGATCATATTCTTTTGCCAATGAGTTCTTCGGAAACAGTCTTCATTCAACAGAAGAAAGTTCTACTCGAAAATAAAAATCTGACAACTATCATGCAAACCATCTTGTCCCAAGTAGCTAAACAAAGTAAAATCTCAATATCCACCGATTCGACTGGCATCGCTGATGTCTCGAATCATGTACAAAAATTGATCGACAAGAGTTCCGCAGTGTTGCAATATCTGTGCAATGAATTGTGTAAGTTAATTGAGCTATTTGTTCAGCACACATCATTTACTGACATGCATGAGCGTTTTCAATTTCTACGACGTATTGTTCGGGTCGTTGAAATATTCGATTGGTACTTCGATGCGCCAAACTTCAAGTGTCTTGATCAACGGACAAAAGTGCCAAGTCTATGTGAACAAGTCAAACAACTTCTCGGACCTTTGCTTACTTTCAAAAGTAAATATATGAAATATGAACTCCTTCATGATTCCGCATTCACCGAAGCACGTCAATGTTTCGATCGATATGTGTCTAATAATATTAACCTCTTCGATTGTACTCTTATATGGTTGGTTCAAGATGAACAAACGCGACCTATACAATCAGCGCGCAAAGATATTTCTAAATATTTCGAATGTTTACTTCGAAGTTGCAAGGATTCAAAGATCCATGAACCAATTAAACATTATGCTGCGATATTACAATGGATTGGCCTTCAATGGACCTTTGATAACTATCTGACGGAAAATGTCCGGAATGTTCTTCAAAAATCAAGTTGTGTTACCAATGACTTTATTATTGACTGCGAAATAAAATATCGTGCTTGGGAATTGTGCAAAGTGCTTTCAGAAAAACTTAAAACTGCTATTCAAAACTTACCGTCACAAACAAGCGCCACAAATGATCAATATCGGTCCTGTAAACGTGAAATAGAAAATAAAGAAAAAGAGTTAAAAGATTGCGAAGACGATATTTGTCATACAGAAGATCGTATCACTGATATACAACGCGATGAGCATGCATCAATGACCAACCAATATACTGATACAAATGGAAACGATCAATTTTTTGGATACCCTAAAGACGTGTCTGAAGATCTTAAGAAAGAGATCGATTCGAAAGCCAAATTGACAGAAAAAAAACGACAACTTCAAGCTGAATATAACGATTTAATCACACTTGATGGAGAGTTCCAGTGCAAACGTGCTGAAGCACTTGATAAAGCTATGGAAATATTCGAAACACTTAAAAGCGATATTCAAACTGAGTATAGATCTCCAGCCTATAAGTTTATTCAAGAACATTCTGAGAAGCCCAGAAGCAGCCGACTTTATCATCTTTGTCAATTATTATTTGGCTTACAACAGAATTGTACGATGAAAACCGCTGATGGCTTACTCGACATTGATGCTGTGCTTACTACATCATTTGCTCGTGCATTAGTAGAGTATGAAACTTTTCTCGACACACCTGTAGCAATATTCTTCTGTGGTTTCTTCTTTGTCGTAAAATCAATCGCCAAATATCGATTACATACAATCTCATCTTGGCAACAATTACACGAACAAATTAATATTCGTACACTAAATGAGCATGATCTGGTATTCTACTGTCCAAAGCAAAGCGCATTCGATTGTTGTTTAATGAGTGTCAAAAATGAACCAATAGCTGTATCCATTACATTATGGTCTTTACAGGAAAATCTTTCTGAAATTGACCTACGCGATGTTTTAAACAAATCATTGAGTGAACAATTGAAATATTTCATCGAACAGAAACAATTACCTGATGTGACCGCGATATCGACCGATTCTGATTCCCACGTATTCGGACTTGCCTGCCTTGCACATGTATTTCAAAATCAGATCGATTTGTTGAATGTCTTCACTTCAGTTAACTCTGTTTTCAGACGAATGAAAACATTTATCGCTAGTTATACATTGCCATGCAAGTCACTAACGATGGACGTATACATAAAACTCACTCAATTGTATAAAGAGCTGAACGAACATTTTATATACGATGAGTCAGCTGATCCGTGGGAAATTTATATCACCCGGCTCTGGAAAATACTAACACCTTATCAACAAATATTTGCTACTACTGTTTCTGATTGTATTCATCAGGAGCTAAAATACAGCATTCAAACACTGGAACCAAATAATTTGATTAGTCGTATATCATCACTTGCGTATTTAGAATCATTGCAGGGCGACTATAGCTGTGTACAATTGATGATTGAGCATTTGAATGCTACAGATAATCAAATAACAGTTGACAACAAACGCGATTTTCAACTTCTGTTCGGATTTATCAAAAATTGTGAACGTTTGTTAACATTCTTCGTCCAAAATGCCATTTTCAATGGGCATTCCTATGCAGAAGATCTGTACAAACGCTCACCTAATGCAATCGCTCAAATCGAGGACATTTTTCGACAGATTTTACCTGCTGTTGACATTGTTAATGATGACTTGACCATCAATGATCAATATGAGCAATCAACATTCGAAAATCTTCAAAAGAAGTTTGATGAACATCTGTCCAATATTGAATTTCCCAAAACGATTCTCGTTCAATTTAATCTGGCTAATTTCATCACTGATATCGCACCACTATTCGATGTGAGAAAACGTTTGCAACGCTCCAGTAGCTCCTTACGAAAGTCACGAGGTGAAACGAATGCTAGCGATGATCCAATAGTACGACGAAAGCAAACTATGCAACATAGAATTGAGACAACAATTGAGAACTTGAATAAACTTTTAGAACAAGCTAATGAACTTCCACTTCGGCCACATCGGATTATCCAACGTATTGATAATGTTCTACGGCAATTAAAAGCGATTGATATCAATCAAGATATGGAAAATGTGCAGCAACTTTTAGACCAAGAAACTTCACTGAAAGATTCTCTTGCAAAATTTGATTATGAAATCAAACAGCAACAAACCTTCACCGTTGAGTTACCAGCTGATCGAAATATTCACAAGCTAACAGCTGCAGAAATCGGATTCGCGTCAAGTGCAACCACTCGGTCCGATTGCCACGATGCATTTACCGTCATTCGTAACACGATGCTCGAATGCAGTCAATGTCGAGGATTTAACGAATTGAATGAAATCATTCGACTTATTCAAATACAAGCATTAGATCAAACATGGATGCGTGCGATGTGTTTATCGACGGCAAAGACTAAATTCGACGAACTTCGAAGAACATTGCTCGCATTAAATGATGACTTACTCATACAATTAGAAGTCAACTCAACCGAATTAAAAAAAAATGTAACCGTTACATATACTCAATTCCGTTGTGATACTCTCAAGAAAGAAGCAAATTTCAACACGTTGTCAGACTATAAAAGCATAGCGAACGTATCGGTATTATTAGAACAATGGATGAGTAAAGATAATTTGAATGTTTTTAACATGTTTGATAGTATTAAAATGATCAGTGACCATTTGAATGTTGCTCACAATCAAGTGAAAAACTCTCTCAATGATATCTCTTGCAATATTCTACCTATAAGCATACGACCAGAAGATCTATTATGTTTATTAGCACCAGAATATACCACTCTTATACAGCAGATCTGTGCAAAATTTGATGAGATCGATCAGTTTCTTTCGTGTCGTATGAGCACAATAGAACCAATTCAACTTACATCCATCGTTCCAGATCCAAAGCCTATTGCTGGTCTAGTTAGTTACATTTATAGACAAAATGAAACGGTAACGCCGTTGTTCAACGAAACACAACATCTTCATTACATTGTAAATGAGGCTGTTCGTGTTATTCAAGTATTACTGAATTCGTGTGTAGACCATCGCACGGACAGTCTATTAATGAGAACTTGTTCGACTGTGAAAGAATTATTTCCGATTCAAATAGCACTTTCTCTATCGTTAATGATTTTAATAGACTGGAGTGCTGCTTGTTTAAAGGATTTTACACAGGAACATATAAATCTTATTTCGCTCAAATCATTAGTGGAAGAAAGTAATGCATTGAAAGAATTGGAATTGAGTATTGATAAATTGGAGAAGGAGGAAGCACAATTGAAACAACAGCTCGATGAAATAAAACGTGAACACGACAAACTTCAACATCAGTACGAATCTTCCAGAGTCACAACTACTTGTGAATATAGTGGCGGCTCCCGCGCTGAATGTATTCGGCGTGAACAACGAACCACTGATAATATTAGAAACAAACAAAAGGGGATTGCGGACGCTAAACAGTCGCTAAGTGAACGTAGAGGTTTATACGATCACAAGCAGGTTCGTTTGCGAAATGAATGGGTAACAAAAGTCTTAGAACATTTCACTGCCGTTTCTGAAAATATCAAATCTTGTGTGATAAGTCTCGCTCAGTTATGCAAGTTGAATGTGAGCGCTGTCAGTACTAATCATGTTCAATTGCTCAATCATTCTGTAGAAATTGGTAAATATTATCTTAAGAATTCTATGACAACGAATATTGATCAGAATCTATTGGTAACAAAGCAGCAATCTGTTAAAAAATCGATTTGTCAACTGGAAAATCTTATGAAAGAATTAACCGACAAAGATCCATTTCGATCATTTATTGTATTCTATTGTGACGTTTTGCGTATTTCATTCTGTTCATTGTTAAACTCGGTTTCCAGTTGGTCAACTTATTCTAGTGTATTTAACATACCTGATGTTAAATTCTATGCAGAAAGCCAACAGAAATATAACTTATGTCAATTAAATATGTGGACACTACGAGAATGTAATGCTTTTCTAAATACATTACGATCGAATATTGATCGACATGATATTATAGCACATGCTCAAATTATCATCAGCGAAGTTCACACAAAAGTAACAAATTTTGAGGTTGCTTTTACTGGTTCGCTCAGTGGACAGATTCGAGCTCCAGTGTATGAATTTAAACAATTCGTAATCAATTTACTCATTGTCGGTTGTCGTTATTTTCAATTCCAACGTGGAATACAAGAACCACTTGCTCATATGTTGGATGGTATTGAAATTAAAATTTTGGATACAAATCTTCCTCAAACTGAATTAGATTTAACTCGCCGGCTCGAATTCTATGAAAGGCGATTACGAAGTTACGACGAAGCGAGTCTTTTGCAGACACTGCATCTTGCCTTTGGATTTAATTCCAATCCGTTTAGTATATTTGATAATTTGGATCAGTCTATTAGCGAATTAATTCAATCGATCCTGCCTGCAGCATATATGTTAACACGCACATGGTCAACAGTTGATGAATTAATTACGAAAATTTCCAGAGCTATGGTAAAGGATGAGAAATCCGAACTTATCGCTATCTGCAATAAATTTCAGCAATTAGCTTATGTCTCTTGTAAGAAAATAAATGACTTCAATTTCATAAACGAACATTTTCATCCAATCTCACAGCATATCAATAAACTTTGTTCCACACTGTTGAATGAACGATCAGCAATGGAATCCTTTTGTGATGACCTTCTCATTCGATGGCACATGACGCTCAAGGAAATACTACGAAGCTTCATCAAAACACAAAAATTACGCATCCTTCGTCAACTTGAATTACGAAATATACACAATACAAAACAACATAGCACCTTATTTCAATTTGATCTAGCTACTGGTGTCAACATGTTTCGATTAGCAGATATTAAAAGAATTTTTCAAGAGAAAAATCATCTGTTAAGTCTCGCCAGCCCACCAACACAGCAATTAATGATATCGAATCAGCTTGGTGTTACTGAAGTGATCTATTATCTTATCATAGGAGGTCTCGACAATATTGAAGATGTTCTTATGAACATGGTACTTGAACTGATGACTTTTCCAGAATTCTTTGAATTGGTTAAATCAGTACGAGATTTGTACCAACAGGGTACACAATTATTGTTTGAAGAATCTTTGATGACATTTATTAATATTGATGGCAGTCATGACACTCGTTCATTTTCATTACTCGACGAAATGCATCGCTTCGAGCAGATTATTTTCAAGAATCTTGCTGAAGCAGCCCGGAAGGAAGTAAAAAAAATGTCAACCGAAATGGGTCGCTACACGAATTTTCAGCTGTTCATTCCAAAGTCACAGGAAATTCTTGACAATTGGGATAGAGCATGCAGCTGTTTTCTTGAACTACGTCGTAAAAAACGGTCCAATTCGAAAGGACACAAATCATCATCACAGAGAAATCCAACAACATCCGCAGATAGCAGTAATCACAGTATTGTGGACATTTTCATGGATACAGCTGAAAAACTTCGAACATATATGCAACAACGACAATTCGGCTCACAGAATGTCTTTTCAATAGCAGATGAAGCGTGTACACATGTAGATCGGCTACTACAATTATCTAATCAACATCGATCATTCTTTACGACGCCTGTTTTGGATACAAAAGCATTCACAAAAGCCAATAGCGTTTATATTTTGCGGATTGAACGGAGATATTGGGGAAATCCAGTGGCTATTCAGTTCTATTTTTGCGAGACGGATAATAGTGATCCATTTGTTTGGAGTAACACTGTGAGCGGAAAATTCGGTGAATTTATCATTGTTATAAGCCAACCAATTACATATTTCTTAGCTGAGACGTCACACGTACGCGGTGATAAAGCGTACTGGCCTGATATGATTAACAATTCAGAGCCATATTCATTGGTCGATGGTCTGACCATTCACTGTAGCTCAGCGCCAGTGCAGAATTCTTACTATATTGTGGAAGGCCAATCAAGTACACGGTCTGTTGATCGTATACAGACTCCTGAAATCAATTCACAGTTAACAGCTCTGGAAGATGAAATCAAAGCTAAAATGAAACAGTTGACAGAAACAGAACAACTGAAAGGATCATTTATTAATACCACTATGGTAAGGATCGTTGAAAAAATGCATGAACTTGTTGGGAAAATGAACTCGTATTCAACTATTCCAGAAAATGATCTGCTGACTACCAGTGATGTTTACCAATTTTTCAGAAATCTACCACTCGCAGATGACCTTGGCAGTATTATTAATTCATTAATGTTCAAAGATTTTGATTCGATTTCAAAAGGAATGATACATGCCGATGATACAGAGCCCGCATTGATGTGTGAGATAGGCAATGTTTGGACAATGTCAATGGAAGGCAATTTCCATGGCATTTACCAATGCTTGACAGATGCAATGAAGAAAATAGACTTATGTATTAATTACCTATGTAGATACAAAGCACAGCTTATACTATTTTATGCCTGGCAGAATATGATCTCAACAGATTATAGGAATGATGATCAAAATGAATTTTCTTTCATGTTATCCGAATGTCAACAGCTCTATCGGATGCTTAATGGTCAAAATCATGAAAATATCAAATGTGTAAGTGAATGTAAGCGTCTCACTGATAAGGCCGACAAGCTATACCGTTTATTGAATCGAAGGCTAAACAACTGGACTGAAGTACAAAGAATTATCCATTTGCCGTCAATGGGACTGGGAAGTAACGTAGGCGACGCACTGCTGTATTCAACAATCGGTCGCGATACTCATATATGGATCATGCAAGCGCAGAATAATGGCGAATCAGCAGTTGCATTCGAATGTTATCCACAACCAGCTATTGTAAATTTCGATACTGTACTTAGTGGTACTTGCCAATGTGTAACAAAACGAATCTATATACACAATCATGCTGACCGAGATTTAGCTGTACGAATAGACAGACATACGGTCACAAATCTAATCCTTACACTAACTAATAACAATATATTAGTTGCTACAGATAGTTTATGTGAAATTGATGTTTTACTACAACCACCAACTGATGTTAATTTATACTCTGAAGAATGGAATTTAACTATAAATGATAACTGCGCTGTTCCGAATGCTCTGACAATGGAGGTGCGTATCGTCGAAGCTGATGTCGAACAATCAGAAAAGGAGATTGATTTTGGTCCTGTGGCATGTGGTAGTTTTCAACTAGAAAAAAAGATTGATCTGAAAAATCTATTACCATGTTCGTTACATCTTATGGCACAAATACAAGATACGGGTAAAAAAATGTATCAATCGAAGCTAATTCTTCTCCACTCAGAATTTGTTTTGCCAGCTGAATCAATTATACCATTTGGCATAGTATTTGAACCATCCGATACACATGAAGAGATTATAGAGAAAGATATCTGCCTTGCAGTTGAATCGGGGAAAAATTTGAAATGGCTCAAAGTGCGCGCTCAGGTCAAACAGACAAATCTCATCATAACTTATGAAGGACGTCCAATTATCGACAATACACAAATTGGACGGCTACATATAAAGAATTTTTATCAAGGTGAAAAGCGGCTGATACCTCTTGTTTGTCACAATAAGGGAGCAATTAATTATACACTCCGATTCTTTTCAGATCAATTGAAATTGATTACAAGCGAAGTCAATTTAGCTACGAATACAACACATACTGTGCAAATTGAAGTAAATATGCCAACTGATGTTCCTTCACGAAAATTCACTTTGTACATCGATTTTGTCAACAATAAGCGACGATGTGAGATGATATTAGAATGTCAAACAGCCCGACCTCAGCTTCACTGTGAAGATCTTTCAACGGGTATCAAACAAATATTCTCTATTGTAAATTCGGGTCAAATGGCAGATATTCGCAATGAAAATAATGATTGTCTTAAACCGTTAAAACATAAAATAATGTTTCGAAATTCGGGCGAAGCTTCGGCTACTCTTAGCTATGACAAGCTGGTTTCTAAGAAAGATCATCAGTGTATCCTAGCAGCACGTGTACATATGGAACCAAAATCTTTGACTATCGAGCCACAATCAAGTGCATCAATGTTTTTAACATATAATCCAACAAGCTTGCAACCACTGAATGCTAATGTGCAAATCGTATCCAATACGTCGAAAGTTGCATTGGAAATTCCTTATACCGTAGAATTTCATCGGCCGATTTTAGAAACTCAGCCCCGCTCAATGATAGATATTGGTATGATAGAGGTGGGAAGTGTTTTGAAGGAAAAAGTTCTTGCTATACGGAATATTGGACAAAAAGAACTACGTTTTTCTTTCAGCAAAATTTGTCTTAAGCATCCATGTATTAAATCGGTTGTTTGTGAAGAACCGTCAACAAATCAAGGGAACCTTCTTGAAACAAATCAATCGATTCACATCAATCCTAAACGGGAACGTTCATTTGATTTAACGATCGAATTCGGTACGCTTAATGAAATGTCTTCATCAGCAACGCTAGGCCTTTTTGCATTAGAACTATCGAGTACATGCTTACCAGTAGTGGATCTTAATGGTAAACTTATTAATCGTGTTGCTTATGTAGTTTTTGTCGGACACACAGCGCCGATGCCTTGGTACAGTATTATCAGTACACAAAATCGTGAGACATGGACATCTCTTCAATTATTACCACCATCATGGTTGCATTCTATTTGTACGCAGGATTCGATTTTGAATATATATGCTCCACTCATTGGACATACCGCTGCAGCACATGTTTGCGGCTTACGCTTGACAAAATCTGGATTACCAAACACATTAGAAGAATGGAATACGTTTTGTAAAACACTGGGCGTGCACCCACAATCACCTAATGAAGAACCGCTTGGGCTGATTCACTTTTCTTCCAATACAACCAGAGACACCGCAGCCAACAAGCTTGTTAGATTGTTGCGATACCACCTACAGAATAACCATGATTTGTTTCAACAATTAACATTGTTTCAGAGTTCATTTGATCGTACCGCGTCTATTGAGCTACAATTATTGGCGACGATTAATTCAACATCGGATGCTGACGAAGCTGATGCAATGCAGTGGTATTCATTAAAATTTTGGCATCTTTTCTGGAATTGCCAACAAAATGCTACTTTTCATCAATCAATTAGATTAGTTCGTGAATGTGTTGGCAAAGATCCGAACATGCCTGAGTGTGTAAACATATTCAGCAAATTTATTTGCCAAACTACACATGGACGATTCGATGTACAAGAATGTCTTGTGAAACTAATACCGTCTGGTGATCCATTTACTGAGTTGCTCAGAGAAGTGAACGATCAAACTAGTTTGAAGTGGACATTATTATTTTTGAATGTTTCTGATCGCGTGAAGCAAATCGTTATTGGACTAATTGAGCAGAAGTGGGAATCGCTCTTAAATTTGTACTTAATATCAGAGGATCAGCAAAATGTATGGACGAAGCAGAGATCAATTTTAGAAGCGATAAAGAATGCACATAAGGGATGGAACACAGTAAAATCAAACATATATCGCGACTATCTGACACCGCTTCTTGCTGGATCCGAACAAGTTGCTAGTTCTCTTAATATCGTATTCGACAAGTTATCAAACCAGCCATATGCGAAATTAAGCCATGCGCTTGAAGTAGTAAAATCTATTCTGAAGCAGTTAGATTTGACACAATCCTATGATATACTCGACACCGTTTTCAATGAAAACACATCTACACGTTTATTTCAAGCACTTGCAAAACTCCAGACTCTTCCCTATCCAACTGTTGAGTATCTTGTCTCGATTATTCTCCAATTTCAAAATTCACTCACCAGGGATAATAATGACAATGATATTCAAAAAGCTGACGTCGAACGTTTTTGTCGAATACTGCAAACCATTTTTCCTTTCACTCACGCACAATGGATTCAACTTAGGGAATGCATTAAGACAGTATGGCGTTTAGTCATTTTAGCCTGCCAGAAACAAACAACATTTGCTGATATTATTGCTGAAATTATTTTGCTTCGTTATACACTTGACATGGATAAACAATGGTATATTATTCGAGAAGCGTATAGACAAGTATGTTGTAAGCCATCATGGCAAACGATGTTAGTATTGAGCAATGAAATTAAATTAAATGGAGATATGATAGAATTGACGCGAAGAATTTCAATGGCAAATACTGAAGGAGAAATGGCTGAAGCAGTTTTTGAGATTTGCCGACGAGTGTCAACTAACACCGAATGGAGCGCATTGACCATATGTGAACCGTCCATTCGTAATCTACCATCAGGTTCATTACTTATTGATGAACGTTTGAAACAAATTCGATCAGTTGTTTCTGAAACAGTGCAAAAGAAAATTGATGCTTGTCTTCATCTTCTTAGCTTATCTACAATAGACTCTCAGACTAAAGATGAACAATATGGTTTATTGAATAATATTGTTCCGGCATGGTTGACATTATTTCCCGTAAACTGTGACAAATTACTGCGTGTGTTCGATGCAATTTCATCTATTCTCAGTTCATTCCATCAGATAGTCAATCATCGACAATTCCTATTGGTCCGAGAGCTCTATACTACAAGTTTGGCTGTATCATTCTGTGCACTTGCCAATTGCCGACGACATTTTTGTGATGTGATTAGCGCTACCCGGATAATGACATCACCAACAACTACTAACTTGTCAATCATTTCTCATATTCGAAAGAATATTAAAAAAGAAGTCGTTCAACTTTCGCCAACATTTGATCCATCACCATTACAATTATTGTCTGCACAAAAACTACCCTCAACGCAAATCGTACTAAAAGGGCCACACTACTCTGATGAAGTGCGATCTAAAATGAGGAAAGCTGTCGAAAAGTATACCACGAGCCGCGAACGGCCTCCATATTTGTATCGTTCATCGGATTCGGTTCGCACTACCATTGCTCGATGTTTAGATTCTCGAAAAGAAATACCTCATTGGCACGATGTATTCACAACATTTGTTGTTCTCATTCAAAATCAGCCGCCGCCACTCACTGACCAACAAATAAAAGATGGCCAAGGAATTCTTCGTCGTGGTTTGAGATTGTTACGAGATCTAATTGTCATTAAAAAGCTACTTGAACCAGCATTTGCTAGCACTGGTGTTCAATTTTTAGCTAGAGATCTTGCTCAACTCGAAAGATGCTTCCTCTCGTTGTCTTTTGACAAATGTAAGCACTTAGGAAGTATTTTACAAGCGTTGAACATCAATATTAGTCGAGTGAAAAGTAGCGTTAAACCAACGTCTTGTTCTATCAGACCGAATGAGCCTGGTCAACAACAAGAATACGATGGTTTCGAATGTTCATCTGATGTGATAGATTTGATTGAAGGAGTGAATAAGAATGGAAACACCTTGCTTATGACAGACCATGTACAACTAACAAAAGTTGACTGGCACACCGCATTTAAAATGGAGGAAAGTCAACGTTCGACGGAGAGCCAGAAACAAAATCTGTACACACGACAGATATCAAAGGCGAGCTCGATCAATGAATCAGATGGGAATAAAACAGTCAGAGCACGAGTAGAAACTCTAGCAAATGCTATGTTATCAGAATCTACTGCTACCGCAACATTTTCGTCATCTGGCGGACGTATGAGAAAGTCGAATAGAGCAAGCAATATGGCGACAACTGCTACTTTATCAGTTAATTTTGATTTACAATTGAAAAGCATGCAAGAACAACTAAAGAATCGAACTAATCTCTATGAAATATACAAGAAATCAGAGGAACAAATGACGTTGATAGATTTTCTGAATCCGCTACCCAATCGTCCAAAACTAGTACCAACGAATAAGTCTGACCGATGGTCATACCAGATGTTAATTGAACTACCGTCGATATCTCGAATGATCGATCTTATTAGTCAAGAGTTTCATTCCGGTTGGAATAAATTACTTGCTCATAGTGATCCACTCAAGCAACATGATGTTCGGTGGTGCATTATGATCGATAATTCAACTTCAATGATCATTCATCGCCATGCTGTGTATGAAACTCTAACCGTTGTTTTAGAAGTCTTACGTAAACTCGAAAGTAAATTTGCAGTAGCGCGCTTCGGTGCTCGAACAAATCAAAGACCTTTAAAATATCTTGAAGAAATATTTACTAATGAAGACGGACAATTTATTCTTGAATCTTTGACATTTGACGAAGGTACATATCCAGCAACAGGATTAGCTAACATTACGCACGACATTTTCGATCGAAAGAAAGATTCAAAATCATCGACTGCAAATGTTCATAAACTTGTTCTGATGATCACTGATGGCTTAACACAAGAACGTGACAAAACATCTTATTCCGACACAATTCGAAAGAATCAAATACATCTCGGCTTTATGGTCATTGAAACTGCGGATGAAAGTAACAGTGAATTATTAATCAAAAACTTACCTGACGTCGAAAGCTGCGTTCTCAAATCAAATGCAATTAGTGACTTACCACGTGAGATGTCCAATCTTATGTATAGGCTGCTGGAATCATGTTTGAAAAAAGATTCTACCAAATCCTCCCAATTAACCTTATCAAATATTTGCATTAAACCTCCAGAAATCAGTCAAGATAACCAACTTCAGCAACATGTATTGGAAACACAATCACGTAACGTTATCAATCCTAATTTATATATAATCAGTAGTCCAACAGCAACTATTCCGAAACTAGTAGAGGTAAACTACTTATCATGACGAATAAAATTTTCATCCGATGTGCATTTAGGTTCAATCCCACACCACAAGTTATTTGTCGCGGAAAAGCCCGTATACTGATTTAGCTACAGAAGGCGTTAAAGAGCTCGACAAGTACTATCGATCACTAAACTTAACATCTGTATTACAAGATGCAGAGAGAGCTTGGATTGGTGAAGAATTTCGTTTCCTACCATTAATAAACGATATTACAACGGTTCTTGGCGATATTGTCTTTCCGTTGAATAGATTCACGCGCCCTCGAGCAGCTCTTCATGGCTCATCATTATATCTACCTGGGCTTATGAAAGCAATGACAACGAATTGGAATTACAAGAAAATCTTCAGCAATAAACAAGCTGGTGGTCGACGCGATCATGCTGTATGTCTTGTTATTGACGTTTCGACATCTATGCGTGGCTCATTCAGCGCAGAAACTGTTGAGACAATCATAATCCTGATCACTAGTCTACAGAAACTAAATATCGATAATTTTGGAATTATTGTCTTTGGTCGCGATGTAAGATTGATTAAAACAAATGAACAACCATGGAGTGCAGCTGTGATTTATACGTTGATGCAAGAATTGAATTTTAATCGAGATGATGAAAGCAGAGACGCTGATGCACTTGAAGTTGCAATTGACTTGTTAAATCAATGTTCCACACGAGGTGAAAAGAAAATATTTATTATAACTGATGGATACGGTACGTGTGGTGCTCGATTACCTCTCGTGCAACAACGTGCGGAACATAATGGAATTGATATAGTTGCTATGGCTGTTGGTTATGATTTAGCCAATATCAAAGTTGTGTATAAACGTTATATGCAATGTGCTACTTCATATGGTTTGCCAAAAGCATTACGGCGCCTGTTTGAGCATGAACTTCAACTAATTACAACCGAATGGTCCGCAGCACACGGTGATGAAAGTGCAAGTAATCAAGCGAATATCAAAGAGAAAACAGACTTATTTGAACGGATTGAAACAAAGAAGATATTTAGTGAACTGGTTCAGTGTTTAACTAATCAACGTGAATCGTTTTTAAAGGATACTAATGATCTACCATCGCATGTTACCATAGACATTTGTTTTTGTTTGGACTGTACAGGTAGTATGTCACGATGGATCTCAATAGCCAAAGAACAAATGGAATCTATCATCGTTAATATTAATCAAAAGATTCAAAAGGAGTATTCGTCAATCAAAGTCCAACTACGTTTTGCTATTGTTGGTTATCGTGATTTGTGTGATGACCCACCATTTTTTCCATACGATTTCAGCACCGATACAAATCAAATTATTAAAAATCTTCGAGAATTACCAACGAGCGGTGGTGGTGATATACCCGAAGATGTACTTGGTGCTCTTGATCGATGTATAAAAATACCAAATTGGAGTTCATCAAGTGCTCGTTTGATTGTTCTTATCACGGATGCACCTGGTCATGGTCTTGAACTCAATGATAATCTTGCTATTGACGACCATCGACAAGTAAGAGAAATGTTTGATTTATGTAGGAAATAATATAGGGGTGATTTTTATAAATCTTAGGGTGTTAACGAACATACAGTTCAAAGCATTTGTGATCGTTTATTGGTAACAGGTGCTGAAACCGATCTAATTTTTTGCTCGGTCAATAAGGCAGCGACGAAAAAAATGCACGATGCATTCGACAAATATTACAAAGAGAAGGAGAAGTTAACACATAAAAAATTTACATCAGTTGATCTGATTGATGAACAACAGCAGCAAGCAAATTCAAAATTATTACATTTCATCCTCGTACTCGACGAGTCAGGGTCTATGGGCTCACACTGGTCTGAATTGCAAGCAGCGTATAATAAATTTTTAGATCGGCGTTGCAATGACCAAGGTGTGAACGATCAAATCAGTGTCGTTCTATTTAGTACAGCTGCTCGTATTGTACACGAAAAAAGAACTATCAGTGATGCTCGCCAGCTACCTAATCCAACACTTAAAGATACATCCTATTCAGTTGGACTATCCAAAGCAAAAGAAATTATCATCAGAGATACAACGACGTCATCTATTGTAATGATATTCATGTCGGATGGGGCTAACCGTGATAAAAGCAATCCGTCCCACACAATGGGTGAACTGATCACACAATGCAGAACGAATAATCACAAGTTTATTTGCCACACAGTTGGTTTTGGCATTGGTATTCAACCTGGAAGTGGAGAAGCAGAATTACTTGCTAATATGGCATCGAAAACTGGAGGTCAGACATTTACGCCACGTGATGGTGTACAATTGGCCGGAGTATTTGACACAATTGCAGCGAATTCAACTACCAGTGACGCTCTACTCGCACGCTTTGCGGAGTTTCTTTCACATCATATTCATAAAAAAATAATAACTGACTATTTCTAAGGCAATACCTTTTCATTATACTTCTTTTATCCTTACATTGCTTACCAAATATAATCACGAAACTAAAGAGTGAAGAATGGCTGGTTTTTTTTATATAGGACTCTCTTTAATGTCAATGTAAGGTAGAAACAGAATCATAAGTCTTTCACAGGGTCAAATTAATCATTTTATATATAGCGAACAGATGTGCTGTGCGAACATTTTCGTCGAATATATCACGCTGTCGAAATAATTTTGATCGTTTTCAGTCAAATTAAGGAGAAAGAATTCGTACTGCAGTTCGCATGAAAAAAGGTATCAGACAAGGTTTTCATGAAAACGCCAATTGGGACGGAATCGTAAATCATTGCTACAAATACCTATTTTGTATAAATATTGACTCTTATTAACCATGTGAAACTGTGAGAAGTATGAATTTTTTTATTATTACAACCGAGATGAGCCGAGTGGAAAAATAAGAATTTTTATTTATGATGTCTCCAGCAACTACATGTCAGACTGCTTTAAATCGAATCGCATAACTCGACGATTGATATATTCGGAAACGTACAGATTCCCGTCCAAATCACATGCTACATCGTATGGACCATAAACTTGATTTGTCTCATTTCCTTCACCATTTTCACCAACAACAATCTCACCTTCTTGATCTCCTTCCCGCCATCGCATGACTCGATGGTTGCCCCAATCTGCAATATAAATTTGATTCCACAGATCGACAAAAAGACCTTGAGGATGAAATAATTCATTTACACTACCGCCTCGCCCATTTCCGCCAGCAACAACATATCCTTTTCGAGCACCTTTCAACCATTTCATTACACGATGATTGTTATAGTCTGAAACGTAAACCGATTGCTTCTCATCGACGAACAGATACGTGGGAAGACTGAATTGATTCAGTTGACTTCCTTGCCCATTTCCTCCAGCAACCAATGCTCCTTCCTTTTCTCCAATTGTCCATTGTCTCACTTCGTTCTTCACAGTATCGGAAACATACAGGTATCCATATTTATCCATCGCTAATCCAAAACAATCGATATTCTCGATAAGAACTCGTTGATTTTGATCATTAAACCATTGAACTATTCGTCTGTTATCTCGATCAGCAATAATCAGTGACTGACTCTGTTGATCAAACATCGCAGATGTCGGATATGCTAATTGATTGATTCTGTCTCCTAGACCATTTCCGCCTGCGACGACTCGGCCATTATTTTCATTGTACTTCCATTCAACGATACGATGATTCCACTCATCAGTAATAAACATCGTTTTCTTTTCGTCGACAAAAATATGTATAGGAACAGAAAGTTGATCTAAGCTTTCTCCTCCACCCTTCCCTCCCGCAACTATCGTTCCATGTTGTTCAAATTTCATTCCTACAGAAATACAAATTATCAAATTTTGAATTTGATTAACGAAGATAACTTAATCACTAGACACTTACCTGGCATGACAGAATTCATGGTAGTTACGGTACTCGTACTTGTTGTTGTAGTACTTTTCACTATTCATAAATAAAGATCATTGATTTATTCATTGATTTAGTTATTTTCTAGTTACCGGATTGCATCGATGGACATAGATCTTGTTCAGCCATCGCTAGCGGATAGCACACGGGATGATCAGCACATCGAGTGTGATGAACACATATATGGTCAGAATCAGAGCAGTCTAGCGAGGGTCCACAGGGCTGAAGTTCATCACAAGACTGCCAGAGAAAAGCACAAATACCAATATTATTCGCACCAGCCATTGGAAAGCATCCACAGGCACCGTTACCTGAACATTCCTCATATGCAGACGTTGTCTTACATATTTGAGAGTCTACTGGAACTATTATATGATAAAGTAATGTCGACGGATATACAATGTCAAATAGTAAACAAACCTGCAAAACTAAAATTAAAAAAAAGAAAATTTCGTGTCAAGAAAGAAATAAAACGAAAAGCTAAAATTAAATACCTCATGAGAAGAAAAATAAAAAGAACGCTGATTGTTATCATCATCGGTTGACTTTGAATGAGATATAGTATCTTCCACGAAATATGCACGTTACTCTGAATATATAGACACTAGTTATCTATTTTACGTACGATGACGAGAGAGAGTTGTATAATCCTCCAATGATTGGAAACACGATACTACTGTTTTGCATTCTTTCTAATGTAATCTCATAGTAAATGAAAAAGTGTAATGATCAGCGATAGCGTGGTTTATAGTCTTTGACAATCAATATAAAAGGAGAATACGTCATAATTCTGTACGAAAATACGGCTATGAGTCTATCGTCTTGTTCATCACCCTTATGCGCATCATATTTTTAATCAAATTAATTGATCCACCTCCACATACTCCAAATAACTATCATAATGAGGTGTATTCGTGAATATATATACTTAAACATCAGCCATGTTTCTTTCAAATAAAATCCTACATGTGAACTTGCAAATTGTATCTGACTGAAGTCATTAAAAAAGTTCTTCCTTTCCAACATGTTGAATACCATGAATAGCTCGTACGACAATACATCAACGCTGTCTACTACCCGTTTTTGTTCGATGAAGTTTTGGTTCTACACTGTATTTCTCATTTCGTCGATTGTCTGTACGTTCTTACTCATCTATTACCTTCTTTTTGACCGAAGACTCCGTCATGCTCTCGGCAATCATGCTATTCTTATTATTTCGATTTCTTGGTCTTGTCTGACAGTCACTCGATTTTCAATGTAATGTTGCTCGGTGGACAACACACGTCATATGACACTATTTTACACTCTAACATTAATAGTCAGAAATCTATGCTACAAGACTACGGCATGAAATTGTGACTCAATTATATTGTCATTTTCGCATCTGCCATGCATTGATGTATACAACAGACCTCCACTCAAAAACACAACTAATTATCCTGACAAGTCACTTGATCATACAGCAGAACGTGTCGTACATGCTAAATATAAGGAATGCATGTGATGAATAATCATCTGTAAGCATCTTAATTTTTAATTCGTTTCCAAATAAGTTTTCTATGTCGTCAGCTGAGCTCGTTCATGTGATATTGCTTCTTAATAGAAATATAATGCTGTAGTCACAGTACATTTTGCTCAATTATGATATAAAAAACACTTGCAAACAACGATCGTAAAGTCACTATGAATACATCTCAACTTCCACAAGACATTCACAAAATTCCGTTGACTGATCTCTTTCAACACCTTCACACCAATCCTCTCACTGGTTTGTCGAATAGTTTTGTACGTAAAGCAAAAGCTCACTACGGTAGGAATAGTATTCCACAGCCAAAACAAGCAGTTTACAATTGGCTTCTATTGAAACGATTGATCACACCTTTCAGTTTGGTTCTTTGGCTAGCTGGTATACTGGCAATTCTCGCCTACAAACCGCTCGGAGCATCGACGCCATCGACTACAACTTTGGGAGTCGGCATCGTCATTTTCCTCGTGATCATCTGTAATGCTGTTCTGAACGTTTATCAACGAGTGAAATCGATTAAGATTGTCGCGTCGTTCTCAAAATTATTGCCGACCGGTGCGACGGTTCGACGCGATGGGATTGAACAACAGATTAATGTTAGTGAGATCGTTCCAGGCGATATTATTTTAATACGAACGGGCGATAAACTACCAGCCGACTGTCGTTTCTTCGTTTGCAATGAACTCGAAGTAAAGATGCCTTTCTTTTTACTGCGTTTTTTCTTTAAAAATATTTGTAGATAAGCACATCGGACATGACTGGCGAATCGAAGCTCATTACAACCACGGTTCAATCGACCAACGACAATTTCATGGAATCTACGAACATCGGATTTTATTCATCTCTCGTGGTGCAAGGTGCAGGCGAAGCAGTCGTTATCGCGATAGGTGAAAATACGGTTCTGGGCAAAATGTCTCAAATAACACAAAGCAATCATGACGATAGAACCACAGATTTGGATCGCGTTGTCAATCGTTTTGTCCTACACATCGTCATCGCTGCTATCATCTGTGTCATCTTTCTATGGATCACGTGGGCAGCATGGCTTAGATATGCTCATCCCGCTTTTGTATCTGCAACTGACAATGTTTTAAATTCGGTTGGTTTGATTATTAGTTTCTTACCTTTTAATCTGGCATCAGCGATTACTATCGGTAAGTGATCTTATGTAATAGGAAGATAGTCTCTGTCAAGATCTTCTTTTCAGTATTAACAATAGTGGCTAGACAATTGTATCAACATCGCATATTAGTCAATAGTTTGCAAATTGTTGAGAAGTTCAATTCAGTTTCGGTGATTACAACAGACAAAACAGGCACGTTAACCGAGAGTAAGATGACAGTCACCAATATACTTTGGGACATCGATGGTGAATATAGAATTATTCAAGAAGATCAAATGGCGCAGACATTGAGACCATCAAGGATCCATTTCATGACGACAGGAAGAGTATCTCCACTAGTAGACAAACGCTCGCCTGACTTGAAAATAAGAGTATTGGATGATCTTTTACTGGGTGCTGCTTTATGCAATGATGCTAGCACACATCTCGTAAACGATACATCTGCAACGAATGCGGACTTACGGCTCGTTGGTAATCCTGTCGATACAGCCTTGTACAATCTATGCGTTTATCATTATCATATGGATATCAATGAAATACGTTGTTTGAATGCACGTATAAAAACGTTCGCATTCAATTCAACGAATAAATTTATGATTTCGGCCAATCGAGTTGAACTGTCCGATGGTGAGCGCATGGTTCTAGTGACAATGAAAGGTGCGTCGGACAATACACTGCAACGATGCTCATCATATAAAACGAGTGATAATCGAATTTTACCATTAACACCTGAGATAAGAGAAAAACTATGCCATCGACAAGAACGATTAGGTAAGAGAAAAAGAGATTAACCTGAACATTCTGCACGTGACTATTTCAAGGTAACAACAGCCATCGCGTGATCGCTATGTGTCAACAAACGTTCACACAAGTGCAGT